TAATTCAAGAAAATGAATGATATAAGATTTAAAAAACACGAAAAATACCTTAATACTTTTCAAAAATTCTTTATTTTTTATGATCTCCCATTTTTAAATGCCCTTTATATTTTTTTATACTCTTCTACCAACAAAAGGCTTTAAACGGATTATTAGTATTAAACTTTTTTTCTTTCAATTTTGTTTAGCTTCATTCATCCTTTTTTAAATTTTATTTTTAAAAACTGTCTTGGTTTTTACACGCCAAAACACTAAAATCCCGGCATCGCATTTTATAATAAAATGAAAATATATGTAATATGTATATAGTATTTTAAACGTTTATATGAACTGAACTGTGAAATTTGTCCACGCCCACATATTTCCCAAAAACAACCGCAATAAATTGTCTTCCAAATGCGGAATATTATTTATTTGAAAGTGTTCGAGTTCAAAAATAATTTTTCTTTGAGAAATCACATTTTGCTCACAAGACAGGAAGCGAAGAAAACGAAGTTTATAAATAATTCATACCATTTTGCATTGATGCATAAATTATCAAAATAATAAAGAATTATCGGCCTTCGATTCGATTTAGCATTATTGTTTTCCACAGCACACCTTTCGCCATTAAATCCCACACGTTGTGCCATCATTTATCCCCCAATAATCCGCTGTTAATACTGTTGTGAAACAATAAACACAAACACCCTTCAAAACCGCTTTCACATAATTCATTGAAGACGATTGTTCTTCTCGAAAAATATTCATTCGCTTATGCAATTTTACTTTTTTTTCGTTGGCTATTAATCTTGAATTCCTTCGATCTTCAACCTATTGTGCTGCAAATCCCGACGGAGCATTTTCTCGCGAAGAAGTGCAACTCTGAGGATTATGAAAAAAATGACGATGGTTTAGTTTTACATGGCTGTTTTTCAAGCAGTATTTAAATATTCATTGAGCATGAGAATCTCTATTGTTTTGTTATATAATTTGGAAGGGAATGTTTCTTATTTACGAATGAAAAAAATTTCGAAAGCTATTTTCCATTGCAAATTGTTGGTTTATGTCTTTTGCTATCAGAAAATCGTTTTCGGATATAATCAATCCAAACATCGAATTTTGTTTTTAAAATATTCTCGATTAATCCAAACACTAATTCCAATCAATTTTTGGGTACTTGAAATCTTTGCTTTGCAATTACTCCTGATAATCCAATTTCATAAGTGTGACTAATATTCAATACTAAGATCAAATGCTCGCGATTCTTATCGGCGACGCATCGCCCGCAATTCATTTCTTATTTGCAAATGACCGATGGAATCGAGCTGCGTTTGAGCTCTCAGATTGCGGGTGCGCACTGCAGGGCCAAAGTTGAAAGTAGTATAATACCGTAACCCTGCATAGGTGCGCGATTTGTTTGATCGCCTCTTCTCGCCCCCGATCGCCAAGAGCACGCACTCGCCTTACTATTGGCAACATTTTTGAGGCTGCTTCGCCTTCTGCGTCGCCAATCCGAGCAACGAAGCTGCGGTAGCAAGTAAGACGGCAGCAGTAGAAGCAGAAGCAACAGCAAAAGCGCCAGCACCACAAGTACTTGTTTCGAGTGTCAACCAATATCGCAGAGTGACTCTCCTCGCCCGCCCTCCATTTCAAAAAGGCGAACCATCCTCGACAGTGCGGCTCCCAAAACTGTCGAGTCTGGCATCGCTTCAAGACCCAAACGCATATAATGTGCGTATAAGCGAGTAGGGATGGACGAGCTAGCAAGTGAAATCCGATCCGGATGTATCAGTTACTAGTTCATTTTTTTTGTTTCCTTCATCATTCTCACCATCTTTTTTTCTTCAGTGCTCACACATTCCATTATCCACTTTTTGGTCTCCATATTCGGCAAAACTACACAGGGTTGCGCTAAATCGACACTTTCACCTTTGAGATTTTCCCCTAAAATTGTTTGTTACTGACTTTACATTCTTTTTCAGCTCGTTTTCAAATTGAGTGTTTAGCTGCCAAATTTTAGACCAAAATCGATTCCAAAGACCAAATTAGGAAATAAATCAAAAATTGCGTTGCTGTTGTTGTTGTTGTTGTTGTTAAATTGACGTGAAATGCAGAATGTCATGACACATTAATTTATACCCTATTTCTCCGTCAGTAAGGTTTTATATAGAAAACCTATAGCCCGTCGATGGGCGCCTTCGAGTTATTAGCCGATGGGCGTGGCCTCCATACTTCTCGATTAAATTTATTTGTCTATATGCCCACATCAAATGTGGGAAAATTTTGAGAATTCGCATTATTCGAGCATTGAATCAGTCAGATTGATGGAATTTTTTTCAAGTTTGCCCATCATATTCGTCTTTTTTCAAAGTGCGTGGGAACGTGTTATGGGCAAACAGCGTGTCTGGTGTGGACGAGAATTTTGAAAAAAAAAACAACGAGGTCGAGCTCAATGAGAAACGAGACAAGCAAATTGCAATAAACAAAAAAAAATCGCGCAATGATTGGCGACACCCAATATGGGTGAGAAACCCGCCATTTATTGCCAACGCTGTTTTGTTTTATTGACTCGTGTTGGGGCTCTCCATAAGAATTTGGTGAACACTATGTGCATGTGGATGTGAGGCACACGCGAGATGCTTTTTTTTATTCGCGCATTTTCTCATTCGATTCCATTCGCATTTCTGTTCAGAGATTGTAGAAAAAGCCACTGTTTGCATCAATTCTATTGACATAAGAATCTCGGTACAAACACACTCACACTCACATACATACAGATACGCTAACTCACAGGAGGAATACAGTATGAGGATGATACTCTTTGATTTTGGGACGCGCCGAAAATCAAACTAAATTGCTCACGCATGATGATTACGTCAAACATTCTTCTCTTTGCGTTCTTCTCTTTCGCTTTCTTTTATTTTTAAGAGAAAATCTCCTTATTTGGAGCAGCCATTTTCTCTATGTCGCTCACCAATTGAGATGGTTTTAAACGATGCATCTATTATTAATAGGCCTCGCGTGATTATATTGTGGTGGGTTTTGTTTGAAACAGACGATGTACTCATTTCCATTAAGTTTGCTCATCCTTTTATAATCCCAAATATCAATACGGGTGCACTTCTGATACGCTTTTGTCGTTCTCTTTTTTTTTATTTTTAGCATCGTTGTCATTAATTATTTCGTCGCAATCAATTTTGGAAATTAGGGATCACTCAATCAAGCTCGCCGCCGCAATTTTGCAGCGAGTGTCGAATATCCGGAAACATTGCCATTGAATCGGCATCTTTTGGTTATTTTTTAAGAAAAAAAAATACTATAGTTAGGAAAATTGATATTGCTTTCCATTTTTCTTGTTCTCTATAAATTTTTTTAATTAAATGAAATTTAAAAAGCGAAATTTTGCATGAAACCTTCTTCTTAACTATCAATTATAGTTAGGCTTCAATTACAGTTAGGCTTAAAATATGGTTAAAGAAACTTGATATAGATTTAGCCGAAAGTAAATTGTAGTTAATCTTTTTTTCGAAACATGTGGAAATTCGCGGGCTCATTGAGCTGTCTTTCGAAATTTTATTTAAAACAATTAATTTCCAGGCTCATAGTTTACTGAAAGTTGAGATTTGTTCAAGAAACAGTGAATATCAAATTGCTTCCTATTTTTGATAACCATGTTTTCTATTTCATGGACAATTCTCATTTGGAATATGCATCCAGATAACAACAGTACGAGTCGTTGAAATTGAACTGTGCCAAGTTCAAGTGGGTCTCTCGCCAACGTAAAAGTGGCTACCAAATTTTGCTCGCGTTGAAACCATCGGCGCGGCGTCATCCGCCGCCGCCGCCGCCACCACCCCACCGACTGCCCCCGAGTTCGCGATTTCGATCGAGATTGTCGAGAGAGAGAGAGAGAGAGACAAAGACAAAACGAAAGAAATAGTGCAGATATCAATCGGCGGGAGGATAAGGGCGGCTCTTTCGAGCCCGAAGGGATGCCGATCGGATCTATTTTGTCTGTTTGTGTATGTGTGTGGATGTCCCGTTCAAATAGTAGACTCTCGGAGCGGCATGTGCAATGCAGAACTTTTCTTGCTTTTTATTGTCGCGAGAAGATGAAGATGAAACGATTTTTCCTTGATTTTCAAAAGCCCCGAATTGTTTTGCTATGATTACACCCAAGCCAGTCACTCTCCTCCATCTTTTTTCGATGTCATCGACGATTAAAAACTCCCCACCGCACTCTCATTCATCTATCACGTTCTACCTTTAATGTTTCTGTTTCCAAGTTTCAATCAGGCTTCAGCGACGATCACTGCACTTCACATGCGTGTGTGGTCTTCGGCTCATTCGCCTAAAAAACACAAGATGAGTGATGTGTCTGTCAGGAATGATTTCTACGCGTTGATGGGCTATTTTTGAAAATCCATCGAACGCATTTTTTTTGTCACAAATGATTCTTCCTAGAAATTCATAATGATTTGCTTGGTTTGCGAATATTTGTATTTCATAGTACGCAGAACAAACAAGAAATTTACAAATTGAACTTGCATTATAGAATTAATAGAAATTTCATAGATTTATCAAGGTTACAAGAACGAATATCATTCGATTAAAAAAGCGAAAATGCAAACTTTCGGATTTTTCTAACCGAAGATCATTGAACAATACGCAAAGTTCTTTGGGAGACCATTTTAATCTCCACCCATTGAGTCACTCACTGACCCCCAGCATCCCATTGTACGTCGATGTTCATCTTTTTTTTTGGTCGAATGCTAATTCCATTCCATTGTCGCTATTTTAGTTGTTTTCACAATAGACCAAGGTGTTCGATTTCCGAATATAACTATACTTCCGGACACCTCCATCCATTGTTGACATGTCGTTTACGCGGTGCTAAATTACATCTCATTGATGTGTTGTTCTATCGGTGTTAATCGCATTTTGTTTTCTCGAAAAATTGATATACTTGCACAAATTTTCTAGCTATATACATTAAAAATGTCACATATTGCAGTTGAATGACTCGATTAGGGTGTTGGCTCGGAGTAGCCTTGTTGGTGGCGATTGTCGGGCTCGCACAGGCCGGCTCCAATTGCTCGGCAGCGGACTCGACGAGAAATTGCATCGATGGACTCGTCGTGCCAATTTGGTAAGATTTTTGGTTTTTTTTTTCGACAAATCGGCAACTGCTCGATGGCTGCCTCGAGTGGCGCATCAACATCTGGAATTGGTCGCATATAAATCAAGCGAAATTCGATTTTTTTTCTTTCAATTTGAAGCGATTCGATTCGCAAGCAGCCGATTTGCAATACATTCAAACACGTGTTGTTAATTTTCAAACGATCTAGATTTGATATTTCGGGCAAAACAATCGCAAGCGAAAAAATGTGTACAGGGATTTTGTTTCAGGAGACCTTTTCTCGACCTATCTAGCGGCGATCGAATTCTTCGTGGAGTTATCTACTTCTTCGTTATCGCTTATATGTTCTTAGGTTGCTGAAACAACATTAGGAATGAAATATAATGGGGGAATCTTTTGCAGGTATTTCAATTGTCGCTGACAGATTCATGAGCTCAATCGAGGTCATCACATCGCAAGAACGAACGATCGTAGTTAAACGACCTGGACTTGATCCAATGGAGGTCCAAGTGAGAATCTGGAATGATACTGTTTCTAATCTCACCCTTATGGCCCTCGGATCGTCTGCTCCCGAAATCCTCCTCTCCATTATTGAGGTTTTTTTATTTCATAAATGTCTAGCTCTATTGGATTTGTTTAGATTATTGCCCGTGGATTTGAAGCCGGAGATCTCGGACCGAACACGATTGTCGGATCAGCCGCCTTCAATCTTTTCATGATTATTGCCATTTGTGTTGTCGTTATCCCGAAAGGTGAAATCCGCCGTCAAAAACATCTTGACGTCTTCTGCGTTACTGCCACTTGGTCGATTTTCGCCTACGTCTGGCTCTATTTGATTCTCGCGTTCTTCTCCCCGGGAGTCATTGAGATCTGGGAAGGACTTCTGACATTCGCCTTCTTCCCATTGACCGTCTTGACCGCCTACATCGCCGATATCAAAATCATCCAAGTATCCTCAGATTGAAATGACAAAGAATTCCAGTTGAAACCATTCTAGAACCGATTCTTGCCGCATCGCTATCGTCGCGGTTCGCACGGTCAAATGATTGCTACGGAAGCTGAGGAGATGAAGATGCTCGAAAACGGACTTCCACAGGCAATGAAAGACTTTTCAGTAGAGGTAGTTAGGCTCGAAATGGTTCACTAAAAGCTTTTTGGCATTGATTGTCTTAAATTTTACTGACGAGTGATACGCCTGACGAGTCTAATACCAGTTCTTTGTGATTCGGTTGCTCATGATAATGCTTAACAATAATATTTTTGGGTACTGTTTTCTTCAAATTGCTAACACTAGAAAAATAATGTCAATTGAAATTGGTATAAAAAGTTTACTAAAATACTCACGTAAAATTAATAATTTCAATTTTTTGAAAGTCAACTAACTTATTCATCATATTCGATGACGCACTTCTCACGAATCACAAAGAAATAGCATCTCAAATATCTTAGAAATTCGATATGATTCATTCATTTTAGGGAGGCGTCGATCCTGCTTTGAAAGCATTCGAAGAGCACAGACAAGAGTTCATCGAATTGATGCGCGAAATCCGCAAACAGAATCCGCATATCACTCCATCTGAATTGCAGAAGCAAGCTGAATATGAAATGATCAGCAGGTCAATAATGAGTTGTGCGGACCGAAAATCCAAGAAATTTTTATAGAGGACCAAAATCGCGGGCTTTCTATCGGGTTCAAGCAACAAGAAGACTTATCGGTGGAGGCGACATCGTCAAGAAGCGAATTGACAAAGAGCACAACAAAGCGCTCGATGCAGTATGTTTGACGAATCGCGGCACATTTTCTCTTTCTCTTTCATCATTTAATTCCAATAATTGTTTCTGCATGAGATTCATTCATACAAAAAAAACTTCAATCTCATTTCTATCATCATAATTCGGAGATTATGCCGTGCGCAGGACTAACACTGGTTTCGAACACCGCCTAATTTCAGTTGGTACAGGCACAAGAGAAGCAGCATCGCGAGAACACCTGCAAAATCTTCTTCGATCCCGCCCATTACACCGTTCTTGAAAACGTTGGAAGCTTCGATGTGGTTGTTGGAAGGTCGGATTCGATGAGAGGGGATATTCTGAAAATGGCGAATGTTTTTCAGAGATGGAGGTCCAGAGGGTCTCACCGTCATGGTTGATTACTACACCGAAGACGGAACTGCCAACGCTGTTAGCGACTATATTCCAGTCAAGGGCACCTTGACCTTCTATCCCGAAGACAAGCATCAGGTTCTATTGAATATTTGAAAAACGTTTAACGAAACATTGCATTTTAGAAAATCAACATCGAAGTTGTTGATGACGACGTTTTCGAGGAGGATGAGCACTTCTACCTTCACCTTAGAAACTTGCGCGTTCGCACCAAAGACGGACTCATTTTGGATCCATCTAGAATTGGAGGACTTCCAGTCGCTCAACTCGAGATGCCAGCCACCGCCACCATTATGATTCTCGATGACGATCACGCGGGAGTCTTCGGATTCGAGCACGATCATTTCCAGATTGTTGAGAACTGCGGACATCTTTCTCTCAAAATGCAGAGACACTCCGGCGCTCGCGGAATGGTCATCATTCCATTCAGGTGAGCAATCTGCTAAAATTTTGTAAAAAATTATATCACCTGAAGCTGTCAATAATTTGAAGTCCGTGAAATTTGTACTAATCGCTAGTAATGAAAAAAATTGTTTTTACATTTTTTTTCAGCCTTCCAATTTGGTTTCAAGGTTCTTTTTTACGTCTTGTTTACTATCCTCCCACGTAGTTTTCATAGACTGGAGAAATTTCGCAAAAAAGTTGTATTTCCTGAAAATGTCATCACAATACAGTAAACACGATTACTTTCCTTTTGGTTTTTTGGAGGTTGCATCAAATTTCATTCAAACAAACAAACGATGATTTCACAAGAAATTCGGTGTGTTTGCTTATGAACATTTTCAGGACCATTGATGGAACCGCCACCGCCGACAAGCACTATGAAGCGAAGGAGGGAGAAATTGTTTTCGAAGATAACCAGACCGAGTAAGAATTCAAAATATTTCAAATTCACAACGCTGAAATTCAATGCAGAGCTTACATTGATATCGGAATAGTCGACACAGAACAATACGAACGATCGGATTCATTCTTCATTGAGCTCTCACCACCAATCTGGGCGAAGAAAATGAACGGTATGTGGTTTGAATAACGAGACAAAAAAATGATATTAATCCCTTCTTCCACTTCTTCAAAAATTGTTCAATTAAAAACATCAACAAACAAGCACCAATGAATATCTCAACAAGAATGTGATGTGGTTGTGCTTCTACTTTTGCGTTTATACAATTATTTCAAAAATGCACTATTTATGAAACATTGCCCAAATATTCGGGTTTTCTCTTGTAATTCTATTGTGTCGTGTAGACTTGTCGAAAGTGCAAGAAAGATTCCAACGACGAATGGAACGAAAACGCGGATCCTCTGTGGTATCGGAATCGAAGGATTCGAATACTGATCAGGGTAAGTTAACGTTTTAATTGCATGTTGATCAAAAAAAGGTGCAAACTATTAGTATTAAAATTTGATATTTGACGTTTTTTATTTTATTCGAAAGAGAAATTTCCACTGACTTAATTGATATTGTTTTGGTTCAACCTACGAGTTTATAGACGATCAACCCAACCTCCACCTTTCCAAAATCGTTTAATTTTCAGTTACTTTCAATTATTTTTCACATTTCCCACAAACTTTCCACCCATTCATCACCAATGATTTAATTTTCCCTGCACTGAAATCCAAACCAATCTACCCCAATTATTATTTCCGTACCTAGTATATCACTAACACAATTCTGAACAGGCAAAGCATCGCGTGCGGGAAGTGTTGATCTATTGCAACCTTCGAACGATCCGCGAAGGTCGGTGTCGAGCTCACCGCACCTCGCGAATCGTTTCCGCAATCGGCTTGGATCGTGGATATCGGGAATGAGGACTGGTATAAATGCATGATTTATTGTGAATTGCATGCATGCCAGGAGAATTTGACAAAAAAAATCTAAACGAAATTGACTTTGCTCGCTAACAGAATTTTCATATGTGAGGAACATTGAACTCATCAAAACGAAAAAAATATCATATTTTGGTAGTTTTGTTTTCCTCACATATTGCTTTGAAATGGTGTTCAAACAATGAATATAAGAATTATTTTTAGGAGACGAAGATACCGATCCAGGATTGACGCCATCGCAACTTGAAATCGCTGAGATGGGTAAACCAAGACTTGGAGACATCACAAAATGCCAGATCACAATTAGAGAAAGCAAAGAATTCCAAGTAATCATATTGACATTTGAACGATTTTCAAATTAATTATTGCAGGGAATTGTTGACAGAATGATCAAGAACGCCAACACCCGCATCATGTTGGGAACGTCTTCATGGAGAGAGCAGTTTACTGAGGCTTTGGTGAGTTGTATATTTTCTATTCTTGGTTGTATTCGAATGTTTCTAACATTTTCCTTATTAGGTTGTCTCTGCTGGTGATGACGACGATGATGATGAGGATGGTGATGAGGATAAGGAGCCGCAGGAGCCTAGCTGCATGGACTATTTCATGCACATTCTCACGGTTCCATGGAAATTGACATTCGCCACAATTCCGCCAACCGATTATCTCGGTGGATGGGCTTCGTTCGTCGTTGCCATCGTGATGATCGGTATTCTGACCGCCCTTGTCGGAGACATGGCCTCCCAATTCGGATGCTGGGTCGGACTGAAAGACGCCGTCACTGCGATTTCATTCGTCGCTCTCGGAACATCAGTGCCTGACACATTTGCCTCGAAGGTGTCTGCTGTTCAGGACAAGTACGCGGACAACGCCGTCGGAAATGTGACAGGATCGAACGCTGTCAATGTCTTCCTCGGCATCGGAATCGCCTGGTCAATGGCTGCCATTTATCACTGGACCAACGGAAACCAGTTAGTCGCACAGATTCATTCCAGTTTATAAATTTGTGTTCAGATTCTACGTGAATCCAGGAACTCTCGGATTCTCAGTACTTATCTTCTGTATTGGAGCCTTTGCATGCATCACTGTTCTCGTATTGCGAAGAAGCAAGAAAATTGGTGGAGAATTGGGAGGACCAATGCTATTAAGGGTAATAATTGCATTAATGATGGATTTTATTGATCCTTTGAATATTTCAGTGGTTGACATCAGGTTTCTTCTGCACACTTTGGTTTGTGTACTTGCTCCTCTCGGCGCTCGAAGCTTATTGCATCATCCCAGGATTTTAAGAAGCCCGCTCAAAGAACAAGCGTATCGATTTTTCAATTGTGAAGAAGATCGCATTTTTTGCTGAAAACTGCGTTTTGACATTATTCACCCCCCGACCCTATTATTACTTGTTTTTCTCATTTCCACACTGTTTCGCTTATTTGTCCTTTTCGTGTCTTACCCTAGAATTTTCGTAACATTTTTCGTTTGAATTTCCTTCGTCCTATCTTTAGAGATTCACTTTGCTTCAAAACACCATATTTTTCTTCCGTTTATCGCACGAAATTTTACGAGTTTATCATCGGAAAACGTTTCAGATATTTAATTCTTGAACCGTTTTATATTCGATTTCTGGTCGTCAAAGGTGCCTAAACTCTTCATTTTTTCCTTTCTATTCTTTTTTTTTTTTTCATTTTGTTTGTTTCTTTTCAAACTTGCAGGAAATTCGTTTCATTCTTTCAAGATTGATATATTTACATCTGTAATTTTAGGCTAGCATTTTTTTTTGAGAGTCCCCACCACTAACATTTTCTATGATTGACAAAATGCAAGTTGATTTCAGTTGAATTTCTCACATGAATCTTTTTGAGTTTACTGTGTTATCTTTCCATTGTCTTCAATTGCAATAATAATTTTCAGTTACATCATCATCATCTATGAAATAAATCGTTTTTAAATGATTTAAATGTTGCTTTTCTTGTTAAGCATTTTACATTTTTTTATTCGCAGATTATCTAGATCCCACTGTTTTTTATTTACATTTTAATTACCGCCTTGAAGAAAGGGCGATGATATACAAGAATTCAAGCTTCTGGTTTTTTTGCAATGGTATTATTATAATTATTTAATTGAGCCATAAAATAGTTAATTACTACGCAGATTAGGTTCCCATCAGTTGCATTAAAGGTCCTTTTTTATCATTAAAACTCTTTTACTAGAAAGATAAAATGTATTAATAAAGGAAGAAAAAATCGATTCTCCCCAAACGTTAAAAAAACATTTTTTAAATGTATTAATCAGTCCATTAGACGAACGCGCTGAAGAATATATACACATCAGGGCTGTGCGGCAATGGAATTGCCGATTGCCGAAATTGCCGAAATTGCCGATTTTTCAAATTGCCGAATTGCCGAATTGCCGAAATTTTGATTTTCGGCAATTTGATATCAAAAAAAATCGGCGAAGCCAAAATCAATGTCCGTTGAATAATTTGGGATACCGTGAAAATTCGGTATTAATATTTCGAATTATCGTTGAAAACATTTAATAGCCGAAATTTTGATTTTCGGCAATTCGGCAATTTGAAAAATCGGCAATTTCGGCAATCGTCAATTCCATTGCCGCACAGCCCTGTTGTATATAGCGAGGACGCGCACGACCTACGGCTCGCCACAGCGCTGGTGTGACCTAGAAAAAATGCCCGAACAATTACGCTCGGCCACGGCCATTCTTGATAAAAATTTTTTTTAAACGAGCGCCTTATATAATTGTGATTTTTTTTAATAATTCGAAGCAGATCAATTTTTATTCGATTTCGATTGAAAACGAAATTATTTTCGAATCCGATTAATTTTTATTTACCATAGAATATTTTTAAAAAATTAGTGTGTATTAGTGTGCCGCAAAAAGAAGTGTGGATTTACGTCCTATGCATAAGGATACACCGCGTAACAAGACCCCTTCTTAAATTTGTTGGCATTTAGCCAAGTTATCGCATTCGCGCAAGGTCGACAATGGTGGGTTCAGCAAGTGCGCTCCATTGACACAACTGGCGTCCTATTTTGAACCAGAGCTTTTCATTCTATTTGATTTCCTTCTGTTTTTATTATTTAAACAAATTATTTTTAAATACGAAGTTTATTAAAAAATAAATGTCGTCAGTCAGTCTTTTGACACCGACAATAGCTTTTTTAATATGTAGTTATTTAATTTCTTGCTTTGCAGAATGGGAAAAAGAAAGTCGTCTGCAAATCATGAAAAATCTGAGCCAGTACTTAAAAAGGAAGTGAAAACATTGGACTCCTCGGTATGTTATTGTCAGCAGAGCGCGAATCAGATTTCATAAAAATGAGTTTCCAACAACCCATACGAAATTCTGTAGAAAAAATTGGTTTCTTTTTAATGCTTCGGATATTAATTATTCGGATCTTTGAAAATTTAAACATTTCTTGTTCGTTTAATTTTAACTTACCAAGGATATCGACAAAATATTAAAGTATTTCATTTAAAAAAAATAATGTTTTAGGACAATGAGAGCGAAAATGATGCCGATGAAACTGCCGTTTCTATCAACTATGAGCCAGATAAAATGCGTCTTTTGATTGATTCATTCACGGAATTCGTTGAAAAGAATGACAGCATCTATAAATGTGTGTCAAACTTAGAAAAAATGGTGACTGAGTGGGTTGATTCGCGAAAAGACGATAAAGAAAGCGTTCCAGTGGATATTACGTGAGCATATTTGATATATTTTCAAATAATGAAAATTTCAGTACGTTCTGTGCTGACTATAAAAAGTACATGAAGCTCGCGATAAAGTTCACAAATTTACATATATCCGATTGCTCGAAGTAAGCAAATTTTTTTGAAATATTACGAATTAACAAAAATTTAGGTTAACTTTAAAGTTCCTAAATGATCCGAAATGCCTGAAACATTTCAAAGATTTTCCACGAGCTCCAAGCAAACCAATTAACGTCTACATGAAAATGAAACAGATTTCCGCACAGGTTAAGGATATGAAAGTAAATAACAAAGTTCGATATGCCAGTTTTATTTTTAAATTTTTTAGGTTGTCTATGATACGTTTAAAAATGAGACACCTGATGTCACGGAAAAGGTGAAAAAAGAAGTTTTTCTCGAGCAGGAGCGCCGCCTTGAGGAAATGAAGAAGTTCTTACAAAATCATCCTCTCCTCACTTTTGAACAAGTGTCGCATTTGGAATCGAAAATCAAATCGGTGTCAAAACGACTGCACCCAAACACTGTTGCTCAGCGCACCCCGGCCAAAAAGAAGAAGGAAGCTCCAACTCCGTTCTCATTGTGGTGCAGATCGAAAGCATTAAAGTAAGATTTTAAAAATTTTTTTGAGAATTTTCAGAAACTTTTTATTTTAAAAATGTAATGGAATAAAATATTTCATGGCACACTCACGAAAAAAAAGTTTTCTTCTTCTAAGAAATATTATTTTAGATATGCCGATTTGCCAGAGGAAGAGCGTATGGCAAAGCTTGAGAAGAAGTTTAAGAAGATTTCTGACGCCGAACTTCGATTGTTGGAAGATCTCGCAATGACTGTCTAAATATTTTGTTGGGTATTGTTGTTGATTTTTGTAATATAGACTAAAAATTTACTCAGGAAATGTTTTGCATCTTCCTGCCAAGATTATCTCTTTGATCATTTATGAAATTCTAATTTTGTAATTAATGTTTCTTTTTTTTAATTAAATGTTTGAAAATATTTGAAAGAATTCTATTCTAATCATTACTATGTTTGATCATTGACAAATATCGGTGAAATTAATTAATTCGTATGAACGAGCATAAGAATCCACAAAATTCAAACCTTGGTATCACTCGAGTGACCCATCTGTGTACACTTCAAATTTCTCTCAACTGAACGTGATCATTCGATACAACTACAAAGCACATGTGATTAGCTATAATACACAAAAGCAGTTGCACAATTTAGTACGATTAAAAAAAATACTTATTATCACGTGAACTATACGATTTTCAAATTGAAATGCAGCTACCGCATTTTTTTAAATTTCAACTCAAATCAGAATCAGGCCATACTTATTAAGAATGATAACGATTGATGCGTTTCAAACTGGTTGAATTTTGATTAGTTCTTGTGAGAAAAAAAAGATTTTTTGCAAAAATAGCGGCGATCACCTTCTAATTTGATAATCCCACTATTTCGGAGATGTTGCGTCTTTTTAAAAAGGATATGTCAATCTAATTAGCGATTTTGCCGCTGATTGGAAGTTGTGTTTTAAAATCGCTGCGTGTTATGTTATCTCAGTGCTGAAGTCTTTCGACTTCTGCATTTAACACGTTTTCTGTTTTATCTATTCCACCCTTTTAAAGGAAATAAAAATGAGCTTATCACTTCAAACCAACTCATTTCGATTTGCGTTCTATGAACTTGAATAAATTTGGTTGAATTGGTGCAAAAACGAAATATTCTCCGCGAAATTGTCAATTTTTTTTTTTCAATCAAAACATTTGAAAATTGTGAGCATTTCTGAAATCGAATAGAGCTTCATAAAATATAGGCGAGTTAAATGAAAATTCTGACCGCAAAACGAAAAGTGTAGATTTAGGTAGGATTGCACAAGGTTAAAGGCGCTAAGACCTCTCCTAATTCTTAACCAATTTTCCGCTGTCGTCGACAATTAAATCGTTCCGAAATTTTTGCACTCGTTATGCTCTATACAACGCTTGCAACATATGCTAACCTGCTGGTCAGTCATGTGAGTGCACAACAACTGGCCGGGTTCACGGCTCAATCTGTGTTCGATCGGTGCCATCCACCAGAATTCACGTGATTCGTTGTGGCGTCGTATCAGTACAGTTGTCATTAGTTGGGGTATTCCCCCGTCGCCTCGTACCGCCCACCTACCGATTGCCCAATTACATTTTTCTTCGGCGGTGCTCAATTTTTTTCATCTAACATTCCGCCCGTATACGAAACGGCGATAACTGGTTTATCACAACCATCACATGATATTGAAGAGTTCTATAATGAGATCAACGTTTGAATTTTGTTGCGCGCCATATAAATAAACACGCTAAACAGTTTCATTATCGCACCTTCTCCGTTTTTGCATAGCGAATGAATCCCATGCGGTGGTCGCCCACAGATAAACGGCGGCATAGGCACAATGGAAGCATAGTGGAACGGCTGTGGATATCATAGGAATCTTATATGCAAGTTATATGGAAGCATAATGGAAGCATTTTTTTTGCGGAACCGCGTGTTTCGTATATGGAATGAGCCGTATGCCTTCCATATGGGAAAATAAGAAAACAATTTGATTGCTGTATTCAAAATTTATTTCATATTAACACATTTATTTAATTTAAAATAAAAAAAACAACAATGAAATGAATTTCAATTAAGATATAATCAAACCATTAGTTACTGGCAACTGCCGAACTATTCGAATCATTGTCAGTACTGACATCGAGCGGGACGCTGTAATAAGTAGATTATAATGGGCCTATTAATTTGAAAAACTTGTAAACCATTGTTACGTAAACTAAATTTTTCGAGAAAATACAATCAGTTTTTTTACATCAATAATTTTCTTAAAAATAAAAATAATTTATTTTTATTGCATTTTTGGAAACCCTTTAGTGCACAAAATAAAAAGTGAATTGGCGGAAGAAAGAACAACTCCAAAATTTGAAGCAAAAAGGCATTTTGGTTAAAATTTCAAAGACATATGAATACTCACATCTGAGGGTTGCTGGTAGAATCAAGCAGCTTCCTTAATTGTGCCGCGAGCGCTTCCGGCGCTACACCAAATTTCCTTTGAAGTCGTTGGCGCATTCTATCGCTTAATCAAATAAATAAATTAATAGTCATAGTTCAAAATCTTACAGAAGATTATCCATGACTTCTCGAACCATGCGTAATGCTTTCGCTTTGAAGTCATTTGTCGGTTGTTGCCCAAAGCCATGGATAAGAGCATCTGTAATATAGATATTTGCAATAAAGTATAGGATCTTTATATAGTCGGCGTCTGGCGACTTCTGTACTAGAGCCCCACTTAAAAAGATAAATGCCACTGAATGATATTGGTACGAAGGCTGTACGGCAATCGGAAATTTCGGCGATTCGGCTAATGGCAAATTACCGATCGAAATTTTCTTCGGCAATTTGAAAAACCGGCAATTTCGGCAATCGGCAATTCCATTGCCGCACAGCCCTGATTGGAACCAAATAATCAACAAGCTTTAAACTTAGGAAGTACTTTATAAAGACTTCATTGCGCATATTTTTCTAATTGAAACCATTTCTGGAGTCGAACAGGCCAATTTTTGATGATAACAACTTACAAATTGGGCGTACGAAGGTTTAGGAATTGGCGTTGATTTTGTTGTTTGTGAGGACTGTGGAGAAAAATTTTTTTGCTGAGTTGGCGAGTAAATTGGACTATCTGGATCTGAAGTGTCGAGCGAATTTGGTTCCATGTTAGGGACTTCTGGTTCTTTGTTATTGACTTCTAGAGCAGTTTCAGTTATATCTGACAACACTCTCGATCTTGTCTTCATCTGTAAAAAATTTCAAAACATTATGTTTTATTAAAAGAAAAAAGCGAGCGATAATAAAAAATATGTTAAAGTAAATAAAAATAAAACGGATTCGATGAGAAATTAAACACAATTCGATTGAGAAAATATTTAAATTCGATTTTAAAAGTGTCGGAAACGATTTGAAAACATCGTATCGATTTTAAAATTTTCGAATGCTATCAATTTATTTTTGGTTTCGATTTTGATGATAAATATGAAAATTTTTCCTTTATTTTTTTAAAACATTTTTCCTTTAATTTTGAAAAAAATTCTTTAATTTCTGACAAAAAAAAAAAACACAAAAAATCTTGAAAATTCATTGAGAAAAAGCAAAAGGACAAAAATTTTGAAAACGAATTTCGAAAATGTGAGGCGTGGCCGCATTGTGCAAAGCGGCGCACGGTTTTGCAATGCTGCGGCACGCCTCTTCTACGCGCGTCTGCTACCAGTTTGGAGCAAATTGTGAGTAGTTTGCGATGCCAATTTCGGAAAAACCGGCAAAAATATATTAATACGACTAAATTGTAGTTGGCAATCTTTAAACAAAGTGAGGAACAGTTGACTGAATTAACATAAATCTGAGTAACATAAGTCATTAAATGGTAGAAGCTAAATTTCGTCCGTTGTGTATCATGTAATTTTCAAATTTTCATTGTTTATATGATAGCATAAGTTTTTTGTATTGATTTTTCTAGAAATTGTCTTGGTCTGCCGTCCAGACGCCAATTGTATAATGTTTATTGACATATGATTATTTTATCCATATTCCATCCATATTTGTTCCACGGCTCGCAAACACCGGAAGCATATTCATCCCGTTTTCATTCCATCCATATTCGTCCCATAATTCTTCCACAGCCACTAAGAATTACATTATGCTTCCTATATGGAAGCATTATGCTTCCGTTCCACAGATTTCCCACAATGCTTCCATTATGCTTGCGTCGCGCTTAATCAGTGCCCTTTGTACCCGACTGGCAATCTATCACTCGGTTCTCTCGACTGATAACTTTCTATAGTTGTGTTCTGCTGGACGCGTCGGTGAACTCGGACGTGTCTCATATTGTCCGAAATGTATGGTTTTGTTCAATGATCTCGTAAACGTGTGCTGCGTTTTCATGCTGCCTAAAAGCGCATGGTTTCTCTATAATGTGAAGCATTCGTTGTTAAAAATCTTCGACCTAATGTGTAAGTGCAATAGGTTCACGGAGTGCGCACTATCACTTTTCTCGTATTTTCTGAAATGTAAACGTTATTTCTCTAAATACCACAGTATTAGCAAAACGAGAATTCTAAAAACGATTCCAAGAACGTGCTTCTCTTTGTTTCTTTTCATTTGCTCCACGTACATTCTTTCGACGAACTGCTACACTTTAATAACGTTTTTTGAAAAAAAGTATTTTCCTGGATTTTTGTGTTTGCAAAAGACATTAAACAGTTCAAACCAAGGTAAAATTATTTGTTTTGCTCATTTTCCATCTCTGAAATCAATCTTTTTAGTAGACTATTATTGTTCGTTATCTGTTTGTCGCCTTTCGTCGACGGGTAGAATGATGACAATTTAAAAAGGTTGAGGATACACATGGCGATACGCTTGGCTATATTTTATTGTTCTTTTTTGTGATCTCTATCTATAATACCCTCTTGTTGCACAGAAAAGATCTAAAAATATTTGTTTTTATTTCAGAAAGAAAACTCGAAGCAAACATGGCAATCGGTGTGGTTCATAAAAACAAAAGTGGAGCTCTTGAAAACGATGTAAGCAATCTGCAAAGGACCATTGGAACTTTAAAAAGGTGTCTCGAAATGGCCGGATCGAGTCAAGGAAATAGAAGCGCAAAGACATCATTGAGCGAAGAAGTGGTGGGTTGTAAAGTTTTGTATGAATATGATATTCCTTTTAGAGTGCGCTGACAATTGAAGAAGCTGTTCCTGAAGCATCAAAATGGCCTCATTGCCAGCACATGATCAGTCAGGACGAAGCGCGATCCGACGAGCCAGTGATTAATATTCGTCTTGTCCCGTATAAGGATGAATCGCAAATCGGAGATATCATGCGCCTTATTACCAAGGATCTCAGTGAGCCGTACTCGATCTACACTTATCGCTATTTCTTGCACAACTGGCCCGAACTTTGTTATTTGGTAGGTCCATATTTGATCAATTCGAAACAAGTTTCAAATCTATAAATGATCGATTTTGATGCGAGAAAAAAAAGTTAAATTTGATTGAACGCTGTCATGATAAGATAATAATGGTGAGACGCATAGTTTCGGGAAAACGCATCCTTTTGATAAATCGACGAATAGGAGAAACAAAGAATTCACTGAAATATAAACTAACAAAGTGATCATTGAAATATTAATTCTTTTATTTGTTGGTGGTTTACACGTTGATAAAAATTGAATTCATTGAATCTTGTATAATTTCAACTTGCTATTCGTGATTTTTCAGGCGTACGATACTGAAAAAGGCGTATACGTTGGAGCTGTTTTGTGCAAATTGGAATTAGATCAGCTATGCGGAAGCAAGGGATATGTCGCTATGCTCGCTGTAGACGAGTCGTGCCGTCGTTTGGGACTAGGTTTGGGAAATCAATCCTTTCAAATTACAATACCCATCTTTTAGGTACGCGTTTGGTTCGCCGCGCAATTCAGGCTATGCAAGCAAAAGGATGTGACGAGGTTGTTCTCGAGACAGAAGTGAGCAACAAAAATGCGCAGCGATTGTACAGCAGTCTTGGATTTATTCGTGAGAAGAGACTTATCAGGTAAAATTGTGCTTATTCAAATAGAGAATTCACGTTGCTACACTGGTAACACAAAACTAATTGAATCAGACAAAATTCGGCTTTGGAATCAACCAGATCCGAATCTTATCGGTTATTAGTCAGATCCGATTTGAAGTGAAAAATTAAAGATTCAAGCAATAGCAAATCGGATTCGAAAATGCCCAAAAACCAATCGGTTCCACAATTTTACAATCGTATAGAATTGGTAAATAGGATTTGATTGATTCCGTAGCCGAATTTTGTCTGATCCGATTGGTTTTGAGTTACCAGAGTAGCAATACAAAAAAGTAGAGTAAGCTATTTTCAGATATTATTTAAATGGAGGTGACGCTTTTCGTCTTCGTTTGATCTTCAATGCTCGATTCGCCGACAGCAACGCGTACATTTCGCCTCCTCCGCAGAATGTTTGTCCGGACGACGATGAGAGCATCGAAGGGTCTGATGAGGAAATCGACGAGGAACAATCCTGTTGAGGTGCAATGCTGCTCGAGAATTTCAAATCAATTATGCACATTTTGCCATGTAGATTCAATAATCAATATACTACACTTGTCATATGCCTTAGTCTGTGTTCAACACCTAATTTATAGAAATTCATGTTATGTTTCTTTCAATAATATGAAAAAGACACTACTCGCGAAAAATCCTTTATTCATTTATTGGTATAGTAAACCTAGGTAAATTCAATAGATTAAACTGAATATCAATTTTCTTTTGGAAAATGGGGGTGAGCAAAAAGAAGAAAAAAATAAAGAATTAGGAGAACTCATAATGAATTAAAGACAAATTTCTGGGAAGAATGTATGGTAAATATTGGGGGTAAATACGAAAAAAAAACAACTGCGAGATATCTAAGCTAATGGAAGATTGGCAAACGGAAAATGTGGAATACAATATTTTTGTTATTGATAAGAGTATTAATATTATTATTATTATGCCAATTGAGATCTGTGTGAAGTGAAACCATGCGGTATTCGACACAAGAATTCAAGGGGACGATAATAGCTAATTCGAGATAAATGTAAATTTGACAATGACAACTAAGTCAATCGAGAGGAAGCAGACGATAAAACAATTTTGCGTGATATCACTAGATACATTTTTATGGTAGATAATGCAGCTTTTCGCCGAGATTGAAGTCTTGTCCGTGGAATGGGGTCCACCCGAAGCACTCTTCGGCGATTGGCTCAACTTCAGCATCTGGTGAAGTCGAACTCGCCGGGTTCGAGCGCTCGGCTGAATAACGTTGCTATTCGGAATATTTTCAAAACAGTACCTCTGCGCAAAACTGGCTCATGAGTTGGTTTGGCGATAACGATGGTGGACCGATTAGTCTCCTTGTCGACGTCGAAATGTGTGTTGAAAAACATGCGAGCTGCTGACTGCGAATTCCGCGACGACGGACCAGGCGATAGCTTTCTGATCATCGAACGCGAGTTGTTCGCCTTTGGCGTCGAAGTGAATGGGAATGCCGATTGTTGGCCAATGACCATCGCCGGTGTCATGGCCTTCTTTGCAATCGCCGACCATTCAGTTGGCGTCGGAGCTGCAATTTATTCGTTGCCACATTGAAATGTATGCAGGACGAAGTGCGTACCCGGAGTGTGATGAATTGGCGAAAGAAGAGCCACCTCTTCAGCGAATTCCTCATGAGCTTCTTTTTCAGCATCCTGAACAGAACTTTCCGAGATCTCTGGCTTCGATTCAGACTTGTCCAACTCCTCGTTCACATGCTCGCGAGAGCAATCAGTCGATGATCTTGGTGTTTCAAAACCGCTGTCGTTTTTCTAAATACGTAGTTGCGATAAACTTGGAAGTTTTCACATTTTAAACTTTTTTGCAGTTTCTTATGGTCGCAGCGTAAGAGAGACTTTGCTGTGGCGGTGTCGGAGCGAGAACAACAATCTAAAAATGTAATGTGAAAAAAAAGAAAGAATTGATTATATTGCATACGTCGGAAAATACCGAAGTGTTAGACAGATCCTTCGAGCACGATTTTTGCACGAAGCTCTGAAATTAATAAACTACTACGACAGCTTTTTGAAAACAATATTTTTACATTATCCGGAGTGCAGGCGGAAGATGAGAATGATAGGTCTGAGACGTTCTGATTCTTTTTCCTAAATTGTATCATTAAACTAAAAACATCTACAAATGATCTACTTTTTCTTTTGCTCGGCAGGTGGAGCACGACCGCCGCTGTTCAAAGTCGGAAGAGTTGTTTTCGTCTGGCGTTTCGTCTTCTTCTGTTTTTTCTCTTTCGCTTTCTAGATATTTTGGTAATAAAACTGCCACTATTTTTGAAAGTATACCTCCTGTTCATAGAGTTTTTGCTTGTCAAGACTGTAGTGTCCAAGACCACATCGGCACCGGCAGATCTGAAATTTTTTCATCGAATTTCGCTAGGAATTTTAGCCAACCTTTCCGATAAGACTAATTCCTTTCTTTTCCCAAAGATTGTGAAGTCTTTGCGACTCGGTCCATCCGCGAGCAGATCCTATAATAAAAGTTAAAAAATGTATAAGATAAAAATACAAAGTCGAACCTAATGTTCCGAGTTTCTTCACAAGACTCTCTTCCAGTTCCGCGTAACATTGCCGGTGAAGCGGGTGCTTGATGATCGGGCAAGTGTCGTTTGTGCAGGTTAAGTAGACTTCGTCCTCTTCGTCCACTGGAACTCTAGCTAAAAATCATAAACTCTGATACCATTAGAAAATGTAGTACAAACAATTGCAGCAATTCATGCCAGGCACCGGACAGCCTGGGCCTGCCCATTCTATCGCTTCCTCGCTGACAGAACCAGCAGCTCTAGCTGCCTTATTGGCCTTTCGTGTTTTATCTATTCGGCCTTTCATTCCTAAAATTGATTATTTTTTTCAATCGAATAAAATCGAGAAAAGGAATAAAAACTTTTTCTGATGTTTTGCGTGGAGGATACATGCACAGAATAACACTCTACAGTACCACAGGATTAAAGGATACTATGAATGTTTGTGAAGCAAGCAAGAAAAAACTGGAGAAAACTGTTTTTAAATTTTAATCAGTTCAAATCTAATGAAACAATTCGAAAACCATAGAAATTAAAAAAAAAACGTCTCAGCTAACTCATCGGGGGAAACAGCGGTTTTCCTCAAACACCGGCTTTGCCTGTTTCACCGCATTGGGGAAAACAAAAAATTTGTTCTATTTTCTTTACCACTGTTTTTACCAAAATTTGCCAATGTTACGATGAGTTGGCCGAGACAATTTGGATGCGGGATATTTAATAAAATGTCCCTATTTCGCGCCACTCCAACTACAGTTCATTAGAAATGACAATATTCGAAACAACAACCACGACTAAACAGTAGATCAATTCGCTGATCAACTAACAGAACAAATCTGAAAATGAATACGCTCCTACAAATTCAAGAGATGAGTGACGAACCAATGTGCGAAGTACTATCAGTTAAAGCCATTGTGTTTATATTATGAGTTAAACATGGCCCCGATGAACGAAAAAAGGCGGGACATCATTTACCATCGCACATATGTGCAAAAATGTTGGCAGACGGCTACTTGTATTTCACAAGAAAAGGCCGTCTCTGCTGATTTTTTTGCTCTCGCTGTTCAGCATTCTCTTTTCGGATGATCGAACGATGTGATGACTAATCATAAGAACTGCGTTATGTGATTGTAGAAAATGTGTTGATTTATCAACAACCCTTCATACAGCAATAATTAGATTGCTCAGCTACTCAGAGTTTCGACAAAATCGAGGAACACAATAATGAAACATGTTGTTTATACCGATGGATTTAAATTTAATTGACCTATTCATGAAATGTAATTATTTTTTTCAAAAAATGTCAAAAAAAAAATAACATTAAAGATACCACACAAAGTTGAACATTTTTTTGAAATGAGAGAGACGCTTAAATTGCCGCCAAAATTGCGTGAAAATGCGTGAAAACACCGTGACGCAAATGCCACAGCAAAAAAAAAAACTAAAAAAACACCAAACTCTTTTGAATTTTTCGATCAGTATTTTTGCAGCAAAGTTGAAATTTTATAAATCTTTTTTATCTGGTCTCATACTACTATTGGACTCATAATTAATGTGATTTAATCAGTTTCAACGGCTCATCGGATTTGGGTAGAATCTTTAAATGTGCATGAATAGGTCCATAGAGCTTAAAAGTTCCTCAAACAATTTTTCATTTGGAAAATATCGATTGTTGCCAGCTGTTAGCTACAGTATGCAACGCTGTTATGCCTTATGGGGAATAGTTAAAAGATAATTGCCCCTTCTATTGAGTTAATATAAATGTGATCGCAGAGACTATAAAAAGACTTACTCCGCTGACAAGCTTTGCGGCCCATCGTCGTTGAATATTGTAGAAAATTGGATAGATTCTGGAAAAATCGAAAGTGGGTAATCAGGAAGTCACCAGAAGTCGGAGTGTGGACGATTGATGGAGTTGGGGGGCGGAGTATATCAGCTAACGAGTTCGCACCTCAATACAATATGCGCAACATGTGCGAACGCAAAAGAGTTTATGATGGGCAATGATTTGTTAGAGCAATCAGCCAGATGTCGGACACAAAAGTTGCCGAAGTGCTCTAATTTCTTACGAAAATGGTTCGCCGACCAACTGTGACCACGAATTGCCGACACTTCCACATGCGGACTCTGTTCGTTGTGGACGTGATTGACAGTCGGCACATCTGTGATTCTATTGGTAGTAAAAAAAAATATTGTTTACGAATATTTTCTAGTGATTGAATGCGCGTATAAATTTTCTTTGATGAAGCGACACCAACTTGAATGATCGAAAATTGGAATCGAATGATGCTCGAATTTTGTGTGTTCCAATTTTAGTAAATTAAAAATTGATATGAAAATGTTACGGATTTTGTACATTTTCCATTTCCGCCAGAAAACTTCAAATGGACCTATTCAGCGACATGCGAAATAGTCGAAATAGTCATTCGCGCGTCAATTTTCACAAATTTTACGTGATTGCCATCGATAAAAATGAGAAACTCGACAATTTTGCAAATATTGAATCGATCCATGAATCGAGGATGGTTGACTCGAAAAGTGCTCATGCTAGCGGCTGTTAGTAACGAGACAAATCGGATCAATTTACTAACAGCCACTGGGATGAATCAAAATTGAATTTAGGTTTCTAGCGAATTGCCAAACCCAGCCAAACCTATTGGTGAAGAAATTGTGGCAAATGTGTTAGTTGAGATTGTCGACGCTCGCCATTTAATTATCGAGGAATGAATCACCCATTATACAGATTTTACGGGAGCATTTGCGAGAAATCATTTACTCATTTGTTCACCAAAAATAATATTTGTCGAAGTAATTCTATTTATCAATTCCATTACTTCTCCATTTGCTCTGTTTCACGCATAATCCATAATAGACAAAATGTGACTCAAATATCAATGAACATCTATCAAAGAATGTTGAGTCCATTTTTCGAGACATCTCATGCGTATTCAAGCTTGAAAAAAATATCACGAGTCTTTCGTGACTGTTTTTTTTTTGAGAGACTAAAAAATCAATTAAAACTTTAACAAATTATTAGCTATAAAATTCACAAGAATGAATAATTTCAATGTTCTTGACACTGTGAAACCAGCATTGTTGTACACATTCAATTCGCTAAAAACAAATTTTGAAGAATCAAGTATCCCTATTTGGATATCATTCAGGTTGCAGTAGAAATCTTAATGAGGTAACTAGGCGACGCGTAAAGGTCTTCTCGTTGACATATTCACGTGTAACTTGTTAGTGCTCTATCTCGGCATTAAGAGTACAATTCATATAGTTGAAACACGTCGATTTGAGAAGACATGAAGAAAAAATAATGTGTCTTTATTAGAATTATTTTGCTCATGTTCTTTCTCAAACTTTCTGAAGGTCCACGTTTTCTATCAAGTCGAATTACTTGGTTCCCAAAGTTTCGATTCTTTCATTATTTTAATAATTGCCATCAGCGTAATTTTTCCAATCTAAATTTGAATTTTCAAATAGTATGAGATTATCAAAAAACTCGAAAAACGCGCAAACTTGATGATGCGTATCAAAGCAGAAAAATTTAATATCTGCTATTTTCGACGTCGCATGAATGCGAAAAATTGGCTAAATGCCAAAAAATTTAAGGAGAAATCTTGGTGCGGTAATATGTCCATACTTCGATCCTTAGATCCCCCCCACTCTTCTCCTGTATATCCTCAATTATAGTTTTGCGCCAAGTCCACTGCCCATATTTTTTCAGTACTTTTCCAATTAACCACAATTACACTGCGCCGAAATTGAAATTATTTACATAGGTTAAATTAAATTCATGACGCAAAATTAACCAATTATTTCTTTTGACGTATACTTTTTGAATATTTTTTTTTTTGTTGATCCGGCTATGGTCGGCCGACACTCCAGATTTCAGGTACTCATGGCATTCGCGGATTGGTCGAAACCATACACATATATCCGATTCATCGGTGCAGTTCTCGGCGTTGCTTTTAACATCTTCGTATTGCTATTCTATCGCCCAAAAAGATTGCTTATATCGTTCAAGAGAACTCTCAATTGCACGTGCTTAACTGGAATTTTGTTTTCGATTTTAATGTTTTTCAGCAATCCGGTAACTTTCAAAGTATAATATAAAGATTCAAAAGTTTTTAAGGAAGCGCATTCAAATAATTCTGGATTTATTATGTTTTCGCAATCATTTGACGCCATAAATAATTCTGGAATCCCGTCAAAAATACTTATCGGTTAGGAGCCAAACATTCCATTTTTTGAAATATTGTCGATAATAACTGGAATAAATTGCAGGACTCAATTTCGCTGTTCAGTACTTGGTTCTTACAATCATCATTGTTCATTTCATGAGACGAAATGCTATTGTGATACGGTTTGAATTTAGAGCAATGTGTTTTCAGCAAATTTTTAACGAGCTCGTCCGTTTGCAATTACGTTTATGGATAAGCTCGTTTTTACGAAAAATTTACCGAAAAAAAAATTTCAAAAAAAAAAACAAGACCATTCAGAATTTACAAAAATCAACTAGCTGCAAAATCGTCGCCATTATTGAATTTGGCAGTATGTCTGGCGAACGTTCCACTCGTTTATACTTTCATCTTCACGTTCTTCTTCGACAACAAGAGTTGCATTGAATTCATGAGGTTGGAAGATGCATGGTTGTATGATTTTCTGAGTTTCATCAAATACAGGGGAACACTCTCAAACGAATATAAACTGGATTTTGATAATGTCGGTGCAATTGCTGTGGCATCGAATCACGTACGTTTTGAATGATTGATTTTAATTTTCAGCAGGGTGAAGCACTTTTGGACAAAAATCCGAATAAATCCTATCAAAAATGAATTCAGCTTACTTAAAATGTTAGAAAATTAGAAAGTTAACGTAAATCCGAAAATACGCGAAAAAGCCGCAAATGTAAGTTCAATGTCAGTTTGTTCGAATTTTGGAATTATTTACCGATTTCGGGGGAAAAACTAATATACAGGGTGTCATTTAAGTTCCCGCACAAAAGTTTGACGCCATGAAGAGCATGGCTGTCGCACTTTTCGTGCACCAATACAATTTATTTTTGTTAAATAAGGTATATTTTACTTACTTTCCAAGTTTTACCTCATTCGGATGTGTTTCCGAGAAATGGCGAAGGCTAACATCCATTGCGCTTCCATTATCGAACTTCATAAGCAAAATGTGAGCCTGAGAGACATCATTCAACGCCTCGGTGTGCCTCTTAGAACGGTTTACGACATCATCTAACGTTTCAAGGAACTAAATACGACCAGTGACCGTCCCAGATAAGGAAGACTCGTCTCGGTAACCACTCCTCAGAAGTTCAACGCCGTTAAATCGAAGATCAGGCGAAACCCACACAGGAGCATGAGAAAGATGGCGTCAGACGTGGGAATGAGCATTTTCGCTTTGGAACAAATCGTCAAAACGAAGCTTGGACTGACCCCATATCGTGTCCAAAAAGCGGCAATTCTATCGGCCGCCAACAAGTAGAGACGCTTCGAAAAAGCAAAACGACTTCTTGCTCGCACGCGGTCTGGAGAACACCTCGTCACTGTCTTCTCCGATGAGAAGCTGTTCACTGTGGAGGCGGCATTCAACTCACAAAACCATCGAGTACTTGCCCAGACATCCCAGCAAGCTTCTGAGAAAGGAAGAACATATCATCCAGCCTCACATCCTGCCAGTGTGATGGTTTTCGGTGCCATCTGCTCAACCGGGAAGTGCTCCCTGGTTTTCGCGGATCAGGGGGTGAAAGTGAACAAAGAAGTCTACGTTCGGGACATTTTGGAGAAGCATGTGATACCCTGGGCCAAAACGCATTTCGGTGGGCAGAAATAGGTTTTTTAACAGGACGGAGCACCCGCCCACACTGCCAAAACTACTCAGGAGTGGTGCCAGACCCATTTTCCCGACTTCATCAAGTCATCCGAATGGCCTGATTTCTCCCCAGACCTGAACCCGCTTGACTTTTCCGTGATGGGCTCTTGCAGGAGAAGGTCAACGCAAAACCCCACTCAAGTATAGAGGCTCTGAAGAAGACATTACTGGTGGAATGGGACAATCTTTCCATCGAATACCTGCGTACCACAGTCACATCCTACCCGAAGCGTCTCCGTGAAGTCATAGCTGCGAAAGGAGACCGAATCAAAAAGAGTTAATAGATAATTATTTGTTATACTATAGATAAAAAATATTTCAAGTCTCGTTTGATTTGGACTTTTAGTTTCAGAAATATATGCCTTCAAAGTTGTGCGGGAACTTAAATGACACCCTGTACACAATATACTCAGGAAATTATTTGGGTCCGATTACATATGCAGACATATTTTCATAAATGTGGTCTGATGGACGCCTGAGCCACAAGCTCCGAAAAATCGATTTTGCCCACTTGTCGTACGTTCTGTCCCGACTCCGCCCCTTATTACGGTGCCGAAATGAATCTAGAAAGTGTGGTGGCAAACCTCTGCTAAATGGGCTCTTTTCCTTCAATGAGCCAATAACCAGAAACATGTGCTCAATAACTCAATTATATTTCAGCACAATGTTCTCAATTCGACGAATTCTGTATTCATTTATGGCTCTCTTGCCTTCGTTGTCTTCAATTATCTATTCATCGTAACTTGATAAATTTTTCAATGTTCACTCTTGATTTCAGATAATCCATTGGATCATTTGTGCTTATTTATTGTATACATTTTATTCAAAAATTTCACCGAACTTAAAAACGACATCCGTTCAATTGCGAAGAGTCAATTCTCAAATTGTTAACGCTATAATTATCAAGGTTTATGAAAAAGAAGTTCATATGAGCCGAACAAATATATTTCAGGTCGTTTATCTTACAATTACTCTGTATGTTCCAATTTCGATTCTGATGATACTTCCATTTTTCAATTTTCAAATCAACTTTCGTGCCTCGTTCATCTTCACTCTCGCATCACTTTATCCATTCATTGAAGGCATGATCACGATTATTTTTGTCGTCGACTTAAGAAAATCTCTTTTTCGATTTTTCTAAATATTTCCTATTTTTAACTAATATATTTCTTATCTTTTAAACTATATTACATTCAATAAATAACTGCACATGAAAAGAAATCTCCGGTTTGTTTGTTTTTCCAAAAATAAAAATATGAAACGTTCCGAATGGCTAACAAAGAACGTCCACCTGCGCTGGCCATCTATTCTCGAAAAATATTACCTGTCAGAGTTTCGCGGTGTTCTCCAAAATGTTATTTTTATTGTTAAATTAAAAAGAGAAATTAGCTCTCAAATATTTTCATGAAATGGAAATAAGAGCAAATTCAACGTGCCATTTCGTAAAGTTTGTTTTCACGTTTCCTATTCAATTTGATGTGTTGTGATAACAAACTTTAAAAAAAAAGAAACATTCGTATCGAAATGAGCCCACCCTCTCGAAAAACTTTCAAGCTATTAAGATCTCATAGTGCTAAACTATATGTGTAGATTTACGGAGCTTAATAAAAAGATATGTTAAAAGAGCACGCTTGCAAAACCTCTTCCTCAAATTACTAATAACTAATAAAGTACACACCTACATCTCTGCACTTTCGAAAAGTGCACGTTTGGGAACTCATGCGTAATTTTAAAATGTCATTCTTAACAACATATTTGAGACGCATTGAACTTCTCATTAATCAGTACAATTATGAATCGGAAATAATAAGAATTGTGATCATTCATTCATTTTATTCCAATTTTATCATCATGTTCATAAGTCAGTTTCGCCATTTACAATTCAAATTCTATATATCAATTCGAAAAATTTTAGAGAAAAATTCGAGGCATTGTTAAGATCCTAAAATTTAGCGAGCAACAGGTCCGCGATCACCGTGATTACGATCTTCTGCGGACCTTCAGAATCCTCTACACGAGTTCCAGATGCTGTACATTGAGTGGATAATATCCAGTTGGGATTCTGATATGATCGAGGCACTATCGGCAATCATGGTTCACGTATTCGTCGCCCTTGTCTATCTAATTTAATCTGTGATTTTATGTTCTTAACTGTATAAATAAATTTATTTGTGTGTACATTTCAAATAATCATCATTATTCACAGATAAGTTAAAAGGCTCTATCACAAAGTTCAACAATCACGACTATATGCAAAGTTAGAAACTGACAAAAATTAAATTAATAATTGACTCGTTACCATATGATCATCGGCAGATTCTTGTGGCATTTTTAAGTAATTAAGTTATGCAGAACGTATATAAATGAATAAATAAATATGAAAAAATGTATATTAACGATTTTCCATTTCGTTGTAGCAATGATTACAGGCTCGTACAGGATTCTTAGCGCTGGGAATTCGAGTAGTTTTTGAACTGCATTGGTTGCAGTAAATTAAGCCGCAGACGCGACAGTGATGTTTTCTGAGAACTCATTATTTTATCGCAAGCAAAAGCGAATCGATAGTTACCGAACAGTTAGTGTAAATATCTTTCCGCAATCCGTACAGTTTACAGCAGCAGAGTCATCAAGCCATTTCCTACTGTTGAACCTATCCTTGTCCATCTGAAATTTTTTGTTTAGATAAGTTTCGACTGAAAATGCACAAACCTGAAGTGATTGGTTGGCCCTTCCAAGCTCATGCATAGCTGAGAGCGCTTCATCGAATCTTCGCTTATTTTCCATGGCTCGCTCGCGTTCAAAATCGAGATCACTTTCACAATTCAAACATCTTTCGAGCAACGCATTTTTTTCCTCATTCCAGCTGCCCATCTGCTGACGCAGAGCTGAAACATTATTCAATCAATAGGTTGTTGTGTGTAGCATGCCAATTTATAGTCGGCGTCCGGCGACTGCTGTACGCGGGTAGATTTACGGGAATGCTTTTTTCTATTGGCCTCGCGCGGACTAACTGATTATTTCGCATTTTATGGGTCGATTCGATAATTTTTTAATCGAACGACATTAGAAATTCCAAGAAATGCCAAACTCATCAAGAAAAAATAAATCGTTCACATGAAAACAGCAAAATAAGCGTTCACACGTGGCGAGACCTTTTCAAGACGCATGCGCGTAAATCTACCCGCGTACAGCTGTCGCCGGATGCCGACTATATATGTGGAAAAAAAAGAAAGAAGACAGGAGAAACCAACTTTTCAATTCAGCTTCGGCTTCCTCAACCTTTTTCGTGGCATCCAAGGCGCTCGCCTTTTGAGTTTTCACATCTTCTTCCATCGATTCAATTATTCTCTGCTTCACAACAATTTGTTGCTCAAGCTCATCTCGAGTTTGGCTAAGCGTTTCCTCAACTCTTTCCAATTGCTCCTGTAGTTGTTCAATTTTTTCATTCTTCTGTTGAATTTCAACAGTCAATGAGGTTTGAACTTCCTCAAACATTTTCTCGAATTCAACATGTTTTTGTTTTAACTGAAACACTCTATTATTTTGGTTGATGGGCAAATTTTTTATTACCTTTTCAATAGAACATTGTTTCTCTTCAATTTCATTTCTAAACTCTTCAACCTCCTTGAAATGCTTCACCGTTACTTCGTCAGACGTTTTCAGAGCTTCTTCATATTTAACTGTCATCGACGTGCATTTCTCTTCTTCCACAGCTTTTTCAGCTTCCAATCGTTCAATTGTTCGATTATTATCAGCCAATTGTTTTTCAAACGCTTCCTATAATGAAAAATGTGGTAAAATTAAGAAAAATCGGGTGGATTACAATTCTCGCAGTAAATGTTTCCATAATCGACGATTTCTCATGAATTTCCTCATCCTTCAACCTCAAATTTTCTGTGAGCGTCGCAACTTGCTATAAAATTTATTTACAAAATATTTTTTTCAGAAATAGAAACAAACGTTTTCACGGCTTGCGAGTTGTTCCTCGATTATTCGTTTCTGCTCAATCGTTTCCTCAAGTACTTTCTCGATATTCGCCTTTTCTTTCTCAAAATTTCCAAGCTCCTCGCTCGTTTTCAAATGAATATCGTATTTCTCCTGGTTCAACACCTTAAAATGTGTCATTGCTGCGAAAATCTAAAAAAAAATTATACCCATTACCTCAACTTGCTTTTTTAATTCATCGCGCTCTGATTGAAGATTGTCTGATTGCTTTTTGACGGATTCCAGTTCAACACGCTTCAAAAAATAATGATAATTTCGAAATTATATAAAAACGAACCGTTTCTTCAAGATTCTTTTTCAACATTTCTAGTTCGCAAAGCTTTTCTTCGTGTTCAGTTTGAAGGGTTTCTAACTCCTTTCGGATCTCTTCTGTACTATTCGTCAATTTTGTTATTTTCGCCTGAAAAAAAACAACTAGAAACTTAAAAAAAAAAAGGTTCAATCATTTGTTTACCTCATATTCAGTATTCCTCTCTTTTTCTAATTTCAACGATTCTTGAGTAGTCTTCAGATTTGCACAGGTTTCATCATTTTCTTCCTGATTCCTCACAATCTGCTGCTCAAATTCTTCCCGTTTGATCTAAAACAAAGCTGCTTAATATATAAATCATCTTTTTTGAAAACCAACCTTCCAATGAGCTTCTTTTTCATTCATTTCCGAAATGATCTGATTTATTTCAGCGTCTTTGTCATTAATGTCATTCGAGACCTGAATTACATACTAAAGAGCAAACAAGATAAACATGAATCTAACGTTTTGGGTAAGAATAGGTTAGTGGAAGCGGACGTTACAATAATAAACATGTTTGAATCGGTAAATTGCCAAAAATTATTGACTGATTGAAAAAAAAACTCTTCTAATTTTTAAAATAATAAGAAAATTGTCAGTCAATTTCTTTTTTGTGAATGAATAATAAAAAAATTGTATTGATTTCCTAAAATATACCATTATCATTAAATCAGAAAAATAAATTTTGAGGGAAAGGGAATAACGTTGTAAGTTGGGATAGGACAAGGTTAAAGCAGCAGTTGCGTGTTGCAAATCAACAAAGTTCAGAATACCTTTTCAACTTGCAACTTCAGCTGCTCGATGAATCCTTCAGATTCGCGAAGCTTCGAGTTTAGCTCTTCTAGGGTCTTGTTCTTCGCTGTTAATGATCCATCGCGAATCGATACCATTGTCTCCTGAAAGCGAACAGTCAGTACAAATATTGCCAAATTCAAATATATACCAGTTCAAGAGCCCTTTTTTCAGCTTCTTGTAGTTTCTTAACGGAATCTTCAATTTTCTTTCGATTCTCCTCCAAATGAATATCTTTTTCTCTCACATGTTTTTCCTTATCATTAATACTGGCAACTAGCTAAAATTTGAAAACTAGTATGAAATACAATGTATTCGAACCTCGTCAATCTGTTTTCTCATTTGTTCCGCTCCGCTTTCTTTCTGAAGAAGCAATTCCTTCATTTTGTTCGCTCGGTCTGCCGATTTTTGTCGTTCTTCTTCAATTTCCTTTTCCATTTCAACAAATCGTTCAGCCTTGAATTCAAATAAATAGAACTTTAAAAAAATAAAAAAAAAACCAACCTTTCTCTTAATTTCATCATCAGCTTCCTTGATTCTTCTAGAATATTCTTCTTTTTCTTCTTTCCACTTCTGTTCAGTTTCAGCCTTGATTGCTTCAGCATTGCGAACACATTTTTCCAAGTCCTCAATTTTCTTTTCGAGATCATTGACCTAAAATACCATCCATAAGATTTATGAAGTTTGAATTTAATAAAAACTTACCGTGTTCTTATGTTTTTCGACGAGCGCTTCAATTTCCTCTTTCATTCTTTTATTCTCCTGCTCCAACTGATCAATCGCCATTTTGGCGCCACCTTCTCCTTGCGTGATCTTTTCCATTAACTCTTTCGAATATTCTTGTAGTTTCGAGATTTGAGTTGTAAGATTTTCGACAAGAGCTGCTCTCTCATCAAGCTCGTTTCGATATTTGCTGGATTTGTTTTCGAGTTCAGCTAGCTGCTCTTTCAAACTATGGATAATTTCATCTTTTTTCGAAATTTCAGCGTTCTTTTCAGCCAAAAGTGCTCGTTCATGATCGAGAAGTGATCCAACCGAGCTTAATTCATTTGTCAAGTCCATATTTGCCATCTCCAGCTGAAAATTTGAGATTAATTAAAGTTAAAGTAAGCAAACTACTTACGATTTTCAAACTATCAGCTGTTTTAGTTGTTTTCTCCTCATAACCGCAAACTTCCGATTCGTATTTCTTCTTCTCTTCAAGCAGCTGAAATTGTTTATATTTATTATAGTAATATAATGAACGTACCATTGTTGTTTATGATATAAATAAATAAATTTCCGAATAAATGTATGTTCAATCTACGATACACATTTTGAAAGAATACCAAAAGAAAAATGACGAATTCAACAAAAATTGAAAAAAAATCATTGAACCGGAGCTCAGAAAATAAAAAAACTCGTAGAAGAACAAACAAAATGAAAACGTACCTTTTCAATTTTTTCTTGAAGTGATTTCAATTTCGATTCATTGGCGTCATTCGAATCATTTGCAATGCGAACAGCGGCTTCCGACTGTCTGACCTTCTCCTCTAGTTCGCTCATATTTTCCTTGCATTTCTTCAATTCACCAATGTTCGAGTCAATCCTGCAATGTGAACAAATTTCAGTATTTTTTCACAACAACGCATCATTGACTCACTTTTTTTTAAGCTCTTCAATTCTCTCATCTTTATCTTTGATTTGTGCGTTTAGAACTTCATTCTCTTTTTGACAACTTTTGAAGTTTTCTTGAACTTCCGATAATTGCATGGTAAGTGTGACTACTTCATCAGATGATCTAAAAAAAATATTGGAAACTCAAATCTTTAATTTTAAAACAGTACCCTTTAGCACCTTCCTCAAACTCAGAGAGACGTTTTTCTAGAGTTTCAATGATAAGATGTTGTTTTTCGCGCTCCATGCTCAAATTGCGAATCGCAGCAACTTGTTCCTTCATTTCAACATCTTTTTCTTGTGAGATTTGATCCATGAGACGTTGCGAATTTACTAACTCTGTTCGCAACACCTTAACATCATCTTCAGAAGGCCTCATGTCGAGCATCTTCTCTAAACGTGTAACTTCAACTTCATATTTGCTTATATCAGAATTCGCAGTCTTCAAGTCTCGTTGTAGTTTCTCTTTCTCGATCTGTACACGTTTCCATAATAATAATAATAATATTCACAGCAATTACTTTTACGGCTTCGGTTTCATCAGTAATCACGCGCAGTTGAGAGCTCATTTGCTTCAACTTCGCCATCAAATCATTTCTTTCTCCTTGAACTTGCTCAAATTGTCGTTTTTGCTGCGTAAAATCTTTTTCCATTTCTAGAAATTGTTTCGTAACTGAAAATTATTATTTAACTTCTCGGTTTTTAATAAATATATTTCAGGTACCCATGCTCTTATCAGCTGTTAAAACTTGAATCTGCTGCATTAAATACGGCACTTCGCCTTCTGGAACATCTGACGCTTGAGCGATTACGGTTTGAATATTTTGAAGTTCTTCCTAAATCCAATTTACAGATTTTTCTTTTATTTAATGATGTTACCTTTATTCTTTCAGAAAATCTTTTTTCTTCACGCAACTGTGTTCGAAGTTCTTCAATTTCTTGATCTTTGGTGGCAAACGTGGCCGGTTTTTCATTTGAAGAAGCGGCAAAATTTGGGTTTTCTACTCCAGAAGTTGATGTCTAAAATTTAAAAGAAAATGTTTTGAAATAGTAAAATCATACTTCTGCATGTTCAGTTTCAAAATGTGAAGAAAGCAATTCCGGCGTGGAAAAAGATGCCATACACATCGGACATATCATTCCTTCAATTTCCTCATCTTGTGCTATTTGTGGGGGTATTGAGTCACGAGAAGCTCTGCTATTCGCATTCAGAACACCGTCAAACTGGAATAAATCCGTTTAAAATTGAGTAAAAAAGATACAAACATACCTCATTAGCTACTTGAGACACTTGCGCTTTTATTCGTCGAAGCATGCCTAAAATTATACAACATTTTATAACAATTAAACGAAATATGAAGAAAAAATCGAATGTTGATATGAAAAACATATGTACTACAGGCTAAACCCTTCTTATTGAGAGAGAAAAAAATGGACAATGCAGAAGAAAGCAAACAAACAGAAACAGGAGACTTTTTGAGAGGAAAAATCGCTTGCCAAAACCTGAATTCCTAGCGGCAAAATTGCTTTTCAATAGGTACGATGCTCCGCGTTTACGGGAAAACTTCATGTTGTTTAGCGGAGGATTTTGAATTTTGGTAACTTTCCGTGGTATTTTTTGCTTTTTCACTTCATTTTATTGTGTTTTCCATCAAACTAAATAGTAGTAATGTTGTAAAAGCGAAATAATTTAATAGTGACATACAGATTTTGCAAAAAAACCGGTAGCAAACTTTAAAATGTTAAAAAAAAGCTCTATGAAGAATGCGTAAAAAATTTTGAGTTTCCATCCCAAAATCTGCGCTGCACAATAATAGTCCGCAACCAAAAGCTACCAAACATGTTTATTATAAAGTTTTTTATCTGTGCTTGATTTGTTTTATTCCTATATGGTTGTGTTTAATTAAAACTAATTTTCAGGTCTTTCAATAAATTTACCTTCGATTATATATCAGAATGGTGAGTATTTTTCAAATCTACGAATTGGTTTCACTTTACCAATCACTAGCTGCGCTAAAGATTTTACATCGCTGTTAATAAAAATATTTGAAGTTTTGCAGGAGAACGTGGATTTGATTACTTGATATTTATAAGAACATTTATTTAAAAATAGCAATTGGTTCAAGATTCAATCTGCGGTAGCAGTGCTACGCATCTTTTTTTCGCATCGTGAATAATTACGAACCATCACACTTTTTCTAGACTAATTAAAATTCGAATTTAGTGGTGGGAATTTGGGTATCGTACTACGGATAACCTACGACGCTAATTCATCGTAAATCGGCGCATGAGTCTTTTTTTGCAAATGGAATAATTATTTTATCGAAACGTTATGATATAACTAAGAACTGTACGAATACAACACTTACTTCAGTTGTTCTTCTCCTTCTTCAAATCACTTGTCGGAAAAGACGTCGTCGTTGAGCTTAAGAATGATTTGAGGTATCAAGCTGTTCACAAATATCATTATAACTATTTTTTTTCAGCATTTGTGGGACACTGCACTCCGTCGATCAATACCTTAATATGAAGCTGTCAGACATCACAGTCTCGGACACAGAACGATTTCCTCATATGCTTTCAGTTAAAACCTGTTTCATCAGAGGATCAGTGGTCAGGTTAGATTAACAAAACATTTGAATTAATGTTTTCATGTTTCATTAATCATGACCGACAGAATGTCATTTACTAATATTTCAGATATGTCCAGCTACCGGCTGAAGAAATCGACACACAATTGCTCGCTGAATCTTGTCGGAAGGAGCTCGTTGAAGCAAAAGCGAAAGCATAAAGATCTCCGAACTTTTGATATTTATTTCTGCACAATTCAAATAAAAACTAAAAGAAAGAATTTCATTCAAATACATATCTCTGTATTATATCACCGGTATCACCAATAATGGTGAAATATTTAACAAATTTTTCAATGGAGGACGACTCCATACTGACCGTAATGAGACCAATAGCTGATATTGAAGGTTAGAAAAAGAAGAGGAAATAGGACTCCTGAAAATGGTAACAATTTAAATAATTGAATGAAAATTTAATACTTGATATCAAGTCCGCCCTTTTCGATTCGTCGTGCCATTCTGTTTTTCTTTTAATCCATCTGGAAATATAATAGTTAGGAGTGAAATGGAATGAAAACAGACTTTAACAATCCATTATTCTGCCTCCTATTCATCCTGACGGTCATTACTTCACGTTCTTGCTCGGCTACTTCTCGGGGAACCCAGACATCGTTGTGCGAATTTGTTAGCAGTTGCACTTCTTGCTTCTCGCGTTCTGTCCGATTTTCTACAAAAAATTGTTTGATGAATTCGAATTGCGTATATTGGTGCAATAAATCAAAATATGTTCGTTCACTTTGATTTGACAGTTTCATTTTTTAGCGTGCTTCATAATATGTTTCAATAAAAGGAAACTCAGTATTAAAATATTTCTTTCCATGCTAGAAGCAAGGCGGTTAATTGAAATATGATGCTGATTCATATTTGGATAAATAAATACGAATGAACACGAAAATAACGGCATATTTTAAAAAAATGACTAGTGTTGGGATGAAAAATTTCGGAAAAAATTTTCTGTTGAATAAATAATTCTCTGATGCCCCATACTTATTTGATATTTATAAAGGCATCGAACGTTTTCTTTTTCGAAATCAACTCTGTACTAGTTTTAAAACTAAGATATTTTCCGTTTTTTATTGTTCTGTGAGGAGAAAAAAAATTGCATGTTTGTCGACAGTTTTTTTTTCGTATTTTCAATCGATCAGTTCTTCGCAACCAAATGAGACTCACGAAAACGATGTTTTATTAAATTTTCATATGGGGAAATAAAAGTTTTCGCGGGCAGCAACAATCCCGCAAAGGGGGGGGGGGAGGAGTTGCAATGTGAGCACACAGCATCTCTGACGAGTAGAATTCACCTCTTGCAGCCTACACAATTTGAATTCTCGCCTGCTGCAAGGCAACGCCGATTGACTGCCTAGAATTTCCAAAGTGCGCTCCCATTTCATTTTTCGACGTTTTCACGATTATTTTATTGATTTCTTTGTTTTTTCATCTATACGCACCGTGAACCTTAATTCGAAAAATTCTCCTCACTTATAATTGTATATAACACTCTCGAACCAAAACATTTTGCTAGACGGAAGACGAAACGCATAATGTTTTCTTTGTTGTTTATTTTTCGCTAACACATTTGTTCGCCTGCACCTTTTAAATTGCTATGATTTGATCGGATATGTCTTGTCGAATCAATTTTTCATTCGCCACAATTTGTCCGCGATAGTATTCATATATAAAAGGTAATCAGGGACCATCGAAAAATGTATCAGGGGCATAAGCAAGTAAATATCTACATTTAGGAAACACTGGTGCTTCTGGATAGAATTGCTTCAATAATATGTTTGCTCTAATTATCTTTTCTACGCAAGGTTTTTTTTTACAAAAAAAAACTTTGGGAATCTCAAATAGCTTCTTGAATGTGCTAGATGAGACTTCTACTAAACATTATTATGATTAAAATGAACTTTGGAGTAGATTCGCGTTGTTTGCACTTTTATGCGCATATTCTTTTCACAACCCATATTTAGTACTTCTAATTTCCTTTCTGACTACTCGCCGCATTAGGAGTCATCCGTTTAGTGCATGCTCACGTCGGCGACAGCTACCCGCTCTTCCCACCATTAAACGACGAGTTGTACCTGTGTCCGCAATAGAAAGCTGTCAGTGTGCGTGAACACACCGCCTTCTTATGCGAACGCTTCAGCCCCTGCCCGTGCCCCACACAACATTCGTTGAAAAATGAAAGATAAGCGTGTTTGTTGTTCGCAATTCTCTTTGCATTCGATTATGTGCGAAATTTCTTACTTTTTAAGACATCCTGTTTATTGGCGAGATATGTCACCCATGCGAATTCAAGAAGGGCGCAGAATATAAATGTCATGCACGCTGAAAATAGTTTTTTTTTTCATTTTTTTGCACTCATTTCTCTCTCTCTCATTTATTACCTCCAATCCACACATCGATTGCTTTGATATAAGCGACTGGAGGCAGTTTCGCATTGATACCAGACGACTGAAATCAATAATTTGATCAATTTCAGGATGGCGAGTAGACGGAGCACTCGCAACGTCGCAAGGGTATATTGGAAAAATTTAACAAAGAAGAAGTATAAAATTAATTTAGGTTGATTATCGATCATTGCATCTTGAGCTGGACTATGACGAAAGTGCCAAATATGCGAGGAAAAGTAAATTGTAAGGAAACTATTTGGCACCCTAGTAATAAAAACATTAAAAATTCTAGGAGTGAGGCTGCAAAGGAGAACTACAACACTGCAGTGGAAACGAATTCCTCTAGGTATCCGCATATTTGAAAACATGTTCTTATTTTTACGCTTTTATTTTCAGCTCTCTCGATTTAAACCAGAATAACACGGAAGAACTCAGCGACGATGAATTTGGAGGGCAAGACACGCGAGAGGAAAAGCCATCGTAAGTATTTATAAAAATGTTATTTAAATTATTACGTTTTTATTTCTGCCGTCGTGAGACTTCGAAAAATTAGCTTAATGCCGAAAGACTTTGGGAGAGGTGTCGCCGCAAAACTAATTGTGTCGATTTACGGGCTAAATATAAAAAAAGATTATTTAAAGGTACACACCTCGCGCGAAGATCTCTCTTAAAGGTTTGGCATTTACTGATTTTTTCCGAAGTTGCGCTACTACGATTATTAATTAAACGAATGGGATCAAATTTAGGAGTGCTCCTAAAACGCGTAAGAAGCGTAGACGGGTCAAACAAAAGAGCGTCGAGAAGCCGCCGAAGCGAGCGTACTACAAAGTCGAAGAGGCCACCGACGACGGCTCGTCATCGGACTGGGAGCCCGAGCAGCGCCCTAAAAGACCACCAAACTGGAAAGGAGAGCGTTTGACGGGAGCTCCGCCATCAATGTACATTCCATGGCAAGGCTACTCCAACAGCATCCATGCCCCAAAGAATCCGCCAATGAAATTGGCGGACTTGAAGAGTGATAAGTAACGGTTGTTATATTTACGGTTTTTGTTAACAATGTGTGATTTTTAACACTTACTTGCGTTGTCATTGTGAGCAATGTTGTTACCCCCAACGTCACCCTCGCTGGCACTGCTGTCTTAAAGTAAACTTCTTAATCATTTTTTGCGTTGAAATAACTCACCCTGTCGATCCAGAACGATACCCAAGAAACAATAACCAACATACACGATGGAATATAAAGTTGAAGAAGGTAATAGCTGAATTGCCGCTTGAATATCAGAATTGTGCGGAGGCACGAATAAGCGCCAGTGTTCGTTTTACTAGTGCAATAGGTTGTGTTATGGTTCGCTAATTGGAAAGATGGCAAAGAACTTGAAAGACCCCTTTTGAGTTGAACCGGATTATCTTCTTTCCAGACGTATTCTGAAGTGTAATATTATTTTATCCTTCTTAACATTTCGAATAATCAAAAATGTTCGGAATACCTATATCTTTTGTAGTATAAGCATATGAAGCTAAATCGATGAAGCACTGTTGAACATCCATTGGATAATAGCGAAGATGCATAGGACAAGAAAGCACCAAAGAAATTCGAACTGAGTATAGAATTGTTCCATCCTAAAGAAGATTTAATTATGAATCTTATAATGTAGTATAATTTTATTACAACTAATTACCTTGTGAACTCTAATTAACACGTTTGGCTTATCTATCATATGCTTATAAGCTTGCTTCTCATTTTGGAAGAACGAATCAGGCATCCAAATTTGTTGTCCTGCCGTGAGAATCAGAAAGTCCGGAAGAGCATCTCCTTTAACACCATAACTAAAAAATAGATCTTCATTAATAATTTGCTGCTACTGAAAAAAAAAAACCTCAATCGGCTGTCAACCCAGCTCTCTCGAAATGTCAATTGTACACTATACTCCATATTAACATTGTCTATTTTTGAAATACTGAAAATTGAAGAATACCCGACATTTTCGGCATACGATGAGAATTTCAATTATTATTTTTAGATGATGCATTTTATTTCAGAATCATCAAAAACATTTTTAAAAATTCAAAAAAATTAATTCATTAGGGGAATGTTACGTGCAGAATTACCTTCTTAAAAGCATGTTGACTGAAACTACAACGGGACCACTGCTAATTGTTCCATTTGCAGCGGGCGGTCGGACCCGCCAATCGTAACCCTTTGTTAATAACCTTTCTAGAATTTCAGTGTCTGACGTTTGTGGATTTTCAATAGGCGTGTGTTCCTAAATATTTCAAATAAGACACTAAGTATTTTGGGGGAAAATCATTCATATTCAAATTTTCCAAAAAAAAAAAAGTTTTTTGAAGCTTCGAGTTTTTTTTAATCTTCACTATGTGAATCAATAAGTAAGAGAAACCTGGTGGTTCCCTCGAGCAATTGATTCAAGCGTAGTGGTTCCTTCCGACCAATCCTTTGGAAATTCTGAGGCTGGTAATTCGTTTGATTGAGTTCTGTAAAATGTTTTATCGACTGCTGTTGAACATTGTTATTTTCGATAAAAAAAATGAAATTCATAATTTGAAGATGAAATCAATTTAAATACTCAGGCTGTTTTTCAATTGAAATTTATCTTTTCCAACAATTTTATGCTGTTTTTTACCCGAATCTAATTTTATAGACTTTTTTTCAAAGCAGAAGGGTCGTCTTGCCATACTCAGCTTTGTGAGTGTGCGATTTGCAAACTTTGAAATCCATCAACATGTCAAATTGAAGAACTTTTTAAAAGTTGCTACTTCTTTCTATAATCATCTAACAGCAATTTTTCATTAATTATAGAATTCATTTTTTTCTAAAACACTAATCTCTGACAATATGACCACAAGGCCCCGGCGGATGAAGACAAACCTGTGCTGCGGTAATGAATATGCGGATCTGACAAGTGCGGCGATTAAATAAAGAATCAAATAGTAGATCATCTGAAATGTCGTCGTCTTGAGAAACATACGAAATCGGGCGTGTCCTCTAATTCATTTAGGCACTCGACGACGATGAGTTACGAAGCAAAAGAGGGAAGACGTGCGCGCGACTATGAAGTAGAAGTAGAAGACGACGAAGGAGTAGATGGTTGTGCTTCTGCGGTGGCGCTGGCAGATGACAAAATGGTGGGTGCCGTAGGGCAAATGTGTTGAAAAATTGCGGAGCGCCGATTTGGAGGGGAAGATTTTGAGGAGCAAAACGCGACAAATGAAAAAACAAAATAACGGATTCGAAATTATTATAATAATTGGCGAGGACCAAAAAATTGTTGGAGATGAGGAAATGACAATGAATGGAATTGCTAATGTGGGAATCAGCGATTTTTTCGAGATGAAAAGTCGCCGAAAAAAGGATGAGCTCAAGAAAATGTGATGATTTTCATCAATATTGGGAAGAAGAAGCACTTCCAGTAATGGAATATGTAATCTGTAAAAATAATGGGGCGGCTTTGTTGAAACTATGCATGTAGAATAATATAAGGAATATGCATATGTGTACATCCAAATAATTGAAAATCTCATACGAAGGAAATTAATAATTTGAAGTAAGAAGGTCTACCCGACTAATAGAATATTCATTTTGAATTTTAGAAGAACGTACCCTTAAAAAATAGCATTTTTTTTTCACTATCCCTTCGAAAAAATGATGGAACAATTCAGAAATTTACTACTTGAAGCTTTTATTTTTTTTAAATTTAGTCTCTTGTCGAAAAAGAGAGCAAGGCACCAAAAAAACGAGCCAAAGTAATGGAAAAAAATCAGGAAAAAAATAAACAAATAAGTGACAATATTCGAACCACATGTTTTTTGTTTAAACAATTTCGCGGAGATTATCAGAAGGATTTTTGCTGGCTCAGAGTTATTTAATTATACGCATGATTGCCATTTTTTTATGCTCAACAAAGGCGAGTTGGACATATTTTTTATTTGAAGCTAAAAAGAAAAAATTGTCTAAAAGGATTTTGATGAAAATACGTATTTGAAAATAATATTTCTAGTTTCAACTTCAAAATTTAGACAATGGATAAATTAAGTGATATAGCATAGGCTTATTGTATTTCTAAGCACATATTATATATTACAAGAAACAAATTTTGAGATTTCTTCCTAATAAGTGTATAGTACGATAAAATTAAAAAACATAATATGACGAACTAACTTGTGAAAGGAAAAGAAATGTAATCAAGGCAATTCCAACGATAAAAATCACTCCGTTTGATGCTCAAAATTCTAATTACTATTTTAAGAGCTCCAAATCTCCAGAAAAATGAAACACTCAGATAGCTGTAAATTTCTAAAAACGAAAAATATATATCTAATTTCATTTGAAACGCAAAGTTGTTTGAAGTCCAACGGACACAACTGAAACACTTTTATAAGAAACATTAATAGTAGAAATTGAAATGCAATAAAATTCGCTGCGACGAAGAAAAGAACGAAGAGAATACTGGAGAACAAGACGAAGCGAACAAATAAAACGACAGGTTGATGAGATTCGATGAATGAGTCAAAATTGAGCCAATTTTCGCCTCTACAGGGTGTCATTTAAGTTCCCGCACAAAAGTTTGACGCCATGAAGAGCTTGGCTGTCGCACTTTTCGTGCACCAATACAATTTATTATTGTTAAATAAGGTATATTTTACTTACTTTCCAAGTTTTACCTCATTCGGATGTGTTTCCGAGAAATGGCGAAGGCTAACATCCATTGCGCTTCCATTATCGAACTTCATAAGCAAAATGTGAGCCTGAGAGACATCATTCAACGCCTCGGTGTGCCTCTTAGAACGGTTTACGACATCATCTAACGTTTCAAGGAACTAAATACGACCAGTGACCGTCCCAGACAAGGAAGACTCGTCTCAGTAATCACTCCTCAGAAGATCAACGCCGTTAAATCGAGGATCAGGTGAAAACCCCACAGGAGCATGAGAAAGATGGCGTCAGACATGGGAATGAGCATCTTCGCTATGGAACAAATCGTCAAAGCGAAGCTTGGACTGACCCCATATCGTGTCCAAAAAGCGGCAATTCTATCGGCCGTCAGCAAGCAGAGACGCTTCGAAAAAGCAAAACGACTTCTTGCTCGCACGCGGCCTGGAGAACACCTCGTCACTGTCTTCTCCGACGAGAAGCTGTTCAGTGTGGAGGCGGCATTCAACTCACAAAACCATTGAGTACTTGCCCAGACATCCCAGCAAGCTTCTGAGAAAGGAAGAACAATTCATCCAGCCTCACATCCTGCCAGTGTGATGGTTTTCGGTGCCATCTGCTCAACCGGGAAGTGCCCCCTGGTTTTCGTGGATCAGGGGGTGAAAATGAACAGAGAAGTCTACGTTCGGGACATTTTGGAGAATCATGTGATGCCCTGTACCCAAACGCATTTCGGTGGGCAGAAATGGGTCTTTCAACAGGACGGAGCACCCGCCCACACTGCCAAAACTACTCAGGAGTGGTGCCAGACCCATTTTCCCGACTTCATCAAGTCATCCGAATGGCCTGATCGCTCCCCAGACCCGAAACCGCTTGACTTTTCCGTGATGGGGTCTTGCAGGAGAAGGTCAACGCAAAACCCCACTCAAGTATAGAGGCTCTGAAGAAGACATTACTGGCGGAATGGGACAATCTTTCCATCGAACACCTGCGTACCACAGTCATATCCTACCCGAAGCGTCTCCGTGAAGTCATAGCTGCGAAAGAAGACCGAATCGAAAAGAGTTAAAAGATAATTATTTGTTATACTATAGAAAAAATATATTTCGAGTCTCGTTTGATTTGGACTTTTAGTTTCAGAAATATACGTCTTCAAAGTTGTGCGGGAACTTAAATGACACCCTGTATATCCTTTGAGAACGAACCCCGCAAAACGACAAAACAATGCGGTCAGAAAAATCGATTCGAAACGAAAAATCCTTCAAAATTGCGTTATCAATTCATTCTTTCAATTGTTTCCTCTTCTTCAAGTCTGTTTTTTTTTTTCAAAACGACTTCGTCTTATCAAATTGCGATGACCTTTGAATTAACGGAGATCATACAAAAATACAAACGTTCATTTTTTTTTTCCAATTCTCAAGCAGCGTGTGTACAAATTTTTCAAGTGACCAAATATGGAAATTTTTGTTTTTGCTCGTGCGCAGTGGAATCTTAAATCCTTATATATTTTTTTGGAAGAAGAATGAACAAATTCTTGTTGTGTGGTTTCCTAAATCAGAGAATAATGCATATTTAAAATTTTTCGTTCAGAAAACAAATCACGAGTTTATTATTTGAGGATTTCTGATTAAACACAAGAATCTGAATTCTTAAAGATATTTGAGCGAACTCTTCAAATGAGACAACTTTTCAAACATTGCTTGAGTTGAAATAATTCTTGAATTGAAATAATTTTGTCAATGAGGACAACTATTGGAAATTAAAACAATTTCTGACAGAATACGGTATTGTTTCTCGAAACTAAGCGCCTTTGAAGGATGTCCTACTCTTGAATATGCTTGATACGCAGCCAAATCATATCACCTCGCTCAAATTCGTCCCCTTCTCCTCACATCGACATATGTATGTAGAATATATTTTATTGACAGCATTGATAGTAGAAAACCGGAACAAATGTTTCTTCTCATTTTTATTGCGCATCGATTTGTGAGAATTCAACGAGTTTCGAAATTTCGATACCATTTTAGATACTATGCAAAAACTGAACTGAAAAAAAAATCTAGTTTTTTCCGCAATCTGCATTGGGGGTTTAGATTTTATGTAATCCGGTTTTCAAAGGTTTTCAAAGTTGGAAATTATTGAAAAAAAATCCAAAAATCCAAAAAAATATTACAAGAATGCCTCACTGAATCGTTTTTTTTTAATTATTTAAAACTTTTAATTTCCTGATCAATCGATCAATTTTTTTTGTATGTTTTTAAGCAAAAACAAAAGACAAAAAAAGGGTCGGAAATTTGAAAAATATACATATATTATCGAGATCCGGCGACAAATTTCTAGAGTCATATAAGGTCATTGTAATAACTATATGTATATATGTATGTAGTTATTTTTTTTAACTATCGGAATTATTCCGATATTTTTAATAGCAATAACACTAGAAATATCAAGAAATTACGAAGTCTCTAATAAAAAAATGAAAAATATAAGTTAATTAAAATAAGCATTAATATGGGTCGAGACTACATAGAAAAATACGTGTGCCCGAAAATTGTCCTACGTTCCATTGCTAACAATAAAGAGACCATCTAATACCACTATTAATAGTTATAATCGTATTTAGTAATTGGAAACAAGAAATCCTTTATTTGAAAGATACGAATAAAGTTTTATCTAAATAGAAAAGGAAAGCATGAATTTATTTTGAAAAAATTAATAAACTTTAAAGTTTATCCAGAATTTCGATGAAAAATAAAATGAAGAAATGTTCGAAACCAATTCACAACGAAATAAGAGTGTATATTAAAAAAAAATGAATATTTGGTTTTATTTCTGGGTAGAACTCATCATCCAAAAATGTTTTCTGATCATTTCGCTCTACTCTCGCATTGTCTCTCCCTCATTCATCCCACCCATCCAGCAATTCTTAAAACTCAATATTTCCGCATAAGTTTTGAATTTCATGCACTTAATCCAAACTCACTCCTCTTCAGGCGACTCCATCGTCGTCGTCGTCGTCGTCGTCGTCGTCGTCGTCGGCTCATCTTCATTATTTTTGTCCGAATCTTCCGACAAATCGCCGGCGAGCAAATCATCGATATCATCAATCGGCGTTGTCTCCTGCTCGCCGCTTTCGCGTTTTGTCATCTCATCGGAATTCGCGTATTCATCGTCGACGACGCCTTCCTGAAAAACGACACAGAAGCATAGGCAACAACAAAAGCTCTATTGTTCCACTTGTTCGAGAATAAAAAGTACTTGAGAAGCTCTACAACTAACAATAAAAACACGAGTTATATTAATAATAATAAGCATTAATAATAGTAATGAGAATAAGAATAATACGAATAAACTCACTGCAAGCATCAATCCGTTGTTAATCATCGAGCCACTGTTGTAGACAGCAGCGCTATAAGTGCCCTTACTTCGCATTCGGTTCAGACTTTTGGGCGGCTTCGTGTCGACTCTGACGAAATTACAACAAATTTACAATTTTCGCATTAGGCTTTTCAATTTTTTTTTTCAAACCCTGCTTAGATTTTTTATTATATTTATATAACCTAAAAATAAATTATTGAGGTAAATTGAAAGAAAAAATCCGCAGATTCCCCCACTTATTAATCCCTATTGGAAATTTTTTTCTTATGCCTAAGATCGCTTTGAAGCTTTTAATTTCCTAAAAATCTGTTCATCCTCGTCTAACATATAATAACTTCGTCGAAAGTCTCTAACCAACGATCTCGCATTTATATATTTATTATACGATTAGTGATGTATCATTTTCTTTCTCTAATTCTAACATCATCTGGAATTTATTCGTAGCACTAGGAGGGAGCAGAAAAGGCTAAAACAAAGTTTTTCGAGTAATTAGGTAATTTTATATGATTGATAGTCAATATATGTACTAGCCTAAGACCTTTAAGCCTTTTAATGGGTTTTCGAAAATTGTTTTCATTTATTTTCGAGTCGTTACTTGATTTTTGAAGCATCGAATTCGTACTATAGTAAACTACATTTATTAAATTTTTTTTGAATTTGTGAAAAACGTAGTATTCTGTTTCACAATTGGTGAATTTTTGAATAGTTTCACAGACAAAACAAATAAAGTGAAGGAGTCAAAGAATAAGTCTATCAAGATCAGAATTCAATTTGTTTATTCGTCTCCTTTATTTTTATGCTCAAAATTTTAAAATGTAATTTTTTTTTCTTTCGAAAAATAGCAATGATATCAATCGAAAACAAACGCAAAGATTGAGTTTCTTCGAACGATTCGTTTATTTGCATTCCGGCGCTTTCAGTCTCCAAATCCGAATTCGGAAGAGCTGGTGGCAAATCCCCCTCAACCAACTTATGCAAATTTAAAATCACTTGCAAAATTATTGGTTTGTTTAGTTTTCGCCGGAAATTCAATGAAAATTCCATGCCGAAAGGGTTCTTTTCATGAAACTCAAGAAGGAAGTTCATTGAAACGAAAAGTAACATATAAAAATTATTCGAAAAATGATGTAAAGTGTAAGTATTCAGTTTTTATTATATAAGCTCTTGAAATGTTAATATTTATTTTTACTTTTAAAAAAATATATAATATTATCATAATTTTTTTATATCGTAAAAAATTTAAAAAAAGAATATCCCGAAACAACCTCATTTTTTTTAAGCTGCCATTCGAGAAATATTTTACTTATATTTTCTATTATTAAAAATTTATTATGGCATGAAACACTCACCCATCGAACATTAGAATACAAATGGTGATTTGAAAAAGATAACAGCGAAACACTATCATGATTGTTATTTCAAGTGTGCTCGCAATGTGTATCCGCCCGAAATCGCGTATACAAGACGCTGAAGATCGCACAGGTATTTCGTGAGCAACACAAGCAACAAAAAAACCAAGCTCTCCCAACGAGCAAACTGCGCAAACTCGCCGGGTCGAATGGGCGGCGCTTGGCCAAGAAGCGCACTCAAACACTTTTCGAACTATTCGGGCGGGCAGAGATCAGTGAAGGGAAATGGTGGGAAAATAAAGAACACGTGAAGCGAATTATAAGAATGAATCGCTGGTGCAGTCGCCGTCGATGAAGTGAATGTCGCGAATGACGTATGGCCCGTTTGGATAATCCTGAAATATTTCAACGCAATTTTCCGATTTTGTTTTTTGAGAATTTTGAAATAATGAAGAAACTGGCGGTTTTCAAGACTTTCCATTATTTCATATCGAATTGTTTTTCATTCACCAATTCAAATATCGGTCCAGAATCATTCAGTTTCATGGAATATTTTGAAAGATTGGAAATACCCAAATATGAAACATGGAAAGATTTTGATAGCTGTGATGTTGACTGTTTGAAATATAACATATTTGCTCTTCTGTCAAGTGACAAGTGAAAAGTGTTCGAGTACGGCACAGTTCAATAATCCATTTTTTGAAATTAACTGAAGTTTGTTGTATTCACCTTCATATCGATTAAAAATTTTTCGTTCAATTTCATCGATGTTTCTGTGATGTCGATACGAACCACTTGGCCACCTTGTCTGAAAAAATCTTGTTTCTTTTTGGCGCGAAATGTCTGATAAAAAATACGTGACAAGATCAGGATAAAACTGAGCATCCCAGGCTTTGTAGAATGAATTGCTCGCGTACAATCGCTCTCCGTCTTTCGATAATTGCATCAATGCAGGCCCAGCGCGCAATTCGGTGTTCTTCGGAGTTTGGCGCACTTCGGGCGGCAGCCACCAAGGATCCTCCATCGTGTTGGCGGGTTTCACGCGTACATCGGGAAAAATCGATAAAATTCCGCCAACATTTATCTAAAAAAAATGGAGAAAAAAATTATAAATGAATCGTAGAAATATTGATACCCTTGTATTGAGGGTAACTCGAAATGGATCTTGAATGTCGAACCTCCATACGATTCCATGAAGAAATCCGCAAACGTACATCCACTTGTCATCCATTGAAATTACCATATCGGTTAGTAACGCTGGCATCTCATCACTCTGCCAACCCTCAACCTGTCATAAAAAAATTCAATATTCAAAAAAATGTCTACCAAACCTTTAACGATGGAATTTCGGCCACACGATCCGCAAACCATTCGCCAGTCAATGTGTTCATATTAAGGTGAAATATTGATCCTCCAATCGCTGAACAAGCAAAAGCGTGATTACAATCGCTGTTATGCAAAAATCTGAAACTTATTAATTGAAAAATCAGTTTGGTTGAGAGACCTGATCGCGGTGATAAGGCATCCATGACTTGGATTCAATTCGATCGACTGAATTAACTTTGATGGCGATATTTGCCAAATGTGAATAGTGGATCCAAAAGATTCGGAAACTAAACATTTAATGAAATTCGAATAGTTTAATCTTCTCACAATTTTCTAGATCACTCGCCGATAAGCCATCGCGAAACAATCGCGGTTGTCCCCATTCGCACGAAATTATCACGTTGTGGCGTGGCTTCAATTAAATTATATGCATAGTTAAATATTCGAGATTTATCCAAAATATGCATTACAAAAAATGAGCATCCTGAGTAGATTTTGAGTTTGCTTACTCAAATTCCCAACTGTTTAAATTAAAATTTGAATAACCGCCCTCAAAAAATGCGATAGTTCACAATCACACAAGATGCTTCATTTTTTTGTAATGGTAATGTTAATACTTTTTTTTAAAGACCTACTTGCAATGAAAAATTTCCGCCAAAACTTGAAAACGAGTTTCCGCTTTTTGGTCGAAGCCCCCATGTTTTACGGTCGATTAATATGAAATCGCCTTTTCCGTGCCCATTTTTGTCGCCCATCGTCGAAATATGCACCGGAGCACCATTTATGGGAAGCGAGTTGACCGCATATGGGCACGAGAGATCATATCGATAGAGATCTTCGCTTCTTGTCTCCTATATTCAAAAAAAAAACAAATGGAAAAATGAATCGAATAAAATATAATCTTTTCGATTTTGAACGTGTTATTTTCAAAGTTGATCACGTAGATCTTGTTTGAATTCATACAAGGCACGATTAAATGAGTTCGAGGTATCTGAAATCAAATGAAATATTCTCCAACAAGGTAGGTCTTTTTGCTGTCCGTCTTAATTTTTTTGCATACAGATTCTTTAGAAAATTTCAAATCGAATGAATTAGATGTCTCGTCTTCTAGTTATCGAGATATGGACCTTCAAAAGAAATAGAAATATAAAAAAGAACCAAAAAATCCCGGTAACGAACTATCAAAAATTCGAAAAACCTTAGGAAGAAAAAAAATTTGATTTTTTCGAGTTTTCTTCCCAAACTGTTCAGAACACTTTTTTTATTATGCGAAATATTGCCTTGTCAATATCACTAAAGTTTTCTGACGATTTCGACCAATTCATTCTTCCCGGCTCATTTCCTTTGCTTGGCAAATCGATTTCGGTGACAATCTGACAATATTGCGCACTATTCGGATTAATATCGACTAGTGCAATTTTATCGTTATTATATCCTGCAAATGGTTATCAACAATATTTTGAGTTCTCATTATTCGTAAGGATTACCTATTGAATGAGGGCAACTGATGACGGCAAACAATTCATCCCTTTGCTCTTCCTCGTTCTGCTTATAATCATAAGTTTGGTGTTCAATGGTCATTGGCGGTCGTTGGTCAGTCTTTCTGAATTTCGAGAACTGCTCCGATATTTCCGTTTGCTCCACACTCAGCGGAATTTGATGTGTCTAAAAGAAAATTAATAATATGCATAATTAGTCTTAAAACAACTTACCATACAAATTCCCATTTTCGTTTTCCTGCTACTTTTCTAATAGTGAAGTCGAATAGTATTGAATTCGTGTCTTTGCTCCAGATGGATTATTATAGATTTGGAATCCCAAAGGCGATTATGGGTAGGCTTTGATCGTCGCAAAGTTGTTCAATTTTTGAGGCTTTCAGCGACACGATTATTCATTATCTTCAATTTGCTTAATCACACCAATTGGAAAACAACCTCTAATTTCAGCTTTTTGTGAATACGAAAATTTACATCAAAGAACAACGAAGATGAGGATGTGCTAAACAGAAATCAGGAATATTACAATTTGAGAGGCACGACTTCACATAGGCCTAATTCGAATTAACGATGAGCCGGAAATTCGATGGTTTCCTCCATGAGATAGAAGAATGGGCATTATTAAATGTTGAGTTTTGATATTAGGAGAGCTGAGCGGATTGAAATATAAGTAATGGTCTACGTCAACAAATCCCTAAAAGAAGGAATAAAAGAACTGAAGTGTGAATTAAGCAACCAAATTTAACAAATCCGTAAAAAATAATATTTTTTTACTATCATCAGAACGATAATTCGAAGTTATTATTTTTAATTGAAATTCTAATTTTTGATACATTTGCCCTTGGCCATATCCTTGCTTGAAACAATAATTCTTCCAATAAAATATTTTTCGAATAAACAGAAAAAATTGTTTCCAATAAGCAAAGCTGAAGAAATATGTGTCGATGCAACCTAAAATTTGTAGTTTCTTATCATAATTTGTATGTGTGTAGACCAAGGCATTTTTTGGTTTCTTTTTGATTCTCTTTCTTTTTTATTTCTGTTTGTGCTTGTTGCAAAAAACAGAACAATTTCTTTCGTGTTTTTCATTATATTCTGTTTTTTGTTCGCCAAAGCCAAAACATTTTGGTGTATGTGTCACATTGGATATTCATGGATCCCTGCTAGACCTTGTTAATACATACATATTTTCAGCAGCTTCGTTCATTCTACATTTTTCTTACAACATTATGTCTCACGACAATATTTCGAGCCGAATTTCGGGTTTATCTATTCAAGATACGGAACCTAGAAGGTTTTCCGATTACGGAATTCAACATGACAAAGGAGTAAGTCTCGATATAGAACACGAACTAGAAGAATAAATATATGTTTTAGAAACTTACTCGAATGTCGTCTTCTTCTTCAAGCTCATCAATTTCGCATGAAAAGAGAACAAGAATTGCGTAGGTTAAAAGAAAAAACTAATAAAATTAAAAAAAAAAAGTAATATTAATGCCTCGCGTTTTTATTTTAAAATTGAGATTCTTTTCTGATAATTCAACTCCCAATTACGCTAATAAACCCGAGGCAGAGACTAATTAGCACGAATTTTGCACTTCTATATATAAATATAAATTTACGTATGTATGTATGTGTATAATTTTAGGCAACGCCGCAACTCGGAAGTTAAAATTGAAGCCATCCTCAAGGAGCTGTTCTCGCCAGACGCAGTGATTGTTGATCATTATAGTCCGGATTTTGTGTTTCCGACATTTCCTGACGAAGAAGTTGAGACACCAAAAGTTTCTGAGCGATTCGCGATAACTCGGGAATCTTCATTGAAACCTACACAGATTAAGAAGAATCGAGGTTGATTGAAAATCGCAAAACGAATTGTTTCAATTGAGAGTTAAAGGTCGACGAGGACTGTCAGCCAGTAGGGTTTATCATGATAACGAAAGCGGCTCGAAATACGAAAGAAAGCTATCAGGTTCCAAGAAAGCGCCACTTCCTGATTTTCGAAGAAACGTCAATGCTGAAAAACCACCAATACCATTTTCTCAAGCCGTATGCCATTTCGAATATTTTTTACAGATTTATTGTTTCAATTTAGGCGGAAGAACGAAGACTTCAAATTAATCGCCGAAACGGTACAATTTTTGTTTCAAACACGAATTATTGAAAAGACTAGAAAAGCGTCGGGTATCAATGAAGACCTATATATGGCGTTAACTGACCCCAATTAAATGCGCGTACGCTAAAATGCAAAGTACGCAGTCTCACGTAATTCACTTTACCACCGAGGCAATCTGAGATATAGCCATTAATTGAAATTTCGTTGACGCTGAAATTACCCACACTTTTTGTTTTCAGCGATTCCGTTGCGCCGAACAATTTCATTGGCTCCAAAATAGATCATTGAGACAATCTCGAAAATGGTGGATGATGGAAATAGTAAAAAAGCGAATCTAAAATGATTTGATTCAAGTCCGTAGTCTTTATATAAAATGCTTCGTTCGACGCCGTTTCTCACGATTTAATTTATTATTAAAGATAAGCAACCGTCGTAATTTTAATTAATTAAGATCAATTGTGTTTTTATTATGGCTCGAATATAACATATTACTGTATGCGCCTTTAATGAATTCAGTAACTTTTTGTTAACGCGTAAATTAATGAAAGACTAAATCGCCAATTTCAAAGTTATAAAGGCGAATACGAACATAAAAAAATTATTTTCAAAAAAAAAGTTGAACCTGAATTTGAATTAAAAGTTTAACAGTCCAATTTTTTCCAGTATTTGACAATACATATATTTGTTCCATACAGATAAAGGATGTCTTATTGAATAAAGTTTTACAAATTTCGTTATCTTGGTTTGACATAAGCTGATCCGGTCACTTCAGAAGGTATTGGTTCCGATCGATGCTGAATGTATTCAGTAACATCATTTATAGATTGGAATCCGAAATTAAAAAAAAAAAGATTTCAAGGGATCTAAATAGCCTTTTTTTCGGGCATTGAAACGAAAGTATTTAAATTGCCAAGGACGGCAGCGACAAATGTAGGAAATTAGAGGAGCAAATGAGGGACGACATCGAATGAGTTGCAACTTTTGCACATCGATCATTTAATTAAAAATTATAATATTTATTCAATTATTTACAGACAATATTTGGTTTCTCAATCATACTTAACTTCTTTTGCAGCACTGGCCGTTTCCGCACGGCGAGTAGTTGGTCTGGCAGGTGCAGCTGCTCGCGCTCACCGGCTCTTGGCACGGAACCTGGACAATTTGGCACGATTGCTGGCAAGTGGTTTGACAGGCTGAAACGCATTGCTGGACTGGCTGCTGGGCGACACATTGCTGCTGGCAGGTGGACTGGCATTGCGGCATACACTGCTCGGATTGCGTGATGGTTGGCTGGAGTACGATGCTGACGATCTGGGTTTGTGGCGCTGCGGTAGGGGTAACTACTGGATTAGTCTGGCAGTCAGTTTGGCATTGAACGCATTGAGGGACCGTTGGGGTCTGCTGGCAGAGTGGCTCGCAATACTGCTGCTGGCATTGCTGAACAGCTGGCTGCTGGGCGACGCAAGTTGGCTTGCAGGCTGGCTGGCAAGCCGGAGCACACACCGGAGCTGCGACGACAGGGGCGGGCTCGCAAATCGTCTGACACTGCTGGTTACACTGTTGACTGCATTGCGGAGTGGTGCATTGCTGCTCGCACTTTTGTTGGCACTGGGGCACGCATTGTGCGCTTAACTGCAATTGGAGCTGGACCACCTGTGGAGCTGGAGTAGTAGGTGCGCACTGGCATGTCGCTTGGCAAGTCGCTTGGCATTGTGTGTTCGATTGGCATTGCTGATTGCAACTCTGCTGGCAAGCTGGAGCACATTGTGTAGCCTGAACTTGGACGAGTTGCTTGGAGCATGAGCAGGTAGACTTCGGAGACTGTTGCGTGCAGCTGCATGTATACTTCTGCGGAGTGGATTGCTGGCAGGAGCACGTCGGCTGCTGTGTGCAACCGCATTGTCTCTTATCGCGAACAGAAGTCGCCTAAAAATTGGAATAGTTAGTCACTAATTATATAATTAATTAATTACCGAAGCAAGGAGGAATAAAGCGGAGAGCACGAAGATGAAACGCATTGCGGTCAGCTGTGGATGTGCGGCTTCGAAGCGCTTTTAAACTCTGAATGCTGATAACCGGCAATGTTGCGCAATCGAACTTTTTTGCATATCACAACGTGCGCATTGTTAACATCTGTTTGTTCAAAGGCGTCCGCGAAAATCACAAAAACAATCATCAAGGATGCACTTGTTTCAAGCTTGAACATGGTTTTTGGTGATATGACTGGTTGATCGTTTGTTTGAAATACCGCAACACTTCAAAAAAAAAATAAAACAATATCTTATAATTATCAAAAGTTTAGATGAAAAATGGAGCTTACAAATTTTTGAAGCCTGATTGCCTTCAACTACTTGTAATTTGAGGATTTTCGGAGTTTATTCGTGAGAAGATGATGTTTGTATTTTCATCTACTGAATACATCGTTGAAGCGGCGTAGATGGTGTTTTTTTTTTTAAATTTGTAAGCTCCATTTTTCTTCTAAACTTTTGATAATTATAAGATATTGTTTTATTTTTTTGAAGTGTTGCGGTATTTCAAACAAACGATCAACCAGTCATATCACCAAAAACCATGTTCAAGCTTGAAACAAGTGCATCCTTGATGATTGTTTTTGTGATTTTCGCGGACGCCTTTGAACAAACAGATGTTAACAATGCGCACGTTGTGATATGCAAAAAAGTTCGATTGCGCAACATTGCCGGTTATCAGCATTCAGAGTTTAAAAGCGCTTCGAAGCCGCACATCCACAGCTGACCGCAATGCGTTTCATCTTCGTGCTCTCCGCTTTATTCCTCCTTGCTTCGGTAATTAATTAATTATATAATTAGTGACTAACTATTCCAATTTTTAGGCGACTTCTGTTCGCGATAAGAGACAATGCGGTTGCACACAGCAGCCGACGTGCTCCTGCCAGCAATCCACTCCGCAGAAGTATACATGCAGCTGCACGCAACAGTCTCCGAAGTCTACCTGCTCATGCTCCAAGCAACTCGTCCAAGTTCAGGCTACACAATGTGCTCCAGCTTGCCAGCAGAGTTGCAATCAGCAATGCCAATCGAACACACAATGCCAAGCGACTTGCCAAGCGACATGCCAGTGCGCACCTACTACTCCAGCTCCACAGGTGGTCCAGCTCCAATTGCAGTTAAGCGCACAATGCGTGCCCCAGTGCCAACAAAAGTGCGAGCAGCAATGCGCCACTCCGCAATGCAGCCAACAGTGTAACCAGCAGTGTCAGACGATTTGCGAGCCCGCCCCTGTCGTCGCAGCTCCGGTGTGTGCTCCGGCTTGCCAGCCAGCCTGCAAGCCAACTTGCGTCGCCCAGCAGCCAGCTGTTCAGCAATGCCAGCAGCAGTATTGCGAGCCACTCTGCCAGCAGACCCCAACGGTCCCTCAATGCGTTCAATGCCAAACTGACTACCAGACTAATCCAGTAGTTACCCCTACCGCAGCGCCACAAACCCAGATCGTCAGCATCGTGCTCCAGCCAACCATCACGCAATCCGAGCAGTGTATGCCGCAATGCCAGTCCACCTGCCAGCAGCAATGTGTCGCCCAGCAGCAGCCAGTCCAGCAATGCGTTTCAGCCTGTCAAACCACTTGCCAGCAATCGTGCCCAATTGTCCAGGTTCCGTGCCAAGAGCCGGTGAGCGCGAGCAGCTGCACCTGCCAGACCAACTACTCGCCGTGCGGAAACGGCCAGTGCTGCAAAAGAAGTTAAGTATGATTGAGAAACCAAATATTGTCTGTAAATAATTGAATAAATATTATAATTTTTAATTAAATGATCGATGTGCAAAAGTTGCAACTCATTCGATGTCGTCCCTCATTTGCTTCTCTAATTTCCTACATTTGTCGCTGCCGTCCTACGCAATCGGCTAGTAGCACCGCGATGCATTAATGTTTGATTTGCTTGATTTTCTTTCTAGATCATCGGTCACCATCTCTCTTCCAATACCCTGAAGACTAAGTAAGAAGTCATCCAAATATTTTTTTAAGTGCAAAAAATCATTTTTCCCTTAATACATATTTTGAAAGTCATATTGTTTTGAATTACTCGACATACATATGTATTTGGTTTTCTATGTCAATGGCGAGAATCTCAAGGCGTGTAGCGTGTCTAGGAGGCAATGAGATAGCAGAAATTGTCGAATTTCCGTAAATTGGATCGAGCAAAATCTTTTCTGTTCTTGGATATGAATGAATATTTAACGGACGGGGGAGCGGACAGCTGTGCTCTCGATAATTCTTCATCTAGCATCAGCTATTTTGGGTTCTGTTTTTTTTATTGTCCAGAGAAATCGAATATATAAAAAATATATAAAATATTTACCGATAAAGTTTCAAAAACGATTCAAGAGATTTCGGCATTCAGTACAACAGAATATTATTCTTTTTTTCCTCATTTTCATTTAAATTGCCAAATCTCTCTCAAGTTCACCATCATTTTATCATTAATTTTCAAAATAAATTAAAAAGTACACGTAAGTGAAAGTCAACTCACAATATTCAATGTTTAAACTCGAAAACTATTCATATTATTCATAAATTAAAAATTCAGTTTTAAAATGTCGCTATGACTATACATAATCAGAGGAGTCTTGGCAATCACTTGTGACTCACAGAAATCTCTTCTTTACACATTTTATATTGTCGGCGTCAAACGACTGAAGGGATTCGGGTATTCAAATTCAGGAAATCAGTGTAGATTTAAACCTTTCGTTGACTGAATATTAAATGTGCGTACACTATAATGCAATGTACGCGTCTCGCGTATTTCTCGCTGCCTTGACACGCTTTGGCAATAATTTTTTTTTAATTTCTTCAAGTCGTTTGACTCCACCAATATTGCTTAATAACTATTCCCGATCTCATAACAACTTTGAAGTCCATCGAAATCATAGTAGAGAGAATTCAACAGTCACATTGGTTGCACGTTGTGCCCTAATCAGCTTATGTCATATTTCGCTTCTATCATTCTGATCTCCGTTTTGCTGGTCGGTATTATCACTAAGATTGGTTTTAATATAAAGTCGAGAGCCAACAGTTTGTTTATCGCAAAAGTTCAATACACAATTTTGAAACTACATTCCAGTATATGTACATGAGATAAGAATAATTACAGTAAACCGGTAGGGAATAGACAGAGCAGAACCTGTATAATATTATCTAAATACATGTATTTATATATGTATATGTATATGTATAGGAATGGCTTAGTGATTGGGAATTGTTTGGTATTTGACCATTTGATACTGATCTGCAGCAGTGTTTTCTTTGCTCTCCATGTGGGTGTAGATTTCGTAATTGATCTTTCCATCGGAAGTTGGAATGAAAGAAGTGGCTCGGCCCCAAACCATGTCGTTATAACCAATAAGCTCATCGGCTGAAAACAACAAATTCAAATATTTCAGCTCGTTTTGAGTGCATGTTTTTTCGCAACGTTTTTTGAACTCCGCAAACGCGTGGGAGATTGAGTTCGCGAGCGCGGGGGAGCACAATTCTATTCGACGAATTGCTGCAAACATCCTCCCGTGTATTGTTTGCAATGATTTTGAAATTTTCGATAAGTCCACAAAAACTACACAAATTGGCCGGAGGAAACGGATGGCTTTTGAAAGTTTCGCAAGTCAAATATGGAGTTTTCAATTTCGACGAGATGGTATGCAAATATACATATGAATTCGTAGCGGAAATTGTAACAAAAAATAATTCAAATCGTATAGTTTTTGATGGGCGAACTCGCGGTTTTGTGAAATTCCTTACCATGACTCCAAGCGCTGAACACGTAATCAGCTTCCTTGTTTTTGTCCGAATTGAGCTGCATCAAGAACGTCGAATAATTAACTGCTGAGCATGGCCATGGAAGTGGCGAAAGACCGCAAGTCAGGTAGTTCATTCCACACGAGTCACCTGGCCAGAATCCATTCTAAAAATCGAAACTCAAACTGACTTGTTCATGATTATGAATTACCTTTCTGTTGCATGTCTTCTCCATGACGGCACCTCCTCCTTCGCAGCTGCACAATCCAAAGTTTGCACCGGAGATTCCGACAAGCACCTGAACCTTCTTGTTCAATGGAAGTCCAAGATTGCAATTTCCTGAATGTTCGTATTCAATTTCCACGAATTTCATGATTTTTACGATATACCATCTGGAGCTTCGATAGATCCTCCCTTGATAATCTTTCTCGCCATTGTAACACCCATACTGTGGGAAACAATCGAGATTTTCGGAGCTCCCGTGTACGCGATGACAGCTTCTACAAATTTGCGCATTCTCGTCATTGTATGACAGTCGTGAGTTCTGAAATATTCGCCATTTGTTTAATTCGAATTTCACTTCAAACCTTGTGCTTGCTTTCAATTCGTTGGTGTCTTGCCACGAAGTTGCGTACAGTTCAGCTTCAGTGTATCCATGAGCAAGAAAATATTCAATCGAGTTGGACCATCCTGTTGCTGACGAAGATCGATGAAGAGCAGCATCCGAGTTTCCGTGGATGAAAATAACGGGCACATTCACAACATTTGGCGAATTTTTAGTCTTTCCTCCGTAACTCCCTTGGCTACCGTAATCACTTCGGACGAAGTCGTAGCCACTGTATCCATTACTGTAATTTCGAAATTTGCTTATCTAATTATTGCTGATTACTGTCGTTACCTATCAAGCCATTTTTGGAAGTCATCGCTCAATGGTCCAGCAATATCGGAGGTGGCAAACACGGCGATGCAAAGGCACGTGGAGAAAACGAGTGCGGAAATGACGCCCATATCAGACGAGTGAATTCGGCTGTTGAATGCCGTCCTTATATGTGTTGTTTCCCGTGAGAAGCATCATGCGTGGTGATAGGTTATCAGTTCAATACACACGTTGGGGGCTAGATACTACAGTATTGGGAAAGTGGGCGGCAGTTACAGAGTGTTTGACCCTTATCGAGAGCCAAACAAATGTTAGCATCATTAATTAATTAATTGACTGCAGACAATTTTATGACTTGTGACCGGACATTTGAAGACCCGCTTGTTATGAGGAAGGCACGAAACCTTAAATGAATTGGATTGGTCCTTCTGAAAACACTTAATTAAATCTGAGGGCTCCATTTAAATTTATCAGGATATTTTGAAGTGCTGTGATCTAATTTGCCAACTAGCAAACTGTTGCTTTTAACAAATTTCAAGAGAATTTTTTGGCATTCTAAATTTGAGCTTTTGCTCACTTTTGCCTCAATATGAAGCATTATACCTTCACTGTCATTTCTATAAATATTATCAATTGTGCTAAAATTCAAGGATTGGAATACATATGTCAGCAGATTGTAATAAAATATTGTGCAACGATGAGCGGAAGCCAAATTTGGAAGGCATGTTAATATATGTAAAATAATTTTTTTAAAGAGCATCTTGAAAAAATGTAAGAATTGTTGAAATCGTGTTATGAAATAATGTAATTTGTTTGAGCCGTGATCTCCACAGTAAATCTAAGAGTTTTCTTTTCAAACACAAAAGAAAACTATTTTATTTGCCTATCAAAGTTCAAAAATCAATTTCAAATAATAATCATCATAATGTTGCCATATTTTGATTTGCAACAATAGCAGTTCAAAATGAGAAAACACCAAAACTCTTGAAGAACTCTCAAGTTTGATCGCTGATCGCCTCTCGTCGCATTTTTGATCCCGCCGAGCAATTTTGCTCAGATTCGAAAAATTCGTGTGTGTGTGCCGCTTGAAACATCACGGTACTCCTCAAAGTGCTGTTAGGATTTTGTGTGTGTGTATAATTTGAAGCAAACATAAGCAGTAAGGTGGTCGGGAGGGGCCTCCGTTGCGATAGGGATGGATGGATAAGTGCTCAAGAAAAGAGCACGAGACAATCGATCAACGAATAGTAATATTGGGCGAGAGCGCCGCGGCGGGGGCGCCATTCGGCAAACAAGCCGGCTCGACGGGATCCCGATGGCATCCAGCCACTTATACCTTATTTCTTTCTTTGGGTCTCGCAACGCGCGCCCTCCACTTCCGACCGCATAATCAAGATTCGACACTGATTTTCAAGTGATTATTCGCTTTTCAATTGTTTCCATTCACACAACAATTAGCGCGGGTTCCACTATATTTTTTTTTTCAATCCAAATCCTGCAATTCCTATTTACACTCTGAGCTTCCTCCGCAAATATGTGTGTCTGTTGATTAATACACCTCAATATTGGCAAAATCCCTCTTATTGGGAGTTTTGATTGAATTCTTCTTGATCTCAACAATTTTGACTTTATTGAAAATTTGTCATTTTCTCAAGGAAAATAGCCAACATTTTGATTTTGGTGAAGCGCTTTCCGATTTTCACTGGAAAATTAATATTTTAAATTATTTATAGTTGAATATCGAAAAAAATATATTATTTAATACGAACAAACATTAAAATTGAAAAATAACATTTTTTAGATCAATAAGTTTTGAAAAAAAAAGAATTCAAATAATAATTTTCACCAAAAACGTGCTTATTATTCATTCATTTTATTGCTCATTTCATCTTTCAGATTTGATATTTGAAAAATTCTTAAAATGCCTCTAATCAGTATGTTGCGAAATCCTTATTTTAATTTTTAAAAATTTAATTTATTCGTTAGCCAAGAACACTTAAAAGTAAATCAAAAACCATTGTCAAATAATGTATTTTTGGCTGAAATGTTCCTTCGAAAATGGGTTCACATGACTACAAATTTACGAGATCTTCATTCTGAATTGCGTACCCAGCGCGATAAAAAACTGTCCGCCTCAATCTCGCTTTCCGACTAATTGATGAGCTTTTCTTTTGCAAATTTTTGTGATTCCAATTTCTTTCTCGAAAAATGTTCTCATTTTAAGCCTCTCTATCTCGGCCCGATCGATTTGAATCGTCGGCTCATTCATTGCAACCATGTCACACGAGTCTGATCCTGGTTGGCAATACCTTCGCCAATCGGCTGAACAGGTTTCATTCTGTGTTCCTTCTTCTATTCAACTTTTCGAATTCCCCCTATTTTCAGCTATTGGCCGCCACGACCAAAAAATTCGATTCGAAAAAGAATGTGTGGATTGCTGATCCGGAAGAAGGCTTCATCGCCGCCGAGATCAAGTCCACAAAGGGTGATACGATCACCGTGGTGACTTCGAAAGGAGCCGAGAAGACATTGAAAAAGGATGATGCTCAACAAATGAATCCGCCAAAGTATGAGAAGACCGAAGACATGGCGAACCTCACGTTTTTGAACGACGCTTCTGTGCTTCACAATCTTCGTCAAAGATATTACTCAATGATGATCTACGTAATTGAATGCATTCATTCCTCAAAATCAATTGATATATTCTAGACTTATTCTGGCTTGTTCTGTGTGGTGATTAACCCCTACAAAAGGCTTCCGATTTATTCCGAATCGGTGTGCAAAATGTACATGGGACGACGAAGAAATGAGATGCCGCCACATCTTTTCGCCGTTTCCGATGAAGCTTATAGAAATATGGTTAACGGTTCGCATCGATCAACATTGTGAGAAATTGATGGAATTGATTTTATAGATCATGAGAATCAGTCAATGCTGATCACTGGTGAATCGGGAGCCGGAAAGACTGAAAACACGAAGAAGGTTATCTCGTACTTCGCGATGGTCGGAGCCTCGCAGCAAAGCACCAAAAAGAAGACGAAGAAGGACAAGGCGCAAGTTTCGCTTGAAGATCAAATTGTGCAAACGAATCCGGTGTTGGAGGCTTTCGGTAAGTGTTGCAAAATTACCCTGGTAACTCAAAACCAATTGGATCCGGCAAAATTCGGCTCAGATATTTTCAAATCCCATTAGTAATTTTGCGGATCCGATTCGAATTGAAATATCAGAACAAAACAAATCCGAATAATAACCAATCGGCTCTAACAAATCTACAATCAAATCCGTAGAAAAAAAATCTACAATCAAATCCGTTATCAGAGTAATCTCCGGCCTTATTTTACTTACAAAGTCGAAATTCTGATTACAAGCAAGTCATGATTAATGTACAATTTATATCCCTCCTGAGTAATTGACCATTTCTTCTTCTTTTTTTTTAATAGAACAAGTTGGTTCGATTTGTGTTCCAATAGTTCAAAGTTTCTATTTGTTGTTGTCATTTCGCAACGAGCGCTTAGAAAAAATCGTTCCGTTGCCTAGTTTTTTCTCCCTCCAAATTCTTGTCGTGTAACTACAAAACAAGATAAAGTGTCGCGCGGTAGCCGTAATTTTCAAGTGGGCCTTCTTCGCTTGCTTGTGCCATCTTTATCTATGTTTGCTCACCGGCAAAACTAACTAAACAACACGCGCAAAAATGTGCGGTTGAAACGCGAAGAAACATGGACGAAAAAAAAATTTGGGAATTCAGGTAACGCGAAAACGGTTCGCAACAACAACTCGTCGCGATTCGGAAAATTCATCAGAATTCATTTCAATCATGCTGGAAAGGTCGCTGGTGCCGATATTGAGCATTGTAGGAAATGCGTCCAAAATATGAATATTATTGATTGAATGAATTGTAGATCTATTGGAGAAATCTCGTGTAATTAAACAAGCTCCAGGAGAGCGTTCCTATCACATCTTTTATCAGCTCTATTCTGGAGCCATTAAAGGTCTTAAAGGTACATACAGTAATACACATGTCACGCAATATTTCATTAATGCCTTTTTTAGAAAAGCTGTTTTTGACTCGTCCCATCAAGGAATACACATTTGTGTCTCAAGCCGAAGTCACCATTGATGGGGTTGATGATGTCGAGGAAATGAACATCACTAATGTAACTATTTACACTTATAATAATGTAAATTGTTTTGAAAATTTATTTATTTTCAGGATGCCTTCGACATTATGAAGTTCAGCGAGCAGGAAAAATCGGAATTATTCGCTATTACCGCCGGTATTATGCATATGGGAGAGCTCAAGTTCAAGCAAAGACCACGTGAAGAGCAAGCTGAGCTTGAAGATGGCAAAGGTACGAGATAAATGGTCCAAGCGGCTAATTTCAAACTTATCTTCTATTTCCGGTTTTTTTTTGTGAACCGCACTATGTCGTAATTGGACTTTTTTTTGACTAATATGCATCTTTTAGAGGGTGAACTTGCTTGCAAATTATTCTGCGTCGAGGCGGAAAAGTTTGTCAACTCGCTTTTGAAACCACGCGTGAAGGTCGGAACTGAATGGGTGAACAAGGGTCAAAACTTGGAGCAGGTCAACTGGGCTGTTGGTGCTCTTGCCAAGGCTCTCTTCGCCAGAATGTTCACATGGCTCATTAAAAGGTGATTTACGAACAATTCTAGAAGCTTAAAAAATAAAAAATTTTAGATGTAACAAGACATTGGATGCGCAAGACCTTTCACGTGACTCATTTATTGGAGTGTTGGATATTGCTGGATTCGAGATCTTCGACGTATTCGTCTTCTTATGTCTTTTCCGTTAATTAATGTTGTCTTGATATTTAAGCTCAACTCGTTCGAACAATTGTGGATCAACTTCGTCAATGAGAAACTACAGCAATTCTTCAATCATCACATGTTCGTGTTGGAGCAGGAAGAATACAAACGCGAGGGAATTCAATGGGAGTTCATTGATTTCGGACTCGATCTGCAGGCTTGCATCGAGCTCATCGAAAAACCTCTCGGTATCGTTTCGATGCTCGACGAGGAGTGCATTGTGCCGAAAGCAAGCGATCTCACATTGGCGTCGAAGCTGAATGATCAGCATCTCGGAAAGCATCCGAACTTCCAGAAGCCGAGGCCGCCAAAAGGAAAACAAGCTGAAGCCCATCTTGCGATTGTTCACTACGCGGGAACTGTCAGATACAATGTCAAAGGATGGCTCGAGAAAAATAAGGCACAATAATTTTTTAATTTTGAAAATTCAGGTTGTTTTTAGGATCCGCTCAATGACACTGCTGTCACTGTTCTCAAGGCCAACAATGGCAATCAGCTCATGGGGGACCTTTGGGCCGACTACAACACTCAGGAAGACATTGCTGCGCTAGCAAAGGACGGAAAGAAGGGACCTGGCAAGAAGAAGGGAAAATCGGCGTCGTTCATGACCGTCTCAATGATGTACAGAGAGTCGCTCAACAAGCTCATGCATATGCTTCACCAAACTCATCCGCACTTCATTCGCTGTATCATTCCGAATGAGCAAAAGAAGTCCGGTTTGATTGAGGCGAACTTGGTGCTCAACCAGCTCACATGCAACGGTGTGCTTGAAGGAATTCGCATTTGCCGAAAGGGATTCCCTAACAGGATGCCGTTCACCGACTTCAAGCAGAGATACGCCGTGTTGGCAGCGGATGCCGCGAAATCCGGCAAGAACGACAAAGAAGCTGGCGAGAAGATCAGTGCTCAGCTTATTAAGACGGGCGCTTTGAAAAACGAAGAGTTCCAGTGCGGTCTCACAAAAGTCTTCTTCAAGGCTGGAGTGTTGGCTCATTTGGAGGAGCTTCGCGATGAAGCGCTTTCCAAGATTATCAGCAAATTCCAATGTGCGGCTAGACATTATCTCGCTCAATGCGAATACAAGAGAAAACTCGACCAGAAGGTCGGACTCATTGTCATTCAGAGGAACGTGAGAGCATGGTGCACACTGCGCAACTGGGCTTGGTTCAAGCTTTTCGGACGTGTCAAACCACTCATCAAGGGAAACAAGAAGGACGAAGAGTTCGAGGCTTTGGAGAAGAAGTTCAAAGTTTTGGAAGAGGAAAAAACGCAAGAAGAGAAGAAGCGGAAAGATAAAGAAGCTGAAGTTGCTCGATTGGAAGCTGAGAAGCAAGCTTTGCTCATTCAATTGGAACAGGAACGTGATTCCAATGCTGAAGGCGAAGAGAGATCTGCTAAGCTTTTGGCTCAAAAGGCTGACCTCGAGAAGCAGGTATATAGCTAATAGAATTGCGGAACGTTTTGATAATTGGATTTCAGATGGCCAATATGAATGACCAGTTGTGCGATGAGGAAGAGAAGAATGCTGCTCTTCAGAAGGCCAAGAAGAAGGTTGAACAAGACAACGAAGGATTAAAGAAAACTGTGTCTGATTTGGAAACTACCATCAAGAAGCAGGAAAGCGAAAAGCAATCGAAGGATCATCAAATCAGAAGCCTTCAAGTAATTATTAATAATTAGATAGATTATTGACTAAATTTAATTTAGGATGAGATTCAATCTCAAGATGAGGTTATCTCGAAATTAAACAAGGAGAAGAAACATCAAGAAGAAGTCAACCGCAAGCTTTTGGAAGATATTCAAGCGGAAGAAGACAAGGTTAATCACTTGAACAAGATGAAGTCGAAGCTTGAATCAACTTTGGACGAGCTAGAAGATAACTTGGAACGTGAGAAGCGTGGACGTCAGGACTGCGAAAAGCAGAAGAGAAAGGTTGAGGGTGAGCTTAAGATTGCCCAAGAGCTCATTGAGGAGCTTAACCGACACAAGCATGAGCAAGAGCAGGTTTTGAAGAAGTGAGATTATAATCAAATATATTAAATGTGAATTAATTTAAAATTAAATTTAGGAAGGACGTTGAAATTCACTCACTTCAGTCGAGATTGGAAGATGAACAATCGCTTGTCTCGAAACTTCAACGACAGATCAAGGAATTGTTGGCTAGAATTCAGGAACTCGAAGAAGAGCTTGATGCCGAACGTTCGAACAGAGCTAAGGCTGAAAAGGCCCGCAATGAGATGCAGCTTGAATTGGAAGAACTCGGCGATCGTTTGGATGAGGCTGGTGGAGCTACTCAAGCTCAAATGGAGCTCAACAAGAAGAGAGAAGCTGAGCTTGCCAAACTTCGACAAGATTTGGAAGAAGCTGCGATTCTCGCGGAGACTAACATGTCTGCATTGCGCAAGAAGCACAATGACGCTATTGCGGAGTTGAGCGATCAACTTGATACCGTGCAGAAGATGAGGTCTAAGCTCGAACGAGAGAAGGCTGATAAGCAGCGCGAGATTGATGAGCTTCAACAATCCATCGACGTTGAAGTCAAGCAGAGACAGGTATTATCAATCAAATCGCTTCTTTAAATAGTTTGATTTACAGAATTGTGAAAGAATGGCAAAACAATTGGAAGCTCAGCTTACCGACATCACATTGAAGAGCGATGAACAGCAGCGACTCATCCAGGAATTGACATTGGCCAAGAACAAGTCATACTCTGAGAATCAAGATCTCAATAGACAACTAGAAGATGCGGAATCTCAATTGTCGGCCTTGAATCGCATCAAGCAGCAACAACACAACCAGTTGGAAGAGCTCAGAAGAAGTTTGGACCAAGAAACTCGCGAGAGACAGACCCTCCATGCTCAAGTGTCCAACTACCAATTGGAATGCGAACAACTCCGAGAGCAGATTGAAGAAGAGCAGGATACTAAGACTGATTTGCAGAGACAATTGAGCAAAGCCAACTCTGAGATTCAACAATGGAGAGCCAAATACGAAGGTGAAGGTGTCACTAGAGCCGAAGAACTTGAAGAGACTAGACGCAAGTTGACATTGAAGGTGCAAGAAATGAGCGAACAGCTCGAGAACGCAAATCAAAAGATTGGATCTTTGGAAAAGGTCAAGCAGCGACTGTCTCGTGAGCTTGATGATGCTCAGATTGACGCCGAACGTGCTAATGCTATTGCCAGCTCATTGGAAAAGAAGCAGAAAGGATTCGACAAGGTCCTCGACGAATGGCGTCAAAAGTGTGAATCTTTGGTGGCTGAGGTTGAACAGAGCCAGAGAGAAACTCGTGCTGCTGCTACTGAGACCTTCAGACTCCGCAGCCAGCTTGAGGAAGCCCATGAGCAAACTGAAGCGGTTCGACGTGAGAACAAAACACTCGCTCAGGAACTCAAGGATATTTCTGACCAACTCGGCGAAGGTGGAAAAAGTGTGCATGACTTGCAAAAGTTGCGCAGAAAGCTTGAAATTGAGAAGGAAGAACTTCAACAAGCTCTTGATGATGCCGAGTGCGCTTTGGAAGCCGAAGAAGCCAAGGTGTTGAGGGCTCAGATCGAAGTGTCTCAGATTCGTTCTGAGATTGAAAAGAGACTTCAAGAAAAAGAAGAGGAGTTCGAAAACACTAGAAAGAACCACAGCCGAACCATTGAGAGCATGCAAGTCAGTTTGGAGACCGAGAGCAGGGGACGAGCTGAATTGTTGAAGACCAAGAAGAAGCTTGAATCTGATATCAATGAACTTGAGATTGCTTTGGATCACAGCAACAAGTTGAATGTGGACAGCCAGAAGAACATTAAGAAGCTTCAAGACACAATCAGAGAACTTCAGCTTCAAGTGGAAGACGAGCAAAGAAGCTTGAACGATATCAGGGATCAGGCATCGTTCGCTGAACGTAGATCTCAAGTTCTTCAACAAGAGAAGGAAGATCTAGCCACTATCTACGAGCAATCCGAAAGAGCTAGAAGACAGGCTGAGATTGAACTCGCTGAAGCGAAAGATGCTATAAACGAGTTGAGCAACAACAACTCAGTTCTTCTCACTGGAAAGAGAAAGGTCGAGGTTGACATTCAGCAACTCCAAGCAGATCTTGAAGAAGCGTTGAATGATACAAAATCTGCCGATGAAAAGGCAAAGAAGGCTATGATGGACGCCTCCCGACTCGCAGATGAACTCCGAGCTGAGCAGGAGCACGCGAGCAATCTCGATAAGAGCAATAGATCGCTTGAATCTCAAGTCAAGGATCTACAGAATCGGTTGGATGAAGCGGAAGCTGCAGGAGTCAAGGGCGGAAAACGACAACTGGCTAAGCTTGATATGAGAATTCATGAACTCGAGACAGAATTGGAAGGGGAAACCCGCAGACATGCTGAGACTCAAAAGAGTTTGCGTAACAAGGATCGAAAGTGTCGAGAACTCCAATTCCAAGTCGATGAGGACAAGAAATCAACAGAACGAATGTACGATCTCATTGATAAGCTTCAGCAGAAGATCAAGACCTATAAGCGACAAATCGAAGATGCGGTAAGAATTGAAAGAATTTGCTGTTAATTGATTGTGATTCGTCATTTTTTTTTTCAGGAATCGCTCGCATCGGCGAATCTCGCTAAATATAGACAACTTCAACACGTTGTCGAAGACGCACAGGAGCGCGCTGACGCAGCCGAGAATGCGTTGCAGAAGATGCGACTAAAGGGACGAAGCTCGTCCGGAGTGTTCGGACCCAGAGGACTTGCCCATTCGGTTCGTCAAGTTTTGAGATGTTTAATTTTTTTTAAATTGCCAAATTTAAGATGTCAACAACTGGTCTGGGAACAATGCGTCGCGGTGGATCACGAGGTGCATTCCTCGACGAAGATTTTGCCGAGGAATAACAGCAAAAAATCAAACTTCAAACCTTATTTGTATAATAAATTTTTTCTGAGTGACACCAAAACCACTGCCCAGCAATTGCACTCCTCCATGTTTCCATTCATTTCTTTTCACTTACATTACTTACTTTCTCTTTTCATATTTTTGCGTTTTCTTCCTAGTCATCTCTTGTATTGATATGCACATTTATTTTCTCTTAATTTTAACCAAAATGCTTATATAATAAATGATTACATTTTGTTGCAAGATGGTTGAATGAATATGGTATTTGTGTATATTCTAGTGCCTTCCTCCGCCTTTGGAATAGGATTGTGAACAACCCAAGCTTCGGCTGCATTTCCATCCTAGAAAATCGAATTGTGACATTTTATTTCAGAAATAATGCTTTCTGAAGAAGTAGTGAAAAAAATATTTTCGAAAATATTACCGAATAAATTTTGGCTGTATTAATTGTATTAACATATCCAACTTGAGATGATAAACCGTTGTGGTCGCCGGATATACTATAGCGCTGAACTCGCGATCGTACAAGTGACTCCTGGAATTCTCAAAATTTGAAATGTGCAATTTCAAATCTGTAACCTGATTGGCTTTTGAGATCGCAACTGGAATTGAGGCGATTCGCTGCCACTGAAAAATAAATTAAAATTTAGCGAAATTTCAAAGCTGCTCACTTTTGTACGATAATCATCGACGTAAAACTCGATGGTCGACGACATTTTTAAGAGAAATGAAATGGATGAAAAAAAAAACGGCGAACAATAGCATAACATTGCTGGTTAGTCATCGTATGCTAGCGAATTGTTTAGTTTTAGGACTACAAACACACGTTACATATTCAAAGAAAAATTTGAAAAAAAAACCGTAGTAGACGGCTCACATTTATTTTGAAAATTATGAAACAGGAAGCACTATATTTCGGTATTTTTTAGCGTTTTCCCAATCTTTAAAAATTGAACCATCTTTTCGCACACAATATGATTGCTTCGAATAATCATTTTGACCAGTTCGCAGTGCGCAGTAACAAGTCTATGACGATGATAATTCGATATGGATCCTCTAACTATGTCGTGTTATCAGTGGTGTAAGTCGATAGATTTGAAATCGTGGCGGACAAGTGATTTACGGCCAATCGAATAAGCTGGTTTTTTTTTGCCATTTTTCATTCGAAAATTTCAGGTTTAGCAAAATTTTGTGAAAAAAATTATCTTAATATTACATTTAAAAAATTTACGAGACATGTTTAAATTGTGATCTATGCTGGGCTCTGAAGACATTGCGTGTCTTGCTGAAATTCAAAGTGTTTTTCAGCATGCGACGGAGCTCACAAGTGTTCACCGTCTCTTTCTTTCTTCTACCAACTCAAACAACCGTGTTTCGTTCAATTTGGTGACGAGACTTTCAGAGTCTAGGGGGATTCTGATTAATACCTCGTTGTATTTTGAAATAATTTAAGATGTCGAGTTAAATCTACTGTAATGTTCCGATATTTGCTATAATCAAGTAGAATCATCTCGTACCGTAAACGTGAGACTTGAAAAATCTGGAATAATACTAATGGACCTAAATGTTATGAGAAAAAATGAGAACAAAAAACTTGAAGAAAAGTTTGTTTCCTTTTTTGGAATCGTCTTTTCTTTTATTTAATACTTTTTTCCACGACGGGATGTTTCTTAAAAATATTTTGAGGTCAAATATTTATATTATTAACGAGTTATTGAATAGCAGTTAATGATCTGAACAATATGAGAACCAATAGGCCCAATTAGTTCCCAGAAAAATAGTATAGAATTAAAGTGAAAATATTTTTGTCAATTTTAGATTCATTGGGTACGTTTTGGCTTATAAAAGCAATATCCAGATCATTAGCCGACCAATATACGGTAATAAATTATGCAATTGTCCAATTTCGCAGATCCACAAAATAATCATGGAAACTAATCAAGAACGAAATGGGTCAAATTGCAAATATCCAGAAGACGATAGAGTGCACGAAACGAGGAAGCGCGCAGAGTTGCGCCGACGAGGCGTGTTATCAACAATCCAGTAGTGGGCAGGGTTGACAATACCAGTAGCATACTATAAAAGCATCGGCTTCTCGATGGATAAACCCATCAACACTTGATCCTATCAAGTCGATCACATCATGGATTCCTCCGCCGATGGCCGCACCAAGGCCTATAAGTTTGTCGCCTATGCGGCCGTCTCGTTCTCCATTGTTGCTGTTATGTCGGTGGTTTTAACATTGCCAATGGTTTACAATTATGTTTCCCATGTTAGGCAGCAGATGAAGCATGAGCTTAGTTTCTGCAAAGTTTGTATTCCACCTTTTGTTTGGTTTCTACTTGTCTCGTTTTATTCTAGGGATCCGCAAAGGATATTTTCGCTGAAGTCAACTTCATGAAGACTCATTCTGGACCAGCAGCCCCAGGCAATCGCACCGCACGTCAATCTGGATATGGAACACCGGAAGTCAACGCCGCTCCGAACCTTCAATGCGAGGGATGCTGCTTACCAGGACCACCAGGACCAGCCGGAGCTCCAGGAAAGCCAGGAAAGCCAGGACGCCCAGGATCGCCAGGAGCTCCAGGAGTACCTGGAAAGCCGCCAACCGCGCCATGCGAGCCAACCACTCCACCACCATGCAAACCATGCCCACAGGGACCACCTGGACCACACGGACCACCAGGAGCTCCAGGAGATCCAGGAGAGGCTGGAACTCCAGGACGCCCAGGAACTGACGCGATGCCAGGACTTCCAGGACCACGTGGGCCACCAGGACCAGCTGGAGAACCAGGACAACCAGGACCACAGGGAGACCCAGGAACTCCAGCGCAGTCGGAGCCGCTCGTCCCAGGAGCTCCAGGAGAGCCAGGAGATGCCGGTTAGTGCTTATCAGTAAACAGTTTCAAAATTTCATAATTCAGGACCGGCTGGACCACCAGGACCACCAGGAGCTCCAGGAAACGACGGACCACCAGGACCACCGGGACCAAAGGGAGCTCCAGGACCAGACGGACCGCCAGGAACCGACGGACAAGCTGGACCACCAGGACCACCAGGACCAGCCGGAACTCCAGGAGAGAAGGGAATCTGTCCAAAATACTGCGCCTTGGACGGAGGAGTCTTTTTCGAAGACGGAACTCGCCGCTAAACGGTGCCTCTATATATTTATTTTCTTTTCATTGTGCAATCGCTATACTCTCATTTTCAATACAAGGTGTATGGAATGAAATCATTTTTAAGACATTTGAGTAATGTAAATTGACATAGTGAAAAGTGTAAAAGCAGCTAAGAAGAGCATGAATATGGCCAATCGTTTTCGGCTGCGATTGCGAGCAATCTTAAAATTGAATAATATTGAATAACACACAATGAGATCAAACCGAAAGCATTCGATCGCATCTGACCGCCCGATCTTCCATCGACCAACAGCTACTTGCAATCCAACAACAACTCATTTGAAGCTGATAAATCATAGGAAAAAAATGTATTCAAATTATTATATGAACTACTCACAAATCGTCGAATCTTATTTATTTTCGTTGGGTGAATCTTTTCGCTAGTGTTTTTCCATCCTTCAGTTAAAGTAATCCTACAAAAGTAGAAAATATGAATTTTTAAAACACAATAAAAAGAACACACGGTCCAGTATGTTGATGTGGCAGAGTGCTCATCAAATATTCATACCGTCTGACGAGAATCTGGAGTGTTTCCTCACGCTTACAAATGATAATATTTTTTAAAAAAGCGGTACCGTTTTCATTGAAAGCGTCAATTCGCCGTTCAGTTGAACACCTAGTAGTTTTTGAATGGTTTTGATTTCTCTAACGCGACTGCGGACCGACAATTTTGATTGTGGAAGAATTTGCTCCTAAATAATCAAATTTTTGGAGAAAATACACAATTTCCGAATACTTCTTTGAACACTGAATTTGGTATCGCTAACAATGAAGACTGATTAGCCGAGATAAGTTTCGTGCGTCGTGAAAGCATTATTTTGAAAAGACGATCCTTAAAATGCTCTCTCGCTTCGTCTTTTATTGAACGCATATTCTAAATTGTATGAACTGAAAAAGAGGATCTGAATATTGGTTTTTGATCTACCATCATTCCCCCTTTACTGTATCGATGCTCAAACTCGTTGTCTTGCATCTTCCAATTCAACGCCCAATCCAATGGAGTCTAAAAATATTTTAAGGAATGCGAGAGCAAGCATATTTCAATTTTCTGTCCAACATACAACAGTCGCCGTCGAAGCCGCACTATCCGTCGAGTAGCCGCTCAACGAAGCAACCGACGGTGCTCTCTCGGGAACTTGCTCCATTGCCGTTTTCCATTCGCCATCTTTTCCGAGAACAACCACTGCCGTTGGTGTCGCCTTGGTGTCGTATCTCGATGGTCGAACACGCACATAGCGATTTCCTTTCGTTCGTCCCTCCTAGCATACCATCGATTTTTGCAGAGCAAGAATTTGGGCGAGCAACCTTTTCCAGAAACATATTCTCATCAATCCCTAATAATTGATTTCTTTTGATTGCCCGACAAAAATGCGCCGTGTAAGCCAAACTCGAAGTCATATAATTGAATTCGTTGAAAAGGTCGAGATCACGACGAGTTCGGAATCCTTCGGTATTATATTGATGATTATTAATAAAATCCCTGAAATTGGTTGGGTTGAACAAGGGGAACATGAAAAATGCTCAACCTCAAATAGTTTGGACGTACGTGAAGGTACAAGGGTGGCTGAAACTGCCGACGTTGTTCGATCCAACTCGGATTCAACACAATGAAACTCTGAGTTCGAAAGAAGATTATTATATTACAAATTCAATTTCGATTAATCAATTATTAATATTAATTATTTTAAAAATTGTACCAATGCCTTATTTTTCAATTGAGTGAAATCGTCCTTCAAGTCATAATCGAGCGAAACAAATCGATTCCGCAACGAGTCTTTGATCTGTTTTTCATACTTTCGAATCAAATGCCCATAAATTGGTGTCGATGTTTTCTAAACTTGTGTTTCGTTTCATCACTATCGCGTTTTTCCGAAAAACCTCCTCTTTTATGAACAAATGTCTTGAAGAGGGCATAATTTTCCGGCAAAATCCATCGAATTGCGGTTGGCGATAATTTGGGCGATTCTTGAGAATATTGGCACGACGTGCGTATTCATTTCGCCAAATTAAAGCAATACTGAAAATTTTTGGCGATTTCAAAAAAACTTTTTGCGAGAAAAAAAACCTTAATTCGTCTAGTGTATAATCCGGTCGTAATCGATTTTTCGCAACGTGGATGTACGATTTTTTCGCATCGAAATAGTCAATTTTCGTCACCTCAATTGTACAAATTTTTCGGAAAAAAAATGATCAAAATAGTTTTCGACAAATGTGAAAAAAGAAAATTTTCCATACCCATATTTGGCACGATAATGCTGAATTTGCACATTTATTAACGAACGATTCTGTTCTGAGAAAAAATAGAAAAAAAAAATTATTTGAAAATAAATTTTGTTCGTTTTTTTTCTCTACAGAATCGCTCCATTAGAAGAAAATTGATTGGCAAGATATTTGAAGAATTTTTTTCAAAAAAATCTAGTGCAATCGAAATTCTAGGACAACACTTTTGAAAATTTCCGAAAAGTTGAATACCTCGTCAATGAAATTGTAGGAAAAATAAAGATAGAAGATTTTGTCCTTTTCCCTGCCAGCGGATTTTGGACTGAATAGTGTTGCCGTATACATGTCAGGCATTCCGCGTTTACTAGAAAATCTCAATTAAATACAGCTATTATAAAAATACAATTTTTGGTAAATTAAGGGAGAATTCGGAAGGAATTTAAAAAAATAAAAAATCCTTTTTTCTTCTTTTTTAAAAATATTTTTCTTGGATTGCCCTATTAAAGTCGGACTTCAACTTATTGAGAAAAAAATATTTTAATGATCTTACTATAATCCTGAGGTGTATTTTTCGCTTGGCACCAAGATTTTTTTAAACGTCGAAAATGAGGAGCACTTTTGCATTTCGCATGCAAACTGAAAATAAAACATATGAATTGCCATTTTTGCTTCAAATAATTCTACATCATAATCGTTTTTGATCGAACTTCGAAACTTATCAATCATCAATCCCGGGTTTGGCTCGTATCGATAGCGATGAGGTACATTTTGCATCTAAAACCGCCGATAATTGCATTCTAATTTTAATAATAAATTGCCAATTGTTTTGGGGTTTTGCGTTTCTCCGTTTTCCTTTCAAAAAAAATGAGTTGAATTTATCGTTTGGTCTTACTTTTTATCAACTTTCTTTCTGAAAATTCAATGAGTTTATTATCGAATTTTTTTAGTAATCTTACATTGCTGATCGTTTTGATGCTTTAGATTCTCTGAAAAATGGTTAACACAAATTATTCAAAACTTACTTACATCTTCGAGCCTCTGAAAAATGAATCTATGAAAAATTTACTTTAGAACAACTAAAATTAATAAACTGTAAATGCTACAATTTCTTTAGTAAATTATTAAAACACCTCAAATTAGGAAAAAAAAATCAAAATTACGAAAAAGTAATTTGCCAATATTTTGAGTTAATAATAATTTTTAGTTGCCAATTTTGAGCATATCGTATCAATAATAAGACTTACATTTTTGATTCTCTGAAAAAAAAAATTGAAATTTATACGTAATATCGACTAGTTACATTTTGGAAGTTCTGTAATAATGAGATTAATAATTAAGACTAATTAATGTTAAAGTCGTACTCCTTTGATATAGCAGTTTTATTATCTCGTTTATCACTGAAAAACAATTTTTTTTAACATTTCTAAGAGAATAATATGCAAACTCTTTTGATAGTTTTTTATTCGAATCTTTCGTCTTTTGATCTCTGAAAATAAGAAATTGATAAATTAATTCGAAGTTTTTAAAACTCTTTCGGTGGCTTATGCGCGGAATCTTTTGCTTCTTTTGACTGGCGTATTTCTCTGAAAAAGATTAATCTATCTCAATGAACCGGAACGCATTTGTATAAATTATTTAAATCCCATACAAAAAATTTAAGATCACTTTGATCTTGTCAAAATCGACGGACAATTAATACATAAATTTGGGGATTTTTTAACAAGTAATTCTAGAGATAAAAATAAAAAGAACGACATTAAAACCAACTCTTCAACTTTCGATCCGCTTCGCCTCCTTTCCTTACTTTTTGTTTTGTTTCTGAAAAAAATGGCATTGGTTTTTTTTTAAATCAAATAATAGCAAAAACTTTTTCGATCGGTTCGATATTTTGTTATCTCTAAACATATTATTTTCACAAATCTTCGTTTTATTATCCTTACTCTTTCGAAACTCTGAAAATAAGGTCAAATAAGAAATAAAACGGTTCTTTTTTTCAAACAGACTTGGACATTTTGGAAACGCGTGGCTCAACCTTATCCACCGAACTCCTTGAATATTTTAAGTTAATTATTCTAATTAATTACCTACATTTTTGATCGTTTCGAATGTTTTTCACCGGAATCCCTACAATTAAAACTAAAATATTGAGTTTGCCCATAAAAAATCATCGCGTTCTCATTCCCTTTACAACAATAACATGCTGAACTTCTACAGAACACTCACTTATGTGATGGCGAAGTTCTAAAATTTTTCATTTTTTTCCTACAATCATTTATTGTGTCTCTTACACCGATGGATGCTTGCTTATACGATGCCGAATTGTCTTCTGTGTAACATCAACTTTTAGAGAAGCATCTGTAGCTGTCTGAAATTATTTTGAAGACTTTCAATTCATTATTCAAAATGCTTAAATTTTTTCTAGCATTCGATAATCATTCATTGTTCGCTTGGAAAATATTCACATAATTTCTCATCAACTTACTGTCTTCATGATTTTAAATCACTGATTTATAAAAAGAAAATGATTTGTATTTCATTCTTATTTCACGTAAACACTATAAATATATAAATATTTATTATTAGTCATTTTATTATACTCAATAAATGTATATATATACTATATTATGAAATATATAATTAAAAAAAAAAACAAATATAAAAAGATTCACACGAATAAGGCACTTTCGGTGAATGCTTTCAAAAAAAAGCTGTACACACTATCACAGATGCTGCTGACGTTTTTTGGGGAATGAAGGCTTTGATTAAATATATAGATTAAAATAATTTGATCCAGATATGTCTTCCATCTTTGGATCGATTCAATTACACCAAGCGAGGGCCAGAAATGATTGAAGTGGCGTAGAAATTCCGGGCAAAATGTCTCGCCTAGAAACAAAAGACATGTTTTTATAATTAAACGATGCCTCAACTAACCATATGCTTTTAAGCGAACTTGCTGGTCCCCATGAGCGTCGGGCCGGAGCCGTGAATACGCTGTAAAGAAACGAATTAATAAGACGGAATGGAATGGTTTTTTTTTCGGAAATGCGGTAATCTCAAGGACAACACTGCAGAATGGGACTGGCAGCAACAAATTTGGGCCATGCGAATGCGGATAACCTCGACGGGCGGTCCGTTCCGACACAGGTCAGCCACGTATAATTGGAGATTGCAAAAAGATGACGGGAGAAGGGGGAGGAGAGACAAACAATGAATGAGGTGCGACTGTCTAGATGGAGTTTATGCGGTACTACCATACTTCCGATCTCAACCCCTCCCTATACCATGACTCACGAGAAGATTACGAAACAGACATCGTGATCATATATATTATAGGAAAGGGGATTTTCTCGACCTACATCACTTAGAAACAAAAAGTATTGGGAAGATGGGTCACCTAAATATAGAAAATAGGGAGACCGCACGTATTATTCTGTAGAGGAACGTCAAACAATGTTAGATGGAAGTATACAGAATAGCGAGCACACACCAACCACGCCAACGAAAACTAAACTGAACTGTGTTGTCCTTGTATTCTCAGTAGCACCGCGACCACGCCCACTTTGTGGTCCCACCCCGACCTCGACGCGCAACATCATTCACGCAACAAACCGACGATAATCATCTCGACTGATTTATTTGCAAAGTATGAATTAGTGATAATGTAAGTTGACTGGTCAAGGGCGATTAATCGAATCGATGAGATTTTATCGCGTCGGATCGGGTCATACAAAATGTTGTTGGAATGTTCAATTTTGAAAAAAAAATTGTGGCTGCCTGTATGTATACTGTCGGGGGGAGAGGCGGCGGCGGCGGCGGCGGCGGTGGAAATCACAAATCGGCCACACAAGAGCAAATATTGACACATCTATACAAAATGGGTAATGGTAAAAAGGGGACCACAAAAGACCATGGTCCTAGTTGAACGTAGGTCAAGGGTGGCACGTATTTGAACAGCTCTCAACAACAAATTACTATATTTGTGCGGTTATGAAAAGTTGTAAAACCGCGAGTGACCAAGTTTGAAGAAACCCACCCCCCGGCTTAGGAAAGGCTTCATTCGTCTGTCTTGGTGGTGGGATTATATACCGAGTAATCGGGAAGCTGTGACCGGTTGAGTATTAGCTTTGGTAGGTCAAACCCATAAACCGCTTGAGTTGCAGTATTATTATGGACCATCAAACATTCGGTTTGAACGCAATCCACATTGTCTGATAACACGGCTGATCAGAAGATCTTCAAAAATACAATGAGTATATTACGCAATCAAATATTTTGTATATACTCGTACATGAGGGATTTGCATATTAATTCAGTATAGCACCAGTCGAGTGCCCAAATTGGTCGTCATCGTCAGCGCGATCGTGACCGCCATTAAAATGTTGAGCTCGCGGCGGTGCACAAAACAAAACAAAAGAATGGTTGGAAAAAAGTGCGCGGTGCCGGTGCGGTGCCAGTCTCGTCTGACTCAACTACCTCTTTCATTTTCGCGCACCGCAATCCAATTATTATATATGCATACAAAAAAGGTATCATTTGTGGTTTTGAATGGGCGTTTTAACAATGAGTCGCCAACAATTCGACCGGTTTTGCCGTATTCATTCATTGAAAAAGAATAATGTATTGGTAAAGAATTTAATACTAAAAAAAATTTGAAAGGGAAGACACATTTTTGAATAGAACTGTCATATTATTAAAGAAGATTGTCAGACTTCTTAAAACATCCGATGTGTGTTTTTATTTCCAGATTAAGGATTTTTTTTTGAAATTTTTTTCTTATAACATGATTTATAAAAGATTGAAAAGTTTTCGCGGAATTTTTACGAAAAAAAAAATCTCATTAATTCAAAGAAATGCAAAATTTTGCGCCAGTTTTGTTTAGTCGTGAAATTTTTTGAATTGCAGTTTTTAAATTTTTCCCCCAAATTTTGGAAAAGTCGAACAATTTTTTCTTCATTGACTTTTAACCGATCCAATTTTTTGAAGCATTTCACATGAACCGAATATAGGCATGTGTGTCATCAAAAACATATATCGCATTCCTACACCTTTATGCTCCTTTAATGAGTCTAATTTGAAGATTTCCTCTCAAACCGAGTCATATTATTCGTCTGGAACAGTGCAGTAAATTAGTGTCTTCTATCAAGTGTCGCACCTTCTTCATTACCATTTCGCATTACTAGTAAGTAGTACTACTTGGATATTTAATGTCGACCTTTATTTAATCCGATCTCATGTAGTGCAAGTGCACAGTAATTCTACTTGAATACAAAACGCATAATAATGAAATGTTCAATGCCATCTCGAGTCCGAAGTGTCGTCAATGGAAAGAATCGAACGTCCTTCGATTTTCATGTTCGACAAATATTCGATGGGAAATTGGCGATAAAATCTGGGCGTATCGTCGAGTGTCGACCCGAATTGCGTTGTCGGATCGGCATTAATATCAAAGATATCGGACAGTGTTTTGATTGGCACAAATACTTCCGACGATTGCGCAAAAACGGCGCCGATAAAGGGCGTAGTTTCGCCGAAAAATTGTGATTTTATCTTTATTTGATAAATGGGTGACATAATTGGCGGGTCGCGTAACATCCGATGAGCAGGTTGGCGGATTAAACACCAATGAGTCTATATTGGGAGTTTGCAAACGTCTAAAAAATATATATAATATAATATATAAATATATATGTAATAATGAAGCATCGCCAATCGCTTGTGCAGGCTGAAGAAAACTTGGCAGTATTCTCATCGCCAAAAAACGAGACTTTCATTTTTTTTTCCGGTTACTTTTTTCTTTCCACTGAACATCGAAAACGAAAAACGGGAAGCAATTATTTTCCCTTTTTTTTTCCCTTCATAAACGGTACAGGAATTCTGTTCCACAAAGCGGACAACATTTCACCTAAAACCCTTTTCAACTTATTATGAATCATATAAAAATATTAAAATACATAGATTCCACCACATGACATTTTGTTATACGGCCGGTCCTGTATTTTTTCGGCATTTCTACGAAAACGGAAAAAATGAACTTTTTTCCGCCGCATAGCCGAAACGGAATTCCGTGAAACGGTGCTTTAATTAGAGAGTAAGTTTGATTCGATCGGGATTATTCCTAGTATGGGGAAACTAATGGACCTTTTCAGCTTAATGCAAAATTGTAGAAATACACATTTTCAGTGTCAAATTTTGCGGTTGAAAAAAAAACAATTTTGGCAAATTTGCAGATTTATGAATAGTTCAGAAATTGCCTTGAATTAAATCAAAATCTGAATTTCAACAATTAAAAATTTCGATGGTAATGTATTGTGAACACTGTAACGAGTATTTGTATGCTATTGTTTATGTAAATCTTCAATTGTTTATTTACACTCGCTATCAATTACATTTAATGAACTGAATAAATAAACAATTCCCCCCAAATTGTGAGATAAAATTTCGTAAATGCATTGAACTATTTAAATAAAAAAAAACTATATGTAAACTTGCCAACATATTTGTTGTCTAAACAGCTCAAAACTGAATATTTTTGAAGGATTGACGGAGTCAAACGACTTGACGAAATTTTGAAAAATTATTGGTTATGCACCAATTCTTCTCGAGGGAGCGAGAAGTACGCGAGATTGCGTACATTGCATTTTAACGTACGCGCATTTAATATTCAGTCAACGATTAATATAAATCTACACTGATTTCGCGAATTTGAAGGCTTCGCCTCTCTTCGGTCGTTTGACGCCAATAATACAATATTTTTCGGTTGGCTACTAGACAAACATGTGATCTGTGCGATCAAAATAAGAAATTTTGTTTTTAGTGTTAAAATGTGTTACTCGATATGGAAAAAAATTAAATTAAAATCATAAAATGAGCTCAAAATCGCATATTTAATCTGAAAATTTTTATATTTATCCCAATTTAAACAACCTCGAGAAACATGATGGTCCCTTTCAACTAATACATAACGTTTGGAATTGTGTTCTTGATGAATTCATAGATTTTTGAGGTTTTTTTTTTATTACTCCCGATTTTCTTATGGACCTACTCATGAAATACATGAAAACAATGCAAAAATTTAATTTTCTTCAGAGCCCAAAAAAATGCGAATCAGGACAGAGCGAAATCGGAATTTTTGGCAATTTCGGAAAATGCCATTGCGCACAGCCGTGATCCAAAATACGTTATAATATTAAAAACAAGGATTTCTGGAAGAAAATAGCGAAAAAATCGAAACCTTGAAAAAAAAGCCATAATTGTGAAAAAACTGAAACAACTTTTTAGTTCAATTTTTAAAAATTTTAATTACTGATTTGCATAACATTATTTTCTTATATTTTCGTAATGCCGACGTCACTCAGAAAAATTGCTAACAAATACCAAAGAAATTTAGAGAGAGGTGTGTGATTTTAATTCTATTCTTATGCATTTATAGCCCCATAAAAAATAATCTCCATGATTCTCAGCGCTGAATGTCAAATTGATTTTATCAGAAAAAATGTTTAAAAGAATAGCGCCGAAATAAAAAGGGCCGAATTTCAGACAATAGTAAGAACACTTTTTGCCAAAGTTGCCTACGTTTCTCAATAATCAAAACAAAACTATTCCGAGTACCGTGAGATCCAAAATTAAATTTTCAATTTCAAAATACTTTTTCCTGTCACAATTTTGAATCCCTAATGCAAATTATTTTTATTTAGAATACATTCCGTTTTTCATTAGTAATAAAACACTGATTGATTCCGTGTGTTGAATGTGAATTAGAACATGTGAAACAGAAAAAGTTGCAGTCAACATTGGGAAATCAGAGAATACAAATTTCTTATTTAAAAGATGATTCGAGTGTTCGACATGCTTTTCAAACATTTTTGACGAATCCAGGATTGACCGTCAATGAAAATTGTACGATATTTGGAAATGACTGATTGATCTTCTGAAGTACTTCAGCAGCATTTATAGGGTCATTCAAAATCAACGCTTTTGAATTGATAAAAGGTAGTGTTTCAGTGGGATCAATGCGATGTTCAACAATAAGGAAGTCATTTTCCAATAGTGATCAAGAACGACGAATAAATACTCCAGAGGTCACAGTTTGAAATCGAAATGAAACGCTGTTTGCTAGCCGATTAAACAAGGAACAATTTCTTATCAGTATGTCTGCAATTGCAAAATTACATAGTTGGTTTTCCAAATTTGTTTTAAAACCAATTGAAACCGTCTTCTTTTGCTTGCCCTAAAATTGATCGAATCGATCGACTTGGCACAAAAATAGTGTACGTCAACTGTAGGGACGGGGCATACATGGAGAGCAAACTAAACACAGTTCGCACTTCGTTTTCACTTTACTGCGTTCGTTTTATTTTACATTTTTTTTGACAAGCAATTTTTCAGTAAAATCTCTGGCATTAGGAACGATATGCAGAACGAAGGTGGGTTTTTTCATTAATATTTTCTTTATGATTTCTTTTTTTCAGCGGAGCGCGAGCAATTGGCCGGAAACCAGCCTCCTAGTGGTACGTGTTTGTTTTTTTTTTGTTAAAAATCGTGTTTCATAAGCGCCATACATCCTGGGAACAGAAAATCAATATATTTGTTTTGAACAAAAAAGTATTTTTGTTTGCGAGAAAACTCACAAAAAGATATTGCGAAACATCATCACTACTTATTCGTCAATTCAGTTGATTTTAGTCTTCTGGAGTTATTCAGCAATTAAGAATTGTAAAAAATTATTCATTTACTCAAAAAATTTAATATTTTTACATTTTTTTTTGTAATTGAAAAAAAATTTGGGAACCGGTTTCGACATTTCGCGCGTCGCCATAATTCACATTGCAACCATTTGAATTAAATTTCACATTTATTTTCATGGAAATTTTCGTTCTTTAAATTTAATATTTAAATATTTAGCAAGAACGATCAAGATTGTCGAATGTTAAAATGTTTTGTACGCATTTTAAACATGCGGTGTTTGCGGATCGGAATTTTATAGACCGTTTTTTTTAATGACCCGATTTGCTGAGTCATGTGGAATATTCCTTTGTTTGTGAATTTTAGGAAAAAATAATAAAATCTTAAGATTTTCTTTCCACTATTAAATACAGATTTCACAAAGTCTCAAAATAAAATCATTAAAAACAACAAAAAATTTTATATATATATCTATACCGAAGAGACTTGCCAGGTTTTCTTTTGAGTTAATATCCAAAATCTGCCTTGCACTATAATTATTCGTAAACAGCTGTCTTATAACTGATAATTACTGATAATTAACATATGCCGACTTTCTTTTCTTGTAATTTAGTTGGCTCCAGTTTTTAAATTATTAAAAATTATATTCACCGAAAATCAAAGAAGTAAAAGGAGCCCCAAGAATTCTATAAAAAAAACAAACTCAATTATCACGTGTTTTGAGATTTATTGAATTGACTTCTTCCCTAAAATAAAATTGAAAATAATTGGCAGGTGCTTTAACGACGTTTATTGCTTTAAAAAGAGCTTTTGTCTTTATTTTTATTTGTTCTTTTGAGAAATGGGCTTTAAGTCTGCGTGTTTTACCCCTTCCTTTTTCCAATCAATTTCTGGTGGCGGCGTCGTCGTTTCGAAAAAAAAAACATTGCGAAGAGAAATAGAGACACTTTCTTACCCTGCGTCTCTTCCCGAATAACCCTTTGGTTTTCATCTACTTTTCACAACAATCATTCCGATTCTTGTCCACTTCCTTGTCTATCGATAATGTCTGCAACTTTTTAAAAGTAACTTAATTGTTGAACGTATTTTATATTTCGCAATATATATTCGTCATCTAAACCGAAATGCCCGCTTTATTTTGCAGATCGTATCAGCTAATCTAGAATATTCTCATGGTTTTTTCAAAAGGCGCTCGCTGTTTTTTCCCTTTATTATGAATGACTGCCATTTCTATGGATTATGAAAACTAATCTGCTCAGCCAAAAGTGTTCTCTTCTTTATTCCTTGTAATGACGCATTCGCGTCTTTCGGGAATTTTCGAAGCTTGATATTTCTTAAATCGCCGTTTGTTTCTGTGTCTCCATGACAACGAACGTCGAGAGTCACAATTAGACACTATGCAGATATGTTTTCTCTTTCAATAATTCACGATTTTCAGCAATGTCTTATCAACAACCGGGATATAATCCGGCGTACCAAAATCCATATCCGCAAGGAGGTGCTCTTCCCCCACCGCCGGGATTCAACGTCAATCAGGGACAAGGTGGCCAGTTTCCGCCACCGATTATTCCACGTGCCCACATGTTCAACCAAAATGTTGAAAATGGTGACACCGAACAGCAAGGCGATGGCAAATATAACCTACAATTCAAGTATGTGGTTTAGTTCAAGTTGCTAAAATTCTTGTTCTGAAATAATGTAAAATATTATAAAATAAAACGAGTAAAACCTATCAGTTTCTTAAATTTCAATTTTACTAAATCTTATCTCGAGTTGTTCAACATGTAAGCCTTCTTCCTTTATGCAGTCCGTAAATCGATATGTTAATCAGTTTACCAGTATCATTATCATAGTTTTTTTTTAATTTAACCTCTTCCTCTTACGACGTCGAAAATAGCAAAAAATCAATTAGAAAAGTCAATATTCAAGTAATAATGTTATGAATTTAGCGAAAAATCGATTCGTGCCGCCTTCGTTCGCAAAGTCTTCTCGATTATATTCTTAATGGTAATTGAAAGCTATATCTCAAAAATGAATTGTAATATTTTCAGCTTCTCGGTGTGACAATCCTCACCGCAATTCCATGGTTCCATCGACCGACAATGCAAATGATCCGAAGAAATAATGCACTCTATTTTGGTGGATAGTAAGTTTTATTCTCCAAAATTGCGAAAACCTGACTATTTTAGCATTGTGTTCCTTATCACATATCTTAGTTTGGCTTGCTGCAAAAGTGCCAGACGTTCGTTCCCGATGAATGTTATCCTTACAGCGATCTTTGTAAGTATTCTACTTACCTTTTGATAAAATTAAAAAAAATAATATTTAAATTTTCAATATTCAGACTTTTGCCATTGGTGTAATGACTATGGTAATCACTTCCCGTCACGATATTATCAGCGTTTTGTTGGCGCTGATTATTACTACTTTTACCGTATTGGCAGTGGTTATTTTCTCAGTCACTACTAAATTCGATATTACTGCGTAAGAAAATTGTTCAATTTTCATATTAATCCAGTGCAATTTGTTTTAGACACACTGGATATATCGCAATCTTCTCTTTTGCCTTCATCATCTTTTCTTTTGTTGCATTCATTTTTACAATTTTTGTAAAAGTCAAGATACTCTTGATCATCTATGCATTTATTGGAACCATTTTGTTCATGGTTTATTTATGCTTGGATATTCAGGTATGCAGTTTTTGATTTTTCGTAAATACGCGGTATTATTTGCAGATGCTTATGGGAGGCAAGAAAATTGAGATCTCCCCAGAAGACTACATTTTCGCCGCCGTTGAGATTTTCTTGGACATTATTCAGATCTTCTGGTTGATTCTCAGCTTAATCGGAAATTCGAGGTAATTAACACAATTATGAATCAACAAATGCCATTAGCTTAAACATTTTGAAATTTGTCAAAAGTTATATTACGGTGTTTATAGATAAAAATAGTAGACAACATCAATGCTGATTTTCTACCGCATTTTAACCCGTTTATTAATATTTATTAGTGTGGAGTAACACTATTTAATGGTTTGATTTCAATACGTTTTTTTTTCTTTCATTTCAGCGACTAATGCATTTTAAACTTCTGCGTTTTACGAATTCGTCGATATTCAATGTTATCCACACGAGTAGATCACCAATACTTTTGCCGACTTCGTACGTATTTATGAAACAAAATTTCGACAACGACATAATTGTTAAATGCTTCATTTTTTCAGCTGTAAATAATGCTTATCATCGTAAATCAATTATTGTTTTAATGTGTTTTTTTTTTCTCTTGAATTTTCAGCGGCCGCCGACCAAATTAAGTATAAATAAGAATAAATTGAGAATGTCGAGGAACAATTGGACAGAAGCCATTATATAATCTTCCGGAGTAAATTCGAATTTGCGATTACCCATTAACAACTGAAGGCGTGGCTGATTTTTAAAAAATGCGCTTCGCTGATTACTTGGACATCAATTGCCAGATAGAACATCATCAAAAGAGCGCCGAGTCCGGAATAGATCAAGTAAAGAATGGGAGAATGGAAAAAGACGGCAGCGATAATGGCGACTAGACCAAATATCATTAGGAAAATACCAAGAATTGCAGCGACACCTAGGCAACTGAAAGTTATCGTTTCTTCATGTATAGTATTCATGTTTATGATTTATTTAAAAAAAAATCCCAGTTTCAAAAACGACTTACGTAGTAAGATCTTGTTTTATAGACGTTGCTATTATAATAATTCCGGCACTGCATAACGTTGTAATGATAAGTGCTAGTAGAACGGAATCTACCGAATATTGTGCTGTGACAAACATTGTTGTAACACCGGCAGATAGTGTCTGGAAGGATGCCGCTGAATTTTAAAGCGTAGTGTGCGGAATAAAATACAAATAGTAATAAAACGATCATATTGGCGGGAAACGAACGCCTCAATGATGGGAAGCAAGTGATGACGAATACGAAAATAATGAAGACAACTCTGAAAAAGCGGAAAATTAAAGAAGATTTTGAATGTATTGTCAGACAGGGATAAAAAGTAAAGAATTGTGTTTTGTTGGCACCATAATCGAAATTCCGGACTGGCAATTGGGATGGCTGATAATGCTGCGACAATTGCGAACTGAAAAACAATATTTTAATTGGATTTCTCAAGTCACTACCATGATAGTCACCAAACTGAACACTTTTTGAATGAAAGCTGTTCGAATTGACTGCTCTCTAAATGACAATTTATTAAACATTAATATGTGTTCTAAATTTGTGTGTTTATCTGCTAAAACATACGTAAAATGAATATTGTATTTCGAATTATGCTCATTTTCTTCCATCTGCGGAGCGTCTTCATCGATTAATCCAGCTTCTGTCTATATTGAACGAATTAAATCATTTAAATATTGATTTCTTACGTCACGGGGAGAATGACTTTTTGTGCCTGTCATTTATATAATAGGTGGAATTCAAGTATAATCCATCTTCGATTTCGATTTTGTTTCACGTGTCGTTGAAATCAATTTTTCTTGTGAAAGTTTTAGTGATTTTTCAATTTTTTACTATTTAAAAGAAAATAAAATTAATATAATTATATTAAAAATAATTGGTTAGGTTCATTTTCACTTAAATCTGTTGAAGGATTCAAGTCGATCCGCGAAAGGCCAAAGAATAAAATTCTTTGCAGTCAACAATAACCGTATCGAACATTGAATACTCATTCGTTGAATTCCAAGTTTCGGTGTGTATATGCGTGTGTTTACCATCGAGATATCGTTTTCCAAGTGAGTGTCTCGGCCAATTGTTTTCAGGACGCCCTTTCGTGAGCTCCATTCATCCCGTTCACAATTTTTTTTCTATGCGTCCAGCGTCGGCGTGAAAGTCGACGTTTCTTGATTGAATGTGTATTGATACACACGGCGAAGCGGAAATTATCAAAAACTGTCCGGTATTGGCGGTGATTCTCGAGTGGATGCGATTCAGTCATTTATATGTTTGCTTATTTTGTTGTGATTCTCGCAATCCATCGCTATTGTTCATCGCGGTTTTTTTAACATTCAAAGTAATATGATATTCATTTTCAGCATGCTTATAGTAATAACAAGTTTCATCATTTTAAAATTAGTATCTTCATGCGATAAAGGATTGACCGAGCTGAGGCATCGTGAAAATTTTGAACTGATGAGATGTGTTCCCACAATTTCAGTGAGCAATTTTTATTTAAGCTATTCTTATTATTTAAAAATGTTTCAACAATCTACTATTTTGCTTTAAATTTATAGGGTCAATCGGATCCTTGCATAACATTAACCAATGGACGGGTATGTTTTTGTCAGCCAGATGGACCACACGATTATGTTTGTTGTGGTTCTCCTGAGCTTTTGGTCGAATTAATCGGAGGTAGAAGAACGGTACGTGATTCTTACTCTTTTGAAAAACTCGAACGTTTAAGGACTCTGCTCCCAATCCTTATCGATTTTACCCGAAAAAATCGTACTATGATTATAACGTCTTTATGAAGTCGTCAAAAGGTTTAAATTTGATTCATAACAACAATAAAATTATAAGTATCTTATTTCAGAATATATTGACGGCGACACAGTATTCGGGCAAACGCCTCTGATTGTGACGACTCCACCTCCTACAATTAAAACAACTCGAAGAAAATCGAAGAAGCTAAAAACGAAGGTAGGAAATGATATGAACCGATCATCAGACGAAATTTCAGACAACTCGAACTCAACTTAAAATGCTCACAATTCCTTCATCGAGAAGGGGCAATTATTCGGACAGCTCGTATAGGTTGAGCACGAATTCGGTTTTAGTTGAGGAAGAGGCGTGTACATTTGTTGTTGACACCGGACTCCCTTATCAGAAAAGGCAGATTATTAAAAGTTGGTTTTTCAAAAATTGAATGATGGGAAATAGCTGAAAAAATGAAAACCCTGGAGGATTTCTTTATCAATTTGAATTCTCCGATTAATAGTTCTTAATCGTATAGCTCTACAAATGCGTCCGAATACAATTTAAACTCTATCGTACACGTTTTTTTTTAATTTAGTTCCTTTTTTGGAAACGCACATTACGATTATGATTTTGAAAATATGAATAAAAAAAAATATATATTTTTCAATCGTATATGATGAAATTAAAATCGCATCGTGGTCGTACACAATTACGAAAAAAACTGACCACCGTTAATTTTTTGTTGATCAAAATATCATAGACTTGTTCCAATTTGCAGATCTTGCATCTTACGGAGTTTCACCGAAAAAAATCAAATTCGTTGTTGTGACATCATCGAATGCTCAGTTTGCTGGCAATCTCAACCTTTTCCCATCATCGCAAATCATTATGGCGGATTCCACACTTTATAAGGATAGTGTTGTTTATTTGAGCAAATATGAAGAGGTATTTTATCGAAATATATCCAAAAACTCCGGCAACCAATTTAAGCATTCGGTATTGGAATTATGCTCATCGAATTCGTTGATTCAATCGACTCCAGGGCCATCAGCCAACTCGATTACTGTAATCGTACGAAATGTCGATGTTATGGGCACTGTGGCCATAGCAGGTTTCGCTTTTCTATCGAGAAATTATCAAAAAAAAAATTGTAAATTTCAGGATCATTGTTTCCAAACGGCGCTAATTTAGACGAATTTAACGAAAATGGCATTGAAGACATGCAAAAATTTATACAATCGCGGAATATGATTATATGTGAAGTATTGATAATTTTACGAGGTGCATTCATACAAATCGAGCTTTTAGGTGGATTGGATTGTTCCAGCCACAGCACCTCCGTTCAAAGTCACAAAAGCACAGAAAATTCAATCAGGATGCTCGACGTGAATTATTTTGTTTTATTTTAATTAATTACGGGTTTAATGAAGGCTTTCTGTTTTTTTTACGAATTATTGAATCTGATCTTGAACTGCATTCACTATGACAAGGGACGACCCGCCTTCGACCCGCCACGCCGCCGCCGACTCGCAACGACACTCCAAATTTACGCAATATACCACTTTTAGCATAATAAATCTTTCTTTTTAATTTTAAATAAGTTATTTTTAATTACATAAGTTTCTAGCACAATTTTGCCAAAACAAATTCATTCCTTAAAATTTTGCCTTAAAATTTTGAGTTCGACCAGCCCACGTCGCAAGTATGGCAAGCAGGAAAATTCCGGGAAAATCCGAAAGAGGCGATTTTGGTCGTACACTAATTTGGCCGAACATGAAGCGTAATAATATATTTAAAAAAAAAACGCATGCAATCTGAAAATTGTGCAAAATTTGAATACCGGTTACAACAGACACGTCATTCTTTTTCTAGGAACCTATTATAGGTTTTAAGCATGCTTTTCATCAAATAACACTGAATTAATTTCGAGAACCATGTTTTAATCAGAAAAAAATGCCAACGAAAAATTCAGTTTAATTCAATTTAAAATATGACAATCAATTGGTGAGTTCTCACTTTGAAAGAAACCTAAGTTGCGAGTCTTCCTATTTTGGTCAACGTAAATGAGCATGTCTGTATCTTATGTGATTTGCACTTTGGCGGAAGAAAATGTTTGGCTTAAGCGCAGCAAAGGTTTTGTTCACAACGACTACCAATATAAACCAGAAATTTAGGAGATTTTTATATCTCGAAAAAATCTCCCCAATTTACCCATTTGAGTTTTGGAAATGTAGCTCAGATTTTCTTCGTCTGAAGAGGGCTGCAGAATAGTTTTTTGTGCTTCTATCGACATCCCCCTCAGAGAGGCAATTCTACGTAGGTGGTCTTATAAGTACATCGCATATCTAATAATATTATAGATACCATCCCCTTTTTTGAATGTCAAATTTCCTGATTTTTATCGTATTCCCAGAATTATGTTGTTGTTGTCAGCTAGATTAATAAAAATACGAGTTTAACAAATGCTTTGAACATTCACTTACGCACTTACGCACTTCATCAGCTACATAATTTTTTAGAAATTTCTAAGCGGCTAATACAAACGATTCTTTGAAGTTTTTTGACCATGCAAAAAAAATTTAAAAAACCCTCTGCGATTCAAAAAGGACGAACCGTGGTTGGTTCCAAAAAAAAACGTTCCTGCGAGTACGAAACTCCAGTTACACATCGCCCTCAATTTAGCGTGTCGGGGCAAACCGTGGGCGACTTTTGTTTCGACTAACTGAATTGTTTTCCCTGTTTGGACCAAAATGTTCCGCCGGTTGTCGCAAACAGAAAATTGTCCCCTGTTAGTTCCGATCGAATCGCTGAGCCGGTAAAAATTTCTCGAATGATCCAAATACAGATTGCGAAGACTAGCAATTCACAGTTTTTCCACAAAATCAGAATACTGCTTTTTTGAAATTGTTTAAAAAAATAATGATGTGTTCAGTAGTACAGAAAATGGTTTGTATTTTTTTTTGAAAATGTCGCCATTTTTAAACCTTCGCAAAAAAAAATCTTTTTTTTTTGGGTTATTGGTGTTTCCAATTGTTTGAAACCCAATCTGAAATGCATGTAATTGTGCGTTTTGTCACATCTATTTGTCATTTTGTTTATTAATTCTGACATGCCGAAACGGATTCAATGCATAGCCCGTAGCCATCAACTCGGTTCGAAATTCATATAACTCATTTATACGTTTTGCAAATTCACAGCAGCCAACTTTTTTTTCCGTGATATACTACTAGTTAATTTATTTTCGTGGACATTGTTCTAACAATTTTAGTCATTTTTTAGTAAATTTTTGAAAGTAATTTTTGTGCTCAAGAAAACGTAATCAATTTTCAAAATTAATTTGTAGAAAATTGAGCTGTTATATTTTTTATGTTGTTGTTTATTTATCAAATAATCGAATTGTTCCAGAGGAAACTTGATCGAATCAAAACACTCAACTGTGAAACAATTTTCCACCACGAATTTCTAGATATCTAAAAATAAAGAATTTTTTCACCAACTTCAAATATTCATACCTCATTGTTTCCATAGTTCGATGAGGTATTATAACTCATCGTCATTGAAAATTCCCCCCAACGTCATCCATTTTTTTCTATTTTTTTTCCATTTCTGATGGTCTACAATTTCAGCTAGACAATATTAACAATAGACTGAGGGCGTGGTTCGAATGTTTCAAAATTCTGGCGAACACATACTTTTTGAGTTTCGTCACTTTTTGATACGTATTTTTGAGAACAGACGATTACTGAAAGGACACACCTACCCAAATAGGATATAGCAGCTTCCGACGGGACCATTTTTTGCAATTCTCACTTTTTTCTCACCAAACTACTTGAATGTCTAGAAGAATTTGAACATATTATTCGCCATTCCTAAGTTTTAAAATAGGTTTTTTTTGGAAATCGTTGGTAAAATTCTTATTGCGTAGTCAATAAAATGATATCACATGTTTATGTTACGGCCTACTCAATCCAGAAACATATAATCATAATTTTCAGCGTTATGCTATAATTATAGTCTGTCTGCCATTCAGATAATCTATTTTTTAAGAAAAAAAAAACAATTAAATCCAGTTTTGCAAATACCAAATCATACGTAATATTGTATTTGTGGGCTCTCGTGAAACCTTACATCGCTCAATTCCAATCATTTGGGAAAAAAATTGGTGTAAATAAAAGCTAGAAAATTAGTAGAGTCGTTTAAACTAGGCGAACTCAACAATTTGATATAATTATGACACAAGCAAAAATTTTTTGCGATTTTCCCACGTTTCGATTCGTATTGAATGCAGTTCTCAATGAGATCTTTGGTATTGTTCTTCATATCGTATTATAGGCTCCTAATTAAAATTTGTAGAAAAATTAAGAAAAAAAAAACCTTTCATATTGTGATATTTCCGGCAAATAAGAAAAGTGTGGCATCACATTTAGCTGATTCTTGGAAAAATTAACGACTAACAATTTTATTTTCATAAGCGAGCAGATTCAGCCAAGTCTAGATTATTTATTGAAATCAAAACAAATGATTGTTGTGATTAAAATAATTATTTCATGTTATACTTTAAAACCTGGATCATAATTGCAAAATCATTATGGTGGAATAATTAAAACCAAATCTGTAAGCTGCATAGAAATCCGAGCAAATCGGGGGCCTCGTCGCAACACGAGTCTGTCACTCATCCATATTCTATTATTCTTGCTAGCCATTTTTTCGGGTGTCTTCGTTCCTTTTTGTTTTCCATGACCCTGTTCCTTCTTTTGATATTTTTCGGCTATTCCTCCCTCGCTTACACTAATTGTAATACTTTCCTGACAAACGTCGAAATGGTTTCTCATACCAAGAAACTTCGAGGTCGACGACCTTCAATTGTTGATAGTTCAAAGTTCCTTCGATTGTGAAGCCACGCCTCACACCGCGAAAAAAAAAAAGAAATTGCGAAAAATGTCACTTTTTGGTCATGAATATTTTAGTTGACCGTTAAAAAAAAATTCAAATCGAACGGCAAAAATCAAATAGGTCATTTTTTGCGAAGAAATCTTGACAACAAATTTCCAAGCTTAAAGTTAACGGCTTATAATTTTAAAGCTATCTGAATTTTAAATTTGTCATAATGTTGAATGTCGATTTTCAAAAACGAATCTTCTTGATTCTCCTACAGAATTAAGCATTTGTCGTATTTTCTCACGCCTTGTGGACATTGACGAACAATATCAATTTTTAATTTTGAAATTTGAGTAAAAAAAACGAAACAGGTGAAGTAGATGTTTCGAAATTTCTAGCATAAATAAAAGTGTTTATTTATTTATTTTGAAGCTCTTCAGAGCGAGATTTCGAAAGTCGAAATCATTTGCTCAATTATTATTTTTTTTTTAAATAAAAAAAAAATACTAAAATTTCAAATCCATGAAAATTTTTTTAAATGATCAAACCATTAGTTTTTTGACAACAATTATTATATGCAACGAATTTAGCGATTCTGATAATCTCTTCTAATTTTTCATTAAAAATTCGAAATATTGTTTCACTGGTTTCTATCACTTGAGGATCTTACTCAACATTTTAGTTAGGATATCCTGAATTAGCTCGTTAATTCCGATTTTTCCTCTACATATTTTAAGCTTCATCTGGTTTTTTTTTTCTCAGATTTTCAATCTCTCATTCGTTTATTTTTATTCCAGCATCTCAATTTTTGATCAGACTAATGTACGCCATTTTGTGTGACTAAGAAAACGTCGAATTACTATGTCATACCATTGTTGTCTTCTTGCTTTTATGAAAATTATTTCTCGAGGCTCCCATATTTTATGACATTCGCGTGTGTCGGCGGTGTGTTTTATGCGATTGGTTTTATCGAATCACACATATTTGGTTTTTTCTTTTCGCGCCGCGTTTGCAGAGCGCCATCGGATATTCGCAAATCTGAAACAGTCCTAATGTGGATATCCGTTTTCCCGCCCATTTCCTTCATTTTAATTCGATATCTATTCTCCATTCATTTTTTGTACTATGTATGAAAGTAGAGATGCGACAAATATGCAATTTGATATCACAAATGCTCAACTTTTTTTCCGGCCATTTTTGTTTGTTGTTCGCTTTTTTTAAAATTTGCTTCGATTTTGTTTTTTTTTTGTTGCAGAAAATGATGCGAATCAAAGAAGCGATCCAGCGAAAGAAGCTCATCCATGAGATGAACGAGGAGTTTCGCGAGTTTGACTATGACTTGTCGGCACATTTGACCCAACCCCAACCAACAAGATGCCCATCCCCAATGGTCAAAGGTGTCATGCAGACGTACACTGAAGAGTATGAAGCACGCGAATGCAGACTTCAAAGTTTTGTTTTATACCTTTCGGGAAGATTGACCGATTTGCAAGTATTTACATAAACGACGAAAGCAACATAAAATAACATATGATATTGTAGAAGCGAGCCTTGAAAATCACGTGGAAACGACTTTCGGAAGTGCCGAAGACATCTGGTAGAGGGACACTTCACATAATGGAAAAGGTATTCATGTTTACACTTTTTGATATCTAAATCGATAATACGAATTTCAAAATAAACATGTTCAGCTTTTCCTCTCAAACGTCGCTACTTTTTCTCGAAATTCCCAATTTAAAAATAAAAAAACATTTTCCACATCAAAAATTTTGTCAAAAAATTCTCACTATTTCTATCATACACAATTCCAATCAAACACCATAACAATTTTTTTGAAGGTGCTTACAAAATTATGCGAAAAATCGCCTGGCGTCACCGCGATTTTCTACAAATCGGCGTTTTTGTCGTGCATTGAGGATAGAAAGTGCAAAAGGATCAAGCAATCCTCAATTGCAACGATAAGGCAATTAGGAAATGAAATGTGATAATAAAATGTTTTCAAAATTTCAGAGACCACGCTCATATTTTAATCACGTTAATCGATGACATATTGCATATAATGTTCGAAGGACCATTGGAAGACGCGAAATATGATCCCGATAGTATTGGTGAGCTAACGAAAATTGTCAAACACACATAAGCTCGAACATTTTTTGAATTAAAAGAGCATTTCTGAGAGAACTAATCATTGAAAAAATTTGGTAAATTGGCTACGGACGGCTTACAGTTTTTTTTTTTCATTTCTTTCTGGCAATAAACTCTTTCAGCATTTTTTTTTGACTACTTGAATTTTGCTGAAATCAATTATTTATGGAACTTCGTGCTATATAAACTTTGAATGTTTATTATAGGTGAGGCCCATTGTCGTCTAGGCCCACTTGGATTTGATCGCTCAATTTGGCATGTATTTGGAGAGTGTTTTGCTGAGGTAGATCAACTCTAATTGGAGCCAATTAGACGGCTTGTTTAGGTGATGTTCAATCAAGAGTGCATACGTGCCTATCCTCACGCTCCATCGGCGTGGTCTCTTCTCGCCGTGGCACTCACTGATCGTATATTATCAGCCAACAAAATGTCAATACCGGTAATGGCATTCGGAAAATAACGCGAAAATGGTGTGAATAATTCAGAAGAGTGCCTCACGGATTGACCTGTCTGCTCAGGCTCCGAATGCATCGTCGCGATGCCCATCATTGGCGGCGGCGAATTTCAATTTCACGCCACATAAAAGATCGCTGCCGTCGGTTGCACAAGTCTCATTGGTTTGTTTCGACGAATACTAAGATTCGTGAATTCAGTTTCAGGATTTCTCCGAGATGAACTATAGAAAACATGACAGCGAAGATGAGATATTTGTGACGGCGCGCACAAGTTTCGATCCGATGTCGCAGTCGATGTCGATTCCGACAACGCCGCACAGAAAACTGCCGTCGACAATGCGAAGAAGCTTGTATTCAGAATCGAATTGGTATGATTCATCATTGTTCTGGAAGATTGAGCAATGAGAAATGGCCAATGAGATGGATTGATATCTCATTAATTATTTTCCAGCTTCAATAACGGATTCGTAGACAATTGCCGACAGCGATTCGAACAGGAGAAGGCTTTTCAACGACGAAGCCGTAAGGAAACGCATTCACCTCGCTCACAATTTTTACGCTCAAAATCGGAAGTTCGACTGAAAATGCGTCGAGAAACCGAAACCACCTACATATGAGTATTTCTAGTTTAATTGCTCAAATCCGATCAAGTATTTCCGCTTTATGTGACAATGAGAATACGGAATTCAATTTTCGTTTATATGTATATTTGGACTATTGATAATAATTTATTATTTTGTAAAATAAACAACAAATAAAAACCACAAAAAAATTGAAAATTATCCAATTCATCGGCACATTGCGCTCCTCATTTCGATATTCTGTAACAAATCTTTTCAGTTTTCGCGTTTATTACGGAGAACTTAAAAGATTTCTTACCTTTAATATTAGACGAATAAAATGAAGGGCGATTGTCGACGCGTTGCATTTTATACAGTTGTCATTGGCGTTGTTTGCTCGGGCGGGGGCGGAGCCGCGAGGTGACAACTGAATGTCATCTACTCTGAACCGGGGGGAAAATACAAATACTGACGCACAGTAGACACTTTTGACACGTTATCAAAACAACAAAGGTGTGCCTAGGATTAATGATAAATGAAATGGTCTGGTAAAAAAAAATCAGATTTTGGATTTAGAAATTTTGAAAAATAAACGCATTCTCGAATTTTTGGAAATTTCCGTGTGTGTGTGTGTGTGTGTGTGTGCGGTCTGTGAAAATTGATGAGTTTACATGTGCATGCTGTTTGGGGAAAAAAATGGGAAAATCTTCAATTACCGATTCTTTGCAGTTCATACTCCTATTCGAATAATTTGCTTGACCTCAAACGAATCTCAGGTAAGTGATTTCCGAATATCTTAACGCATTTCAATTCGTCATAATCTCTTATGCGCACCTGGCTTTTTGTTTTGTTGTGTCTTTTTTTTGCTGTTCTTCTTGTTGTCGCTGTTGTATTTTTCTTCTGCTTGGTACGAAACTCTCCGATATTCGTATAGTCTTATTGGACGAAAGGGTGAGCAATTCATCGCCATACTTTGTTCATTCGTCATCCCATTTTTTCCTGATGTCTTCCGCCGATTTTCTGGTGTCAGTGCTTCCGACGCGAAACGACGGCGTTTTGCCGTCTCAATTGTCAGCATCATTGCAGATATTTTTACGAGTTCTTGTTTCGATTTATTTTCCGCCCCTCGTTGTTCATTTCATCTTGCTCTTTGCAATCATTTGACAATTACATTGTGATTATGAGATGTGCGAATGCGAGAGAATCAATCTAGCGAGGCTCAATTATGAGGTCGGTGCAAATGAAATACACCTATAAGTCTTCCTAGAATAAACTTTATTAATCGAAATAACAGCTATAAGAATCAATGTATTTTTCCAATAAGTAACACGTTTATTTATTCCGCTTGAAATAAATTCCTTGGGTCAAATAGATAGCCTAATTACCAAAAAAATGTTCAATGAGGATTCTGCAAAAAATTTTTTTAGAGAAACGTCGTTTCGAATATTTTTGGCGAGTCCACGTTTTCGCGTTTTCCACTAATAGCAAAATGATCGAATTAGCAATAGTTTTTGTTGCATTCGGTTCTTCTTTTTGAACTCCTCTTCATTTCATTTGTTGGCCAAAAAAAATTCATTTTTAGTCAACCCCTCTCGTCATTCAGTTGTTTTCATGTTTTTGTTGCATGTAATTGGTGTGCGCGGAAGGACCACCGAGCTATTAAACGCATTTTATGTAGTAGTAGTAGAAGTTTTCGAGGAGGCCGCGAAACTCGTAATAAAAAAATTTGGTTGAAAAAAAAAAACGTTGGACTAGGTTGTTGGAAAAAATGTCTTTATTTATTATAATTCGAAAAACGATTGGAGAAGGCTCCCCCGGCTGTTTGAGAGTGTAAGCCAATAACCATTATCAGTCGCGGCGATCTTAACTTTAAAACGTTCACATTTTATTTATTATATCTGATAACTAATATTTACCGACTGCGCTATTTTATGGAAAATTTCTCATCATGCAAAAGTCAGCAGAAGCACTTTTTTGTGTCGGTCCGGTCTCATATTTCTTTAGAGATTCGCTTCTGCCGCCGCCGCCGCCGCCGCCATCGACTTCTCATTCTATTCTAAACAAATTAATGCATTCATTCAGGCTTTCGCCTCATCTGATACCAATTTGCGTCAGTCGGTGAACTCACTTTTCACATACTTTTCCCTCACATATTTTTCAATTTCCAATTCTCCTCCTCGCTAAATTTTTTTTATTTCGACTTGTATCGTTTCACATGTTTCTGGTCATGATCAGAGACCGCAATGTCAGCCATCGTCGTTTTATTTGATGCTCGATTCTTTTGATTCATGCTGACAACGAACAATTTTCGAAATTTCGTGAGTGATGAATTGGCACTTTTTTTTCTCAGTGTTTTTTTCTAGCTTCCACAAATTCTTTGGAATTTCGGACCAAAAACGGTTTATTATACATATAATGATTCAAGTTTTTAAAAGTTTTCGGTTGATCTTGAATAGATTTCTGATCAGTACATACTAGAAATATAATGTATGCAAACCAGTATTCATAAAGAGATGATTATTAATAAATGAGAGAAGAGTTCATTTTTGGAAATTCCATTGAAGGAGCACATTAATTCTACCAATTCTGATTTGCGAATGTCGATCCTTAAGCAGAACCTTCTGAAGCATAAGCTGATATAATTGTACCCTCTTATTTTTTTTTGGTAGCTACTCCATCTTCACCTTAATTTCGATCCTTATTCTCGTTTTTTTTACTTTTTGTGACTTGTTTTTTCCGATGCCACCACCCCGAGACCTACATTCTTTTTTCGCGTTTTCAAGTATCTGACGCACAAAACAAATGAGCCGTCAATCTTCGACTTTTGTCTCCTAAGGGAATCGTGTTAATTTCTGGAAAAATTCCATCCACTAGTATGTTTTGATTTTATTTTCAACAAAATGTTTTTTTTCTTGTCCCGTTGTGTTTTTGACGTGTTGTGGAAACCATGCCGCTAATATGGGGTGGAAATAAAAGTAAAATCTCTCTAAGCAGTAATTTGACAAGCCTGTGAAAATATCGAATTACGAGTCATGCTTTTGTTCGGCTCCCCCCATATAGAATTTACAATTATATCCACATAAAATTGATTTTGCTTGTTTCTTTTCGAATAAAATGTTTTACTCAATTTTGACGTTGAACGGATTTTTATCTATTAGTTTTAGTGCTAGTAAAATTTTCGAAATTTGCAAAAAAAACATTTGTTAGCGAATATAATTATTGTATAATAATTTTCCTCAAAAAAGTTATCGGAATTAAATAAAACTAATATTTCAAAGACTTAGTTTATTCTGAAAAACAGCTCAGCAAATAAACAAATTCTGAAAACTTCAGCGTACCGTCAAAAACGCTTAAAATCGCAAAGAAGCCACTCAAAATTTTCTCATAGGCCAAGTTTTTGCGAAAAAAGAATAGTTTTTAAAGATTAATTGCATTTGCTTCTTATCTATTTAAATCGGATCTTCTTCTCTAGAAGCACTATCAGTTTCGCGAATCTTTTTTGTCATTTATCAAAGGTGCACTCAAAAATCGCGCGAGTCCCTCGTGAATTGCTGGCTTAAGCTGCAACTGTATCATTGCTTCTAACATAAGACGGCGATCTGTCAAATGATTGACACTACTTGAGGGCCTATTTCAATTTAAAGTGTTGGACGTTGTCACTTCTTCTTCTTCTTCTTCTTCGACCTCTTCTTCTTCTTTCTTCAATTTTCTTGTGATGATGTGATGGCTGCCTCCCATCGCGGTGTGCCCTTCTAATCCACTCGGCATGTGTGCCCCTAAAATTTTCCACTCAACTCGTTTTCAACACCAGTATTACGGGGGGGGGGCACGAAGGCGTCAAATTCCTGTTTACACCACGAATCCAATGGTGTGTCATTCAGGGAGGCGCCGTGTGGAGAGTCCTGAAAATGGGACGGCGGCGAATTTCGCCGTTTGTAACTCGGCGGCCACGTCGGATCATTCGTCATTTTTGAGCGCAAACGAGGTGCGCAGAATGGATTAGCGAGTATTTGGCGACAAATAAGTACCATCTCCTAGGAGAATACTCGGCGCCAAAAACAACCCCCCCCCATATTTCGTTTTACTAATGTCTGAACGGATGCTTGATTTTCTACTCTCGAGCATGAGTCAGTCTCAACAGTGAATCTCATGTGTTCCTAGCCATCTAAATCTTAGAAAAATCAAGCCGTTCAAAGTCTTGACAATCTTAATGATCTCTGTAAATTGGCTTCAGAATTTGAGGAATTTTCGATTTTCGTTCGAAATTTTGACTTCGAATCTGATGCACATGGCCGCCAAATTGAGCAATTAGAGTTTTCAATAAAAAAGTGCTGCGCGGCCGCACCACATTCATACCTCGATGCACGTCGAATGCATATTTAGTGTGAGGACCTCGTCGTTTTTTTTCGACTCGGCGACCTTCCCAAAACAATTTTCAAGTTTTTTCTGTGCGCTTCGCCATATCTCATTGTATTTTGTTTCGGCGACGCCATATCAAACTCAATTTACGATGCACACATTTTTTTGGCACAATGACTCGAGTGCACCGAACCCGCTCCCGTCCGGACCGCCCGGAACCATTTTGTTTATTTGCAGACAAATGTGGTGCTTTTGCCCCTGCAAGTTCAACACAGTAGAATGTTTATAAATGCTTGATGTACTTTTGGCAGAAATTTTGCCAATAAATTTTTTTCAAACAACCCGATACCCTTCTCAGAATTGAGGATTGAGCACATAAGGCATAGAAGCTTCATTAGAGTTATATTAATATTGTTTCCTGTTTTGGAACAATCATTTCCGGAAAGGAAATTTTGAGCTGACAGCAATTCTATTCTGGTGTAGATTATGAGAATCTCCATCGAGCTTTCTGCTCAAATTGCAAGTCACTCTAAAATTTGTCAATTTCAATGAAATATTATTGAAATCAACTTTTTTGAAAAACCACTTTGGCCAAATTTTCGAGGAGAGTTTAGTTTGATTCAGAGAATATTGAATTATTCAAATGACCTACACGGGATGGATTTTTAGCTTCTTTTGACTCATTCTTTTCAAGTTTTTGTTCGTTTTAAGCCGAAATTTGTTCGTATAGTATCTATCCTCTCGATGGTATTGTTTTTGCCAACATTTTCTTTTGGGTGGGAGGTGCAAAATCAAACCCCTTCTTGAGAGCGAGAGCGAGAGCGAGATAACGAATTTTCAGAGTTCCTCATATTATTATCGGTTGTTTGAGATGAAAACAAGAATAAATAATATGTTTTACATTTCACCGAAAACATTTTATGGCGATTTTTAGTCATTTTTTCACAGATTTTTAAAGAATTTCAATACATTTCGTGTCATGCAGATTAAAAAAAAAATTTTTTTAACCGGCTGAAATTTGTTTTTGAGAAAATTTTTTGAAGGTTTTTTTTTAGTTTTTGATGGTTTCAACCATTTTTTTCTACAATTGCAAATGTCGGACGATGGTACCATTATTTCAAATCGGAAAAATAATTATGATTGAAATTTTGGTGTTCGAACTCATCCTGATTCCTTCGCTAACAATAATTAAAGAGAAATGATAATTAAGGGAAAACTCAACAGAAATATAAAGCACGAAGCTGCTTTTTTTCTGCGCACAGCAAGATATTGCAAGATTTGAAATGCTCATTTAATGGCTCTGAAAAGGTGAACGTGATTATTTAATGTCGGTTCATATTTTTTTTTGACTTTATGTATACAACTTTTGAGGATTATTATTTTAATATCTGATTAGCAACTTTCGCATAGCTATCGCGGTCATGATCAATTACCCATAAGCTAATTATCGTTTTCAAATTAAATAGGTAACATTTTGGAACTAAGCAGATTTCTGGAAACAAAAACTCAAAATATCAGTTTAAATAACCTTTAAAAGACCCCTAAAAACCAAAATACTAGTCTTAACCAGATTTTGTGTTTCTTTTTCGAAATCTGCATATTGCTACATTAATATGAACTGTTGATGGTGTATTGGTTTTCTAATTCAAAATTTAGCCATAATAGACTATGTATTTCCAAATATGGCATCCATTTTGTTTCAAAACGCGTTCCATATTTCGCCGTTTTTGGGCGATTGTCGTTGTCACTCCGTTTTCGACCCTTCTTTTTTCTTTTCCACTTTTCATCCGCCCAAATGTGTTGGCCCACATGAATCGTCAACTTGGCGCAATGTCCAAAAGTGTGATCGAATGATCCCGACGGAATTCGAACATTGCCATTTTGGCGAAACGTTTTGTTTGCATCGTCTCGTTCTATAAGAAGCGGTGCCAAACTAAAATAATTTATGATTGTCTGCCGTCACACTTTTTTTTTGTCTTCGCCGAATGACTATGGAATGAAAAACTCATATCTAAACATTTTAGTTGATGATGTTCTTTCACCCGAAAACCCATTCAAAATGAAGATACATGTAAAATTGTGATGAAACGAAAGGCGGATAGATGCGCGTATTTTTTTGGGGGGTGGGCTTGACTACTCGAAATTTTTTTTCGCCACTGCTATTTGAATTTTTCAAAAATAGAGAACCTCTTTATGAATGTTCACTTGTTTTGTTTTTCGTTTCTTTAACATGTATATTCTTTTCGAAAAAAAAGAAGTAAAATAAATAAAAAAACAAAATATCATCGGCGTTTGAAAATTTGATTAGGAAAAGTTTTTTACTCTTTTCAATTTTCGTATTTTTAGCATTTTGAAATTTCGTTCTCAAAATGTCGAATCGAAAAATGAGATTCCTTACTCATCATCATCATCATCATTATACTATTCTTCACTCATGAGTTGCTCTCTCAAATAGGATTATCAATATGAGTTTTACGCGCGAATAGGGGCTTATGCAACCCATCGGATTCGTTCGTCGCCTTCATCAACACAACTCATTTTTATTCGACTATAATCATGCCGATAATTATTTAAGTTCTTTTTTTTACCTATTCTTTATATAGATTTTTATTTTTCTGTTGAGAAATGTCTATCATTTCGGACTTCGTTTTTGCATATCTTTCGATAGAAATATTCGTCCCTTGACGAAGATATCGAGTTTATGTCGCTTTTCGCAATGTTTTTCATCTGTCGAAGCACTTCTCCTAGTTTTTTTCCTCCAAATTCCGCTACCCCCTGAGTTTCTTCTCATAAGCACAGTTAAATACGTCGTCGAATCTATGGAAATTCAATAAAAGACGCTTCGACTAACTTGATTTTCATTAAAATGGCGTTCGCCGTGTGTCAAATTTGACACATTCACACCCAATTCTCATTTTGAATGAATGAATTCACAATGTTCCTCGTTCTCAACTTTTTTCTCAAGTTTACTTTTCCTATTATTACAATCGCAATAAAAAAAATAAAGTCAAGACGTTCGGTGAGTTTGATTCGCAGGTTATCCACAATACGGTAGCCAAACTCCCACAGTTTAAATTCGAATTTGAATTACCGCCTTTGAAAGATTACAGTGGTCCACAAATTTTCAGTGTGGTCGATTTCATTTTGAGACAAAAATAGTTTTTTTCGTGTAAAAATCGCCAAAAAAATTATAGAATGACGCGGAGAAGAATCGGAAAATTGAGAAATTGAAATGTGATCTACTTTGGCAGATATTGACGCATCCTGAAGAAACGCAGATAATTTTGCGGATCCTTTTCAGTTTTAGAATTTACATACATGACTCTGATTTTGTTTCTTTTAAAACACAACGTTTTTCCGAATCATCTTATTTTTCGATTCTGACGCTTATTTTATTCATTTTTAGAATTTTTTTATTTAGCTTTATAAATGCTCTTAAGCCGAATTTTGAATCTCATGAAATATGTATAAAAATCACTATAGAGATAATGCGAACAAACGCCATTCTTTGGCATTTATCGCTATTTCGTTTGTGTTTAGTATTTTTTTTTTTGTTTTTCGATTTTGGTGGAAAAAAAGATTTGCAAGAAAAATACGAATAGTGTACATATTGATCATTAGTACGTCATCAAAAGCTTAAATGAAAATTAATTCTGCATTGGTCGCCTATTATTTAGCTGAAATTGCGTTTTCCGTCTCTGCGACTTACCACGAATGGGCGGGACTTGATGAGTCGACCACATTGATGTGCTTCGCTCATTTTTTTTCGATTAACTTGAATATTAGGCATCTGTCTTCATTTTTTTTGGAATTTTTTAGACATAATTGTTCCAAATTTTTGTTCGACTTCTATTTTACATAAATTCTTATTATTGACAAATTTGGAAATTCGCTTTTTCTTAACTTAACTACATTATTTAAGAAAAAAAATAATGTGTCTTAATTTTTCTGAATTGTTTTCAAGTAATGGAAAATGACTCCAGAATTCCGTAATTCTTTTTAAGACTCGCATTTCGATCTAAACGGAACACTCATGCCAATTTATGCTTTCATTTCGACTTGCATTCAATATACTTTTATAATTAGTATAATTTGATCAATTTCAGTATATGGGTACTAAACGATGATGATACGATTGCTTCTAACAATCAGCACAACATCGATTCTTGCTGTGTGCGCTTTCATATTCAACGACGATCGCAAATATCCAAAGTGTTACGAGCTCGACTTGGAAAACTGTTTTCGCGAAGCATTTTTGGTAGGATTTCATTTCAAATTGCGCCAAAATTTCGCAAAACTTGAACATATTTTTTTATCAAAATTTTTATGAAACTTCCTCAGATGTATGTTTCGACGCGAATGCTTCAATATCGACGGATTCGACGCAGTTCGAAAAACCGAAACGTAAACTGATCGTGTTTCAGTGTCACACTACTCCTATCAATTAGTTTCATCAAAAATTCCAAATGACTAATGAAGGCGTCTGCAACGCCTTCGATTTTTCTCACAGCAAATTTTGCAGACGAACAAAAAAGAGCTGAATTGAGCCAAAATGTCGTGCTTTCTTCTCTTAACCTATTATGATTATGAGCTACGAATTAATAAATGTGCGAGATTCGTTTTTCCCCCCCCAACTAACCCCCCATATTTGGTGTGAAATCTCTCCGCAATAAAAAAATCAAATCGTCCAATGAAAAACACCTAGTATGCTTTGATTCAAGAAGGGATCACTACACTATATTGGAGAAATGATTCCATAGAACTGATTACCTGATTGATTGGCCTCTGTATCGGCCAATTTATTGCTTACAAGGGAGGTCTTTTTGTTGTCCCACTTAATTTTTTTTTATTTTTTCCATTTAAATTTTAAATTTTAAATTTTAAGACGGACAGCAAAAAAAACTCCCTTGTTAGGCTACACATTTGTAAATAGGATTAAATAGTATCAAAATATATTTCTGAAATTCTCTAATCTAATGTAGAAGCCCTTCTTGTTAGTTATTTCGTTTCTAGAAATAAAAGTCGAAATTCTAAAGTTAGTCATTCGTTTCAGTCCGCCATTCATCCGCCAATGATCCAGAAACGAGATGTTCCGTTTTTCCACAACGGCAATATGACGGTATTGGATAAACGAAAGCGTGAATCTGGTGAATGTTTACGTCGAATCAAATTGTTTATTCCCGACATTTTTTTGAAATTGCAGATAGCCGCCAACTTCAAATTTGTCATGATGTTCGCAAATTCTCGTCGTGCTTCCTCTATCCGGGATGTTCAGATCAAGTAGCAGCGAATGTATGAAATTTGAGCGGAGGGTTTTGCTCATTATGAATGATTCAGATTGCTTCTGTGCAGTACCATATGGTTTTTGGTAAGAAACTTCCAATGAATGTATTTCTAGCATATCGAGGTTACGGTAGACAGGTATACGCTGAAATGATAAGCAAGAGAAAACGATAATTTCATAGCTGTGTGATCAAAGATGCTCAAAAGATGGTACAGCTACTTGCCGAAAGGGAATGGATGCCGATGTGCAGCAAGAAGAGCAGGGATACCTTCTGGAACTTTCATCTATTATCGGACATATCCAACCAAACCGGGACACAACGGTAGCTTGCAATAGGTTCAATAAAATATTAATAAATGTAAGAGAATTGAAAAGAACAAAAGAAATATTGATTCATTAATTCAGCTTCTCCGATTACGTCGGCAATACTGTGGGGATTCGGCAAGATGCACTTGCTCGGAAGCCAATGTGCAACAGGTTCGACAATTTTTTATATTTCTGAGATTTTTTTAAATTAAAATAATTTTTTTCAGTGATCTTGCAGAAATTATGATGTTTGACTTACATATTTCAGGGGGTTGATGGCTGTAATTTGGGATGTGAGCATTATCTGCACATGAATGTCGCCGAAATGATCGAAATGTCTTCGAATTCAATCGCGTCACACAAAAACAATATTTCAATACTATTGCTATTCTTATATTTTTCGATTAGGTGAACTCAGGCTTATTTCAAGATAAGTTTGTTCAGAATAATTCCTCATTGGTTGTCTCGGGTTATTTTCCACTTTGTTTTCTTGTTCTCCAAAATATTGCCAATCGGTTCAACGGGTTTTCCGTCGTTAATCTTTCGTCTAGCAAATTGTACTTGATGAATGTTTGTATTTTTTGTGATCGGACTGCTTCAATTAGGCGTTTGTTCGATGGTTCAAATTACTTCCAATAAATGCCGCTAATCATTCTTTCATATCTATTATCAAGGTCTTTGTCGACTCAAAGGAAGTGCAACGTGCGAAGAGATGGTGAGGTCGATGGAAAAAAAAGACATGAGATAGTGGAATAGCCGCAAGAGACAAAGTCATATGAACAAGAACACAAACGCACCATCGAGAAATTGAGTTCTGTATTCGCTATTTTTATTCTTCATTTTTTTTGTTTTTTTTTTTTCAATGAATAAGTTAAAAAAAAACCTAAAAATTTCAGCCTTCGGAAATTATGAAATCAATGTTTTATGAAAGAAAGAAAATTCGAAACCAAAGTTTATCGGAACACGAGGATTTCTTGAGATACGGTAGTTGCTTCAACTACAGGCCACTCGTATTTATTTTCCACCATATTTTCACCCATTATGAGTTTTGAATTGAGTTTTTTTTAAAAGAATTATCCCTATATCCAGATCAGATTATTTTTGAGTAGTTCAAGGTTGGGCGGTTGGTGAAAGAAAACACAAAAACAAATAATTTCGAAAATCAAAATAATCAATAAGTTACTTGGAAAGTTCCCAAAAAGAACGGCTTATTCTATGTCGGCAGATACGTTGCGGTTCGTAACTTGACGAAGAAAAAAATTCGGAAAATTAGAAAAAAAAAAAGATTAGGAAAATATTTATTTAAATAATTTTTAATTTAATTTTTTTTATCAAAAAAAAAATTGCGAACAAGTAAAAAAAAAATCCGTGAACACGGTACGATTAATTGCACGAACAAATTTTCTGTTTTTGTTGGAATTCTCCAAATTTTTACAAATTTGTAAGCATAAAATTTTATGAGCTCTTAATATTTTTTGCTCATGTATTTAATAAATTTTATTCCAAGTTTGTATCTATTTTTTTTTTCATGTGTTTTTTTCACAATTTAAAACATTTCTACTTCGATATATTATTCTCCTACCTATCGACGAAGTCTAAGTACAACAGCTTTTATTAATTTTTTCATTTGAAAATCATCTTGCAATTAAACTCAAATATAAGTATTTTTTCGTGGAGTTTTTTTAATCGACGAATTACGTTAAACATACTATATAACCGTTTTTTTCGTTCTCACATTTTTTTTTCAATATTTGCAGTTATAATAAAATAATAATTAATAGATGTCGGAGTCTCAAGACCTCTCCGTCGATTACGATGTAATAATTATTGGTGCTGGTTTATCTGGTCTGACGGCAGCCAAGGAGCTTTTAAAGCGAACTCCTGAAACAAGGGTAAGCATTTTAAATTTCAATTTTCATCGACTAACATACAGCTGCTGATATTAGAAGCGAAAGACCGCATTGGTGGGCGAACAATTGGAGTTGAAATGAAGGGCGCTAAACATTCCAAGGTGAAATTTGACCTTGGCGGACAATGGCTCGGAAGAACTCAGAAATATGCTCTAGATATGGCAAAAGAACTTGGATTAACGACATTCGAACAATATACAGAAGGACAGAAAATGGCACAAATGGGGGTATCTAATCCGAGAAAGTATAAATCAGCACTGCCGGTGACAAGTTTAAAGTGAGGACTTCATTTCTGCGTGATTGAAAATATAATTTCGGTTTTTTAGGCATTTCAACATTTTCGAAATAATCGATTCACTCCGAACACTTGGAAAAATCTCATGGCTCGGATATCATGTTAGTTACCTTATTTTCTAGGAAACGCGAAATTAAATTAATGAAATTAGAAATAAAATCGGATAACTCGAATCTTAAGGCTGATGTGATTAACCCATTCGCGTGGAAGAAGGCCACTGGATTTGACGACATGTCTGTTTCAAAATGGACCCGAGAGAACTGCTGGACTCGAGCGAATCAGGATGCGATTGATATTGCCACTCGCACAATTTATGGTGTCGAACCGAACAGGTGAGGGAGTTGTTGAGTACTGCTGTAAATCATTCCAAATATAGAATGAGCATGCTCTACAATCTGGTTGTCGCCAAGTCAGCAGGAACGTTTTTAAATTTATGCGAATGCGAAGGTAATGGAGCGCAGGCGTTAAAAATAACGGTTAGTTGTAATCATCGTAAAATGAAGCGATTAAAATAAATAATTGAAGGGTGGAGCATTTCAAATGGCTGAGAAACTTGCCAATTTGGTGGGAAACGGAATTATTCGCCTCAACTATGCAGTTAGTAACATCAATGTCGACGAGGACAATGGAATCACGACAATCTCTGGAGTCGACGTGAAAACAAATCAAAAAGTCTGAATAAACTCGATTAATAATTCATTTAATTATCAGTTTTTAGTTCTCATTCACGTGTAGTCACGTCATTTGCTCAATTCCTCCCAATATCTGCTCAAAAATTCACTGGATGCCAAAAGTTCCGGATTTGAAGGTCTCTCTCTCACTTTTTTTTTAGTTTTATCGAAATTCTTCTTTCATTTTTTTAGAGACGACTTTTCGAGGGTTGTATGCAGGGAAACCTCATCAAATTTGTGATCACTTTCGAATCAGCCTTCTGGAAAGAAAAAGGATTTTCCGGAGAAATTGTCAGTACCGGAAGAACAATTGTACCTGGCGAGGTAAATATAATTGGACAATTAATAATGAATTTCGAAAAGTTAAATTGATTGAAGGTCCTGCCAATTATGTGCACGTATGATGCAACAACATCGACAGGTGTCCCAGCGTTAGTCGGATTCATTAACGAGGAGTATTCAGGTGTGATATGACTTCCTGCGTTGATTATGAATCAAATGCTCTTGCAAAATTTTGTTATTTTCACTCTAGTAATTCAAACTGAATTTGACGTAAATTGTTGGAACTTCCGACAGTTGTCTGTCATTGACAATATATTTCAATGATAACTCTAAATTCGATGTTCGTTTCTAGACAAACCATTCAACGAAAGATGTAATGCGGTTGTCACAGATCTTGTCCGCTTCTTCGGCGAAGATGCCTTGATGCAGTTCTTGGATTATAAGGATAAAGTCATTGTTCACAGTATTTATTCACTAATTTACGTTAGTTTTTTACAGGTTTGGGCTCATGAGGATTACAATGGAGGATGTCCCAATATTTATGTTCCTCCTGGTCAAATGGACGCTTATCAAGTGATTCGCGAACCATTCTACAAGTAAGAGTTCAAAAATTGTATGACGAAAGTACACATTGCGGTTTTCAGTGTCCATTTCGCTGGAACCGAAACCGCGACAGAATGGATTGGCTACATGAATGGCGCGATCCAAAGTGGTTATCGAACGGCTCACGAAGTTTGAAGTTTTCAGAAACGTTTAGTATTAATCTTATTTAGGTTCTTCAATGCATGGAGAAGTACGATTTGGTGGTGTATAATTACTTGGTAAGATTTGGTTTTTTAATCGTTTGAATGTCCCCATTGTTGCAGAAAAACACAGTTTACGACCAAGACTACAAGCCACCACCACCGCCAACGAACATTTATATTGAAACGCGGTCGCCCTGGTAAGCTTTTTGTCATCGTTATTCTTATATTGATGAAACTCTCGACTTTCTAATATTACCAATTAAGCGGTTCAAATGTTCATTGCCGCTATCCTTGACTCCTAATTAGGCTTGTTATCATGAACAAAATGTTTCAAAGTGAGAAGATGAGTCATTTATGAGAAACATGAGAGTACGTATAGAAAATTCTCGATAAATTTGAACGTGAATTTCAAATAATTAATTTTTTACGAATTTTCTCAATTTCTTAATTAGAATGTTCCAGGTGGCGGCGTATCTTCTTCTTCACAACGTTGCTCTTCGGAATCTATGCTTACAGTCGCCACTACCGTCTTTCATTGGTTGCGCGAACTGTCAAACCAATCGAGAACAAACTAATCAAATTCTTCTTCGATCTAGAATGGCCGGAATAACTTGAGTTGTTTCATCACTTTCCATTTTGCTCAATATTGCAAGTTGTACGTGTAGGATAATAAAGGACCCACTAAATTAATTGGTTTTAGTAGAATCAAGATTTATACCCATAAAACTGAAAAAATCCAACATATACATATCACATCAGATAATTTGTAGAGGAAACTAAGAAAAGAAATGAGCTTATTTCGCATTAGGAGTTTGATATTGCGAATATTTGGTCCAATATAGAACGTTGAAGCAGAGGAATAATGAAGGAAATAATATTCCTAAAATTGATATTGGGTGTGTAAAGCATATTTGTGACACTAACTAGATATTAGGTCTGCTCTTTTTGCTCCATCATGCTCGTCCAACCTTCGACCAACCCAACGAACTACTCGGAAGTTGCGCAAATAATTGTACAAATTTCGACTTCTGAAAGCCTCTCGAATTATTCATATCCATATTATTATACTGAATATGCCTTTTATGCCTTTGCGGGCCAAAAACAATCAACTCAGCTGCTTCATCGGGGCTATGATTTGCCACGCCATTCCCATTAACAACCCCATTTCCATTAGTGTTTTGTCTTATCCAAACCTCGGAGTCTTTTAAAGGCATTCCCATTTCAAGACCCTGAACAAATTATCAATTTAACAATATGAGATGACTATTAAAAAAACCTGAGCGGGATCTTCAAATTTGGTTATACTGGTATTTTGAATAACCATTGCTTGCCTCGTTCCAATCATCAATGAATTCTTATTCGAATCGATTTTCTTGTCTGAAACTCGAAAAATGTATGTACTCAATTTTTAAACAGATTAGAACGTTTATAAAAGCTTCTCGATGAGATGTAAGTGACCCAGGCGAACTCGAGTAATGCGCCAAAAATGAATGTCAAACAGGCTCCAATCCAAACATCGATCGCTTTCGTATATGAAACTGGCGGAAGTTTTGCGTTAATTCCGGAAGCCTTCAAAATTTTATCGTTTAAAGACGTTTTTCCTGAAGTAATGTCTAAAACCTGAGTAGTCATGGTAAGAAGGGTCGTAACTCCGAGAGTGACTCGAGCTGGTACAGCTCCACGATCGAGCCAGAACGAAACCCATGAGACAATAACAAGCATAGTCGAAGGAATGTACAATTGGAGGAGGTAATAGCTGAAATTCACCAACCTTTTTTTAAATTTAAATCATTCCCTAGATAATCAATTGAAATATGTTTTTTTTTTTTGCAGTGAATAAAAACAGAAATGCAAATTCAAAAGTACCCACCTGAATTGTCTTCTCAATTCTAAAACGGTTCGAAGACATGAATATGTGCCGGTATTAGTTTTACTAGTACAAAGTGTGGTAGATACCTGAATTAAACTAATTCAAATTCGTCATTTCCTTGTAATTAATACGTTATTGAGCTCGAAACTCGGAAGTGATGAATGCAATCCTGCTTTGAGCTGTACTGGATTGACCTCCTTCCAACGATATTCTGAAATTTTGAAACATGTTCAAGAATTTATGTCCGTCCATTTTACCTATATCATTTTCAGTGTACGCATAAGAAGCTAAATCAATTAGACAGGTTTGAACATCCATTGGGTAGTATTGAAGGTGCATAGGACACGACAACACCATGGATATGCGGACAGAATACAGAATACGCCCATCCTTGTGAACGCGAATCAGAACATTCGGTTTGTCAATATGATGCCGATGAGCTTGCTTCTCATTCTAAACTCGCAATTAATAGGATATTTGATGACACTAGCCGAGTACTTGGAAAAAGCTATCCGGCATCCAAATATGCTGCTCGGCGGTGAGAATTAAGAAATCCGGTTTGTTGTCACCCGGAAATCCGTACGCCAATCTACCGTCCACCCATTCCTCGCGGAATGTCAATTGCACACTGTACTCCATATTGACGTCGTCGATTTTTGAGATGCTGACAAATTTTTTTTGGCGTATCTCTCATGTTGATGAATTGGCCGGACTTACCTTCGGACAAGCATGTTTACGTAGACAATTACTGCGCCGTGTGTACCTTAAAAGGAAACGTCTCATTTGTTTCGAAAACAACCGGGAAGTACCTGGAATAGTGAGATTGATTCCGGGTGGGCGAACTCGCCAATCATAGCCTTTCAGCAGCTTCTTGATGATCTCGTAATCAGAGACGGCGTCGGATTCGCTGAAAAAGTATCTATAGAGCTTGTCCGATCCTAAAACGTGACTTCTCCCGCCAATTTTATCACAAATTTGGGATGTCTTTTTTAGGCAAAGACTTCTATTGTCACCCCGGTGAATGCGATTTCCGACCTTTTCAAAAGAAGGAAGACGATTTTTGAAGAAAAATGGATTTATTGAAATAAAATTCAATAAATTGAAGAAGCTACCCAAGTGTTTCTATTGCTTCATTTATGATCCCATTAAAATCTATGTATGTATATGTATTATAATTTTATGATAGCCTCCCGCATAAAAATATTGCAATATGTGAGACTGAAGTGTTCAAGTTGGCAAAAAATATCTAGCTGATCAGAAGATTGTTTCAATTTCGCAGATGTTTGATTCATAGTTCCGCACAATTTCATAAAAACAAACGCACATGTCTCAAGAAATATTAGTCATCATCCTCACTTACCACAAGTTGGGAAGAGTGATTAGAATGAACGCAATTATCGTGATTAATAATACGGTAGCTGAGAACGTCGTCGGCGATCGCATTGATGCAGACGAGCAATAAATAAATGAAGGCGGCTAGTCGCAAACAAAAACGAGTCGTGGAAAAAAGCGGAATGCAGCGAGGAATCAAGTCGAGATTCGTCCCCTTCTGCTCCCGCTGCTTCTTCTTCTTCTTCGTCGTCTTCTTCTCGTTTTTCTTCTCGAGCAAAGTGTAAATACGAAGCGTCTTGTTTGACAGTCGTACGAGCCGTCATAACGAGGCTAATGAGCCATTAGAGGAGGTTGACACTCGGCAAATCCGAACAAGATGCTGATGAGAAGCGAGCTGCGCGAATGACGTTGTGAATCTATTCGATATGCCCATTTGCGGTCATAACCAATGTTTCTAAAACTAATGGATGCCAACAAAAATGGCTCAAAATCGAGAGGTCCCATTAGCGGTATGGGAGGGGTGAGAAGAAGCGCATAAAATAAAACTAATAGATGGAATAATGTGAGAATAAAACGTTCGAGCTTTTCCCTTTTTTCACAATGGAAAATGGAAGAAAGGAGAAGAAGAAGTTTGAAAATGGATAACCGACAGACATCGTTTTAAATAGTGAATGAGACCGTGAGAATGGTTGAGGATTTCTTTCTTCTGGTCTTCAAGGATATTGGTTTTTGGTGGCTCAGACATGTTTTTTTTTTCAATTTGAAGTACGGAAAGAAAAATAACAAAAAAATATTAGGTTAGTTTGAACAGAAAATGATGGAATATTCAAAAAAGTGTATTAGGTTAATTAAAGGGACATCGATCCTCATAAGGATTAAGAGATTTTTTTTTGTTGATATCATAATACATAGGATTGATCTGTTTATTGTTGAAATTTCAGCACTATCCTCATTCTATTTTTGGTCGCTATTTTTGATGATCCTTTCTTAGAATTGCTATCGCCACTCATTAATAAGTTGTAAGCTCAAATTCGAAGCCAATTAGAAAATGAGAATCGCGTGAAAATTGATACGAAAAGTGTTTGAAATTAAATCGAGATTAGTTGATTATTAGGCGAATTATGATGAATATCTAGTCAGAAATTAGTGTTTTATTCGGGAAATCTGTTAAATTTCCTTCGATATCCGCTCAAAAAAAAAAAACAAGTGTCTTCTTCAAAAATCAGACGCAAAAAATCTAATCTTCTTATTTCCAAGAAGGAATGTCACTTTCTCATCGATTTCTCTTCATAACGAACTTATTTAAAAGCAAATATGAATTGGTTGAAATTCAAAAACAAAAAAAAATCAGATCTGTATCGGCTTCGAATATTAATTGAAAATGTGCGAACGAAAACAATTTGATTGCTGAAGGAAAGCAACCGACTTAAAGCGAAGCTCACAACTGACCTCAAAATGGCTTTCATCGAAATATATTCAATTTATGGCCGTACGTCATTCGTAGGATTCTTCATTTTTTGTTATCTCTTCAGCAAAGAAAAAAAGTTTTTTTTTTCGGGATGTTGCACTTGAAATGAAATCAGCTGGAATTGGAATGAATATCAAACGAATGAGCACAAAATGGCGGCTGTCAAAATACACACTAATCCTCCTCATTTCTTTTTCAGAGAGAACTAAAAATGAATTATATATAATTTCCACGGAAAACCAGATTTATGTCAATCGAGTTTAGTTCCTCTTTCGAACTTTGAAATTCTCTTGATTATTTGAAAAACAAATTCATTTTAACAGACAAATTCGATTTTTCTCTCTCATTTTTTGAGTTATTTGAATTTTTAACGATTTCTGGCAAAATTCTTAATCTTTGCCCATAAATTCATTTTTTCCATTTTTTCAAAATTTCAAATGGGACCTGTCAAATGGGACCATTGTTTTCAGGCATTATTTTTGCGCACGCTTTTCATTCACAGAATTGTTCAATTGGTTGCATAGCGGATGGAAAAATAATAATTGAGGAGAAGGAATTGAATCCTTTTTTCGGGTTGAAATAATTGTTTAAAAAAATAATTTTGTCGATCTGGCATATTTTGAAGACTACGTGAAAATTATTTAATTTTACTAATGAATTAAACAAATTAATATAATCATTCAAAAATTGCGTAAAATTTCAAAAAAATTTAAAAAAAAACCGCCAATGGGAAGAAAAAAGGGGGCAGGAAAGTTAAGGGAGGAAATCGTATTGGAAAATTCAATACTCGGCTTTTTCCGATGTTCATACACAGTAAAAAAAAAGCATTGAAAAACACACAACAAAGATCAAAGACTTCAAAAAATATAAAAGATGTTTTTTTGAAAGTTTATTGTAAAATGATACCAATTCATGAGACAAAGGTTTTGATGGGATTCATCAAATACGGTCTTACAGGGTGTCATTTAAGTTCCCGCACAAAAGTTTGACGCCATGAAGAGATTGACTGTCGCACTTTTTGTGCACCAATACAATTTATTTTTGTTAAATAAGGTGTATTTTACTTATTTCCCAAGTTTCACCTCATTCGGATGTGTTTCCGAGAAATGGCGAAGGCTAACATCCATCGCGCTTCCATTATCGAACTTCATAAGCAAAATGTGAGCCCGAGAGACATCATTCAACGGGTCGGTGTGCTTCGTAGAACGGTTTGCGACACCATCAAACGATTCAAGTAGAAGTAGCTAAATACGACCAGTGTCCGTCCCAGACAAGGAAGACTCGTCTCAGTAACCACTCCTCAGAAGATCAACGCCGTTAAATCGAGGATCAGGCGAAACCCACACAGGAGCATGAGAAAGATGGCGTCAGACATGGGAATGAGCATCTTTGCTATGGAACAAATCGTCAAAACAAAGCTTGTACTGACCCCATATCGTGTCCAAAAAGCGGCAATTCTATCGGCCGTCAACAAGCAGAGACGCTTCGAAAAAGCAAAACGACTTCTTGCTCGCACGCGGTCTGGAGAACACCTCGTCACTGTCTTCTCCGACGAGAAGCTGTTCAGTGTGGAGGCGGCATTCAACTCACAAAACCATTGAGTACTTGGCCAAACATCCCAGCAAGCTTCTGAGAAAGGAAGAACATATCATCCAGCCTCACATCCTGCCAGTGTGATGGCTTTCGGTGCCATCTGCTCAACCGGGAAGTGCTACCTGGTTTTCGTGGATCAGATGGTGAAAGTGAACAAAGAAGTCTACGTTCGGGACATTTTGGAGAAGCATGTGATGCCCTGGACCCAAACGCATTTCGGTGGGCAGAAATGGGTCTTTCAACAGGACGGAGCACCCGCATACACTGCCAAAACTACTCAGGAGTGGTGCCAGACCCATTTTCCCGACTTTATCAAGTCATCCGAATGGCCTGATTGCTCCCCAGACCTGAACCCGCTTGACTTTTCCGTGATGGGGTCTTGCAGGAGAAGGTCAACGCAAAACCCAACTCAAGTGTAGAGGCTCTGAAGAAGACATTACTGGCGGAATGGGACAATCTTTCCATCGAATACCTGCGTACCACAGTCACATCCTACCCGAAGCGTCTCCGTGAAGTCATAGCTGCGAAAAGAGGCCGAATCAAAAAGAGTTAATAGATAAATATTTGTTATACTATAGATAAAAAATATTTCGAGTCTCGTTTGATTTGGACTTTTAGTTTCAGAAATGTACGTCTACAAAGTTGTGCGGGAACTTAAATGACACCCTGTATGAGGAACGTGGTCATCGTTTCTCAAATAATACTTCTTGTTGTTTTGCCGCAATTTTCGTCTGAAATTATACGTATGACTATTTCGAGAGACCACCACATTAAAACCTCATAATACGATAGCTTGTTCGAATCTTCTCTTGCTATTTCATAGTCCGTGCCTGCCATTTTTTCTTTTCCAAATCGGCATGCAAATTCGACAAATAGGCCTACGTTTTTTTCAACTCTTCATCCAATTTCCTATTTCATTTTAGTCTTTTAAATATCTCGATAGTCAAAATTAATTCGACCAGACGTTTGCTAAACTTTTATACGCTTAAATTTCACTAATATATATTCCAGAAATTGATTTCAATAATTTTGAATGATATCTTATCGAAAATCATTTTGTTAGCATCCATTTACGTTTCAACTATCTCTTTGTTTCTGAAAATGTGGTACTTGACAGATTTTCAAGGAAAACTGTAAAGCCTGGCTAAAACTATTTTTTGACACAACCTGCATTCTGATTTTAGGATTGATTGAAGATTACGTCGGTTTTAAAAAGTTATTTTGCAAAAACTGCGTAATACCATTGAAAAAAATTTCAAAAAATTAACAATTTTTCAAATATGGTTAATGAAAAAATGATAAATAAAATCGTTTTAAATATTAAAAATATGATATTACAAATAATAGTAAAATTGATGCCATTTTTATTTTCATTCCTATTTGACATGCGCAAATTCCGAAACAATAATTTTTTTCTCAAATTCTCGTTCAGATTGTGGAGACTTTTCTCAAGAGTTTTGATAAAAAGAATAACTTACAGGGTGTCATTTAAGTTCCCGCACAACTTTGTAGACGTACATTTCTGAAACTAAAAGTCCAAATCAAACGAGACTCGAAATATTTTTTATCTATAGTATAACAAATATTTATCTATTAACTCTTTTTGATTCGGCCTCTTTTCGCAGCTATGACTTCACGGAGACGCTTCGGGTAGGATGTGACTGTGGTACGCAGGTATTCGATGGAAAGATTGTCCCATTCCGCCAGTAATGTCTTCTTCAGAGCCTCTACACTTGAGTTGGGTTTTGCGTTGACCTTCTCCTGCAAGACCCCATCACGGAAAAGTCAAGCGGGTTCAGGTCTGGGGAGCAATCAGGCCATTCGGATGACTTGATAAAGTCGGGAAAATGGGTCTGGCACCACTCCTGAGTAGTTTTGGCAGTGTATGCGGGTGCTCCGTCCTGTTGAAAGACCCATTTCTGCCCACCGAAATGCGTTTGGGTCCAGGGCATCACATGCTTCTCCAAAATGTCCCGAACGTAGACTTCTTTGTTCACTTTCACCATCTGATCCACGAAAACCAGGTAGCACTTCCCGGTTGAGCAGATGG